TTGCAGGGAACTGTAAGGGAACTGAGAGATGAAAGGGAAACCCTTGAGTGGAAAATGTAATAATAAACTGCATATTCCTTTGTTGCTACTGCTGTTGTTTAGCTGTTAAACAAGAAAAGAAGGCTCAGAACCAGCTCTTTGGTAGGGAGCAGAGATTAAACCAAATACTAATGAAGCACAAACTACAAAGTACTAGCTGATAAATCCACCCTCGACTGGAAGAACATGAAGTGACACCTCACTGTGCTCCCTGAACAGCCACAGCACTGTGTTAAATACTGTCCTGCATGAATATTTAAATCAGCAGATTCAGATAAACCCCAACCAGATGAGTCTGACCCATTTTGGAGAAGCTTCCCAACGCTTCCAACATCAGAGAAGGCAGAGGATTGGGAGAAACCTTCACCTCCTGCCTGAGCTTCAAGCTCTGGAGTCACCAGCTGACCTGACCTGTGCTGCAGGCAAAGCAGCTCCTTTTGTCAGCTCTTCATTAATTGGGGAAGAATTAAAGAGCAGAAGTGTATTTAATGCCAATCAAGGTTTTTTGGGAAGGTAAATCCCATCCAACCAAGTTGCTTCCATTAAAAAGATTATAGCTATTAACACAGCCGAGCGAGGTAATGAGCTTTCAGGTTTAACAGCCCTAAGCATTCCAATTTAAAAGTTCAGTGCTAAGCAGGACCAAATAAATCATTTTGCAGGGATTAAGGATTTACTGACAGCCCCTATGTTTGGAAACATGCAGTTACTTCGTGGTGATGCTTCTGCCTCCTGCCTTTGAGCTCTAAGTCAGGGCCAAACCACAGCAAAGTCTCTGAACTGGGGAGTTTCCTTCGTGCCAGTGGAAACACCTGCACATTCCCAGCACTTCTGCCTGCTGCTGGCCGCCTCCTCACCACCCAGCCTGGAGCTGGGTGATTCAGGTATTAACCACGAGAGGGCACGAATACCTAAAGACCATCCCTTTCTACAGCAAACGCACCCACAGCAGCTCCAGAGCCCGGGCTCCAAGGCTCTTTGCAGTTTAACGGGTGTATTAATCACAGTCACGGACTGGTTTGGGTTGGAAGGGACCTTAAAACTCAGCTGGTTCCAACCCCCCTGCTACGGGCAGGGACACCTTCCACTAGCGCAGCCCTTAAAAAACAACCCCACAAGCTTTAGCAGTACTCCTACAATGACTTGAAAGGGAACCTGCCCCCTCAGAACTGGAGTTTGCTTCCACATGGAAGTTTCAAATCCTCCTCATGAAGATGCTGTCAGACAGCGCTTCCCCAAATGTGAATTAAAGCTTTATCAACTGCAGGCAGTGTTAATGCTAATAATCCAATTAAGTGCAAGCAAGGCTCATTTAGATACATGAAGGATTTCACTGCAAAATTAAGAACATTTAAAATTAGCAAGAAGGAAAAACACTCTGAAGCACCTGGGGACTGAGAATCCCCAAGTGTTGGGTGTATTTTTGCCTCCAAGTGCTTATTTTACAGACTGTTATTAAAACAGCCTCCATGGCTTCTCCAGGCACACACATAAACCGTTTACATGGATTTACCAATCCAAGTGGCATCCAGAAGCATTTTGTACAGCCTTATACACATCAAATCAATCCGTGTCACATCATCCCTCTGCTGCGCAGAGCTGTGCTTAATTGTACAGCTGGACTGGTGCTGCACAGCTCTGAGTTATCACAGCACCAGTGCCCATCTTAGTTGTCCACATGGGGCATGTTTCATACCTGGGATCTGCCTCTTCCTTGAGGATTCTCTCACCTGACTTTGCCTGCACTCAAAAAAACTCCACTTGGACTCACAACTGAAGTTCTGACTGAAAAGAACTGGATAAAGGAGCATTTTTAGATGACACCATTCATTAGCAGACGGACTGCAAATTCCTCACTCAAAGCTGTCAGGAAGAAATCTCTTCACCAGGTACCACGCAATGCCCACATGGGTCAGACTTGATTCCTTACAGCAGGCCAGAAGAAAGGTCTCCTTGCTTCTCACAAAGCTTTTTAGGTCAGCCTGGAGCCACCTGTACAGAGATTTGACCATGAGTGCTGGATAGAGAACTTTTCAGGAGGAGGAAAACACTGAAAAGGAATTGGGCTTTAATATGCAAAGAAAAATCTGATTAAAATTAAAAATCGGAGTAATGACACGTACAGAAGATATTATGATTTAATACAGCTTCATCAGCACTATGACTTTTGGTGGCTGTTTTTTAAGATGCTGAGCAGTGCTGCACTCAGCCCCTCCAAAACCAGGGAGGTCACCTGGCTTCTGGTCTGGAGAGAAAGGAACTGGAATCACAGAATTGTTCGAGTTGGAAGGGACCTCAAAGCTCATCCAGCTCCAACACCTGCCATGGGCAGGGACACCTTCCACTAGAGCAGGTCGCTCCAAGCCCCTGTGTCCAACCCGGCCTTGAACACTGCCAGGGATGGGGCAGCCACAGCTTCTGTGGGCACCCTGTGCCAGCGCCTCAGCATCCTCACAGGGAAGAGCTTCTGCCTGAGAGCTCATCTCAGTCTCCCCTCTGTCAGGTTAAAGCCATTCCCCTTGTTCTGTCCTTACACGCCCCGTTCCAAAACCCCTTCCCAGGTTTCCTGTAGCCCCTTAGGCACTGGGAGCTGCTCTAAGGTCTCCCCTTAAGGAGCCTTCTCTTCTCCAGGCTGAACCATCCCAGCTCTCTGGGCTCAAGCACACACTGCTGGGTCATGGGGAGCTTCTTATAAACCAACACCTCCTCCCCCCCACTCCTTCTCCTCAGGGCTGCTCTCAATCCAGTCTCCCCCAGCCTGTAGTTGTGTCTGGGATTGCCCAGATGCATTTTAAGATAAGCTCACTACTCAAGTCTTTAACACTTCCAAGTGTGAAGTTCTGCTTTCAGTTTAATTAACCATCAAACAGAGAAGTCATTTACTTCAAAAAGGCAGGGTGTTTATTTCCATAGGGAATAAAAATAAACTGTAATACAAGTGAAACTTCATGGAACAAATACATTTAGAGGAAAAAGGACACAGTGCTCCCCTAAACATGGTACAACAGGGGTTTTTAAGCAGTGCATGAACTAAAAGGACTTACACAGCCATCGCCCACAATCTTACACAACTGTCCCTCAACAGGGACACCAATAAAACCAGAGACTGACAAACAGCACAAACATTGACAGTTTCCAGCCGAGCACCACAGAGTTTTGGGAACAGTCCTACAAAGATCAGTTTGTGGACAATAAGAAAAATACATGTGTGCTCAGTTACACGTGACTAGATCCAGTGCTACGAGTTATTCCAGTAGTATGCTGCTACATTAAATACAGATGAATATACACAGAGAAATGATAAGATACACATCAACCATTGTCACCTATCCTCCTCCTGCATTGCCTCTGCAGTTCAGAGGTGCCAAAAGGACATTGAAATCCCTGCCTGAACCAACTACACTGACACAAACTGGCACTGACCTGGCTGCTCCTAGTGCTGAAGATGCTTATGAAGACATGGATTTCAACATCACCTGGTTGGAGACATTCCTCATCCAGTTAGTCAAGTGCTGTGTACGAATCCAAATAAAACTATTACATTCAGAACAGATTCTTCATCCCTGCTCCATCCTCAGGCATGGGAAGTGCCTATAGGTGGTATAAGGAGTAACATGTTAGGTCCATAGGAAGCACGACCCAGCACTCAGAGCAAAGACTAGGGAAGGGAAGGAGGGCAAAGCAGCAGCCACCTTCTGAATTGCCACTCATGAATATCCCTCACTGAGCAGTGCCAAGTGATCCCTTTGGGAGCACAACATCAGGCACTGGAGCTATCCAAAGACCAGTTTTGCACAAGTAAACTGAAACAGCACCCGGCACAAAAGCTCTTTTAAATGCCTCCCCCTGCAGGTGTTACAGCTCCGTCAGATGCCAGGGTGCTCCCTCTCAGTGCTCACCACCTCCAAACCTGACACACCACCAGGCACAGGTCACTCCAGATTTCTAGCTGTAACCCAGCAAAGACTAACTCGAAGTGTACATCTCTTGAAGCTCTGTGCACCTTCACCTCCCAGCAGAACCCTCAATCAGGTACCTAGGATGAGGCCTCCTTCCCTATCCTCACGGGGTAGCAGCACCCACATCGCAGATGGATTCTTCTTCTAAGTACTTAAATGAAAGGCATTCACTAAGAACAGGAACAGGACACACAGCCACAAGTGTATTACACCTCCAGGCTTTAACAAACTGCTTTTTCTCTCCTGTGAAAAAGGACCAACTAACTACAACTCCACAGGCAAACCAATCATTCCCTTTTTTCCTCCTGTAAACCAAACAGCACCAATTGGATTTTCCCTACCACAGGCAACAACTGCAGAACAAAAAGCAATTTTAAACCCAGCGTTATGAAGTTCACATTAAGACATTTCAAATGAGAAATGAAGATATACGAGCCCCTCTTCTACTTCCAAGTAGTAGCTTTAACACAGAGTATTGTAGGCATTGCCCACTGCAGTGCTTTACCTATTAGTAGTAAGAGAAATACAAGGTAGAGCATGACACTGTGATGCCATGGGGTATCTTGGTAAAGCAAGAGATGCTCCAGAAAAGGAAGAGTTTTACACAAACAGAGCAAACAGGATCCCTCCTCCTTCCCAGTTCTTGGAATCCAAATGGAAAGCAGCAAATTGCATTGCTCACTCAACAGCTCCACGTAAAAAGCTTTGCGGCTTCACAACACATGGATTCTCCACTAGAACAAACAAGCTACAGGGACTTTTCACCTACACAGTACTTGCCAAGAAGATTCCTATGAAACAGATTTACATTGCCTTTAACACTTTTAGGGAACATACAATAAAGTCAGTTGCCACTGTCAGCAGGACACTTCATGAGGAGTGAACATGGGGTTCTGACAAAGCTCTGGGAAGGAATCCAGCTGAGCAGAGACCTGAGGATGTGCTGCAGCACTTGGAACAGCTTCTCATTTTTGGTCTTGAAACACCCAAGAGTTACTATCAAAACTAAAAAGCTTCCAGGTAATCGGTTTGCAAAGAAATAAGCTCATAGAAAGACAGGAAACACTGGAATCTTTTCCAGCTCCATACATTTACAGCACCAGCATTAATGATTATTAATACATTAAATCCGAGAGGTTTAAAAAGACAGACCATTACCCTTTTATTTTGGCTAGGTCTTGTATTTCAAAGTATAAAGTTATCCATTGTTTTGTTACTGAAGTCAAAAGCAGCAAGATTACTAAGAGCTTACTAATACTTTCAGTATACGGAATAATCTTTCACAGTTCTATACACCTGTAGTAATCTTGTCATCAAGAAGGATATGCGGAGATGTCAGCATCACGTTTCAGGAATAAGCAAAGATGATTATACTTTCTCCAAGGTAATATATGGTAATTCAGAACTCAAGGCAATGTGTAAACATGTATAGAAACCTCCTGCAAAATGCTTTTCTACGATTAACCAGTGGTGTGTCCAAATCCTTCAGCAGTCAAATTCACTGCAGGCCTGAATCTCTAATTTTCAGTAGAGAACATGTTGCAAGGACTGATGAAATCCAGAATACCTGGTCCTGAAAAGTGCCAGTCTTGGTCTCATTTACCATTTCAGAGCTTTCTATTTGAGAAGCTACGAAGACCATCCACTACTCTTCTAACACCTAGAAAGGAAAGACAGGGCTGATGTATGCAAAACAGGCTCCAAACCAAAGTGCTCCAAATGGAGCTTTTACATTACCAAGAGGAAAAGGGAAACTATCTCCCCAGTACCCTCCAGTGGAAATCACAACAGATTCCCAGCCCTGGGTAACAGGAACAGCTGGATTAACACTTGGGGTACAATCTCCTCACTTCAGGAGTACATGGATATGGTAAACTTAAAAGGTTGGTAGAGTAACTTGGAGCTTCACAGATCTCTTTCTAGGGCAAAGAGACCCAAGAGCAGATGCTTGTCTTGAGATAAAGAAAAGATGCATTCAGAAAAGTGCACCCTTCAAAACAGATACATCCTTGTTGCATGACGCGCTATTCTTGATATGCAGCCACACAACAAATTCCAAACATCATTAAAATCCTGAACCAGACCTGCTTGTGCTTTGTTTTTAAATGGCTCATTGCACTGTAGTTCTACCTTGAAAGCAACTACATTCCTTGCTTTAAAACTGACAAACCTGCAAATTAAAAACCAGTTTCTCTTTGCCATTCTAGGCACTGAAAAACTCTGTTTTTAGGTATTGCCATTTTTCCTGGTGTCTTCTGATATACTTAAAAGATCTGTTTCCTTACCCAAAGCGAGACACTCAGGGGAGTTTTGTTTGGTTTTTTTTCCCTTTCTACTTGAACATGGAAGCTCACCTGGTCATTTCACCACATAAGCACATGAGCAATGGCTATTGCATTTTCTGCTGCTATAGTGGAATGTTTCTGCTTTTCACTGCAGACTGGGAGGGTTAACTTAGACAATGTTTATAGTTTCTATATTTCATAAAACCCCTGGGTTTAAGACCTAATGGCAGCATATAATTGAAACACCAAGATCCAGAAGAAAGCAGCAAAGCATCTTGAGTGAAGCTGCACGAAGAAACTCTGTTAAGAACATCTTTAGAAGATTGCCCAGAACAAGTACTAAGGAACAGCTTTCCCAACCAAATATTTTCCTATGGGATAAGCCCCTCTTTCTCTACCAGACTTATGGATAAATGGAATACAAGTTTCTGTTTTAAATCCCAACTTTGAACTGGTGTCTCCAGCTGAGATGCCTGCAGTTTAAGGAAACCAAGCAGTGCTAACAGCAAGAGTGAGCCCAAGCTGGAGCCACAGCCATGAGCCAAGACATCCACTCTTGTGTTTCACTGTGAGGACATGTCCCAAGTTAGGTTTTGTCACCAGCTCCACAGAAGTACAAAGTTCATCACCATGAGACAATACAGACAAAACATCTCTAAGGTTCACATAATTTTAACATCCAAGACAACCTGCACTATGATCACTCAGCACATGATGTGAAATAACCATTTGAAATCCCATTTCAGTAGCAGAACGCCCCTGATCTATAACTACTGCCTTGTCAATGGACATAAGGAGAGCACATCGACTATGTAGCTTTGAATTACATTACTCTCTTGCCTCAATTTAACCAAGATCATAAAACAAGGGATAATAAAATCCATACAATTTTTTTCCCTATCTTTTCTCACTTGTCATCCTTCCTCTGTCACAAAGCCACAGGTTACACAGGCTTTGTGGCTTGCTGCCCTCTCACAGTCAGTAAATGTGGTCCTTACCCTTTGAAAGGTCAGGTTAGAGGGAAGCTACTGTACTCAGGGGATCAGCAAAGATCCTGGAGAAGCCAGAGCAGGTAAACAAACTGGTTTAAAAATACTGCCTACAAAGGCAACCAAATACTACACTCTACACTACAGGAATAGAAAGAGAACATTGCATGGGTAGACATTAAAAGGTCTCCATAAAAAGGCACAGGGGGGTTTGGTTTTGTTTAACAAATATGCATAGGAAACAAAAAAAATGAATCAGTTCTGCCACAGGGTGAGGGTCCATGCAGATTCATTCACAGCTAAGAAAAGGGAGGAAGTGTTATTTTAAGAGGAACTGACATTTTTATCATTTTAAGATGACCTTGCACCATCACTGAGTAACTGGATTGTATCTTTCCTACTCCAGTTGTAAACACCACACAATTCCTAAGCCCCATGTAAATTGGAAAAGACTTCTTTCAGCTTGAAAGACCAAGTACTGGCAGCAGTCATGAACCTTAAACACGTTGTGTTTCCAGTAAGCAATAACGTTTGCACGAACTCGAGGCAGCCTCCTGGGCAGCTCTGCACACATCATCTTCATTTCAGCTGCAAAACGATGGGAACCAAACCAAATGCAGCCTGTGTGCCCTACAGCGAGCACAGCTCCCTGCCAACACACCACTCACACTCAGCTGCCCATGGGTAGAGGATCTGCACCTCCTGGGGGCACGGCCCCCTCAGGCCTCACCACAAGCATCTGGTTCATTGAAATCAGTTCTCAGAGCTCATCAGTGGTGCTGAGGTTTTCCACCCTTCACTTCAGTGTCCAACACACGAGGGGTGTCACTCAGATCCTGGAGGTCCCGGTGATGAGACAGGTTCTCTTTGTGCTTTTGGTCCACACCTGATGGAACATCTACATCCCCCATCAGGGCACCGTTGCTCAGCACAGGAGGTGGTTCCCCTTCATAACCCTGAGGAGTGTTGAGCATCGGTGTTTTTGAAGTAGTATGTCCTACTTTAGATAAGGAGGAGCCTTCACTGGGCAAAGGACCATCGAGGAAAGGAAGTTTCTACACAGATAAAATGACATGAAAAAAAGAAATTAATGGAAGTTGCTATTCCCAGATGCCAGAGATATACAAAAACCAACTGCCAACAGAACAGTCCTGTGCCAGTGCCTCTTCTTCAGCTCTGTAATCCAGCACTGAAGTACACAAGCATAGATCCTTACATGTTTGTATCCAATCGTTAAATTAACAAAACTAAAGTTTTCAGCACTCACATTAACCTACCAAAGGACACAGATAGCTCTTCTCACTGGTATATTTTTAGGTGACGCTCTCACTAATGTATTTTTAGGGCTTTTTTGGTTGGTTTGTGGTTTATTTGGGTGTTTTTTTAATACACATAGAAAGGATATTGTGGACAGAGCCTTTTAGCGTAAAGAAAAGCTACACTTCTCCTTGCAGGCTGTTGTAGAGGACTGTGGAGGGTTGACCCTGGCTGGGTTCCATGCACCCATCAAGCTGCTCTTATCACTCCCCTTCTCAGCAAGATGACGTGGGGATAAAGTAAGATAGAAAAACCCTTGTGAGTCAAGATAAAGGCAGTGTGATGAAGGACAAGCAGAGGTTGTGCATGGAAGCAAAGGAAAACACAAGATTTATACTCTACTTCCCAGGGAGCAAGGCTCATTATGTGCAGTCGTGGCTCCAGAGGACAAAAACCAAAATAACAAGTGCCCCTCTTCTTCCTTCCCCTCAGCAAAACTGCAGGGCTTAAACTGACCAGATTATTTTTTGGTTTTCTTTTCCGACTTGCACTGCCAAGTAGAGATCTGCATTTTCAGACAAATACAGAGCTGACCACATCATGAAGCATGTGGTTGTTTACTGTTCTGGGTTGAAGGAAAGACATTGGTTATTCCGGTCACAAGATCTCTGCCCTCCAATACCACAGAACACACATAGCAAATGAGCAAGATTCCCCACCCTGCTTTAGCAAAACACTTCAAATCTGAGGAAGCCACTTTCAGAGGCTAATTCAGCCCACACCATCCAGTTATGTTTTGGCTATTGCATGAAAGCCAACTTAAGTAACTCCACTGTTTAACACCTTTGTCTTGTGACTAAGAAGGCAGGAAAGAAAAACGAGGGGATGAGTTGCAAACAAGAACATTTTTGTATATTCATATTATTTATGTGGGGAAAACCAGGCCCATTCTTTTCTTCTCTCCTTAAAGTCTGATGTGAGTAGAGTCAAAATCCAGATGTTCTTTTTAAAACTACTTCATTTAGAGAATTAGAACATCAGGAACCCACAACAGAACCTGACCTACCACAGCTTCTACCTAGCAGATGAGAATTTAGAGTAAATCAGACCTATTGACTGCAGCAATGGCATTTAACCCCTCATTTTGCCCAGCTCTGCCCAGCTTGTTGAAGCCATTGTTCAGTGATAATGTTCAGCCCCAGGTATATTTGCCAAAACCAATGAGTGATTTAAAGTGTTATTAAGATTCAAGACTCACATTTTCCAGTTCAGATGCATTGTCCTCCAGTTTCATCTTCTGGCTCATGCAGTTTAGCAGATAATCCAGCACACACTGCTTTGGATGCATTCCTTTGTCAAAGCGGTTATACATCCCACACCAAAACCTCAAGGACAGGGCAATCAAAGGGTTATTTGTACACTACTGGCCAACAAACAAACTAGATGCTGTTTAGGAAACAAATTTTCAACCAATTAAGATTAGTAACATTCTAAAAATCTGCCACAGCCTTGGATTAGAAAACTCAGCATCAGTGGGTAAATACTTATAGTTTAAAAATACTTTTAAGGATTTAAGTATTATGGGGTTATGATCCACATGTGCTGGCAGCAGGTATTAGCATTAAGATGAAAACATGCTTTTCCCAATAGCGGACTTACTGGAGGCTTGGGAGCTCAGCCTCAAGCCCTCAATTTGCTCTGCTGTTATTAAAGCCCTTTGCCTGCCAGTAACCACACACAGCACTTAAAAACACATTTACATCCCTTCCCCCCTCAGCAGGCACCAGGAGTGAGGGAGAAACAAAGCACCACTAACCACTCCAGCTGTAACACCCTGGGCAAACAGAGAGACACGGCAACAAGAAATCCCTTACCTGACTCTGTGAGCCTGGGAGTGATGAGCACTGAAACTCCTGCTTAAGGGCCTTCCTTAATATATACATATATACAAAAAGTGAGGAAAGGAGGAACTTTGTTTAACAACTGCCAACCCCTATCATGTAAATGTGGCAGAGCAAGCAGCCAGGGGGTGTGTGGGGTTTATGTACATCTGAAGTTCTTTTCCTTGTCTTTCCTCACCCTCTTTCTCAACACCAAAGTCTTATTTTAATTTACATTACCTGCACTTATTTAGCAGTTACCTGTGCACTATTACTCCCAGTTTATGGATGAGGAATGGAGGGAAAAGGTAGAACAAACCATGTTCATCAGTGAATTTATAAAACCTGAACTGCCAATCTACATTAAAATGAAATAAATGCCCCTCTTCCCTCCTTGAACAAGGAACTTACTGGAAACTGAAAGGTAGTGTGTTAGGTTGAAGCTCTTTGTAAGCTGTAAATCCTTTGTACAAGGGATTTCTCAATTCCTGCTTCTTCTGTAAGAGGAAAGGCCACAGAGAATGGGTCTTCTCAAAGATTCTGTCAATTACAAATAACAGCTTATCAATAAAAGAAAGAATGAAGTTAAAGGGATAAATAGCTCTGGCTGAGCTGAGCAGAATCACATTAAGGGAATTAAGAATTATTTTTGCACAGTATCTGATTCATTTCATAAGCACAAGATATATGACTGAGGAATATATAACCATTTAAAATGGACTCGATCCAGTCAAAAGGGGTATTTGCAAGTTAATACTTTGGCCCAAATTAAAACATCTATCTTCAGGAATATAATTCATCTATAAATTGTTTTCACACTCCAGAACAGAAGCATCCTTCAAGACAAGGTTACCCTTAACCAATCCATAATTACATTAAAAGCACGAACACACAAACCTGCCCTTTTCCTGACTTTTAAAGAGACTTCTAGACTGTTGGCTTTCTAAACTGCCAATCTGCCAACTCACTTCAGATCCTCACGCTCCTTATGGCAGTTCCCAAGGAAGTTGCCAAACTGGCAGGAGTAGACATGGTCATGGATTTCAAGAAGGAAACGTTCATTGAACTCAAAAGAGCACGGGAACTGCTGCATGAGCTGCCACACACATTCAATGAACTGGGTGAAGACAGGGGAGACTTCTTTGGGGTCACCATCCAAATGGCCACATCTAGAGAGATGCAAATAAACCAGGGTTTAATCCTGTATCACCCAACAAAAAACAATTCCCTCACCATTGAACCACTGGGAAATTTTCTTCACTACTAGAATAAGAAACTATTCTGCAGAGACAGAAAAGAACCCCCGTGTGGTTTTTCTTACAGCAAGAGCACATTCAAGAGTGCTACCCTCTTTACTTGTGTCCCAAAGACAACTCTTAGGAGTGATGAGATTTGTCCCTTTCTCTAAAGTCAAATTAGCCGCAGAAGAGTCCATGTAACATTGCTGCAAGCATCACAAGAATTATTTGTAAACCAGGAATCCCCAGGCCTATGCCATGATGTCTGCATATGATGTGGTAAATATAACATCAAGTTAATAGCCCTACTAGATGCAGGCAATTACAGGAATCTGCTTAAGGGATGGCAAGTCGAATGGATTTTTAGTACTATACTGGGCTCAAGTTTATGCCTTGAACTTGGTAAAAGTTCAAGTCCTGAACAAATATGAGCTGAGATTTTCTTCCAGGAGGTGACTGCAGAAGAATCAACATGTCTTGCCAGAACATCAGCACTCCTCACGTAATGCGAGTGTGATTTTACAGGTAGGAAACCACTCAGAACTCAAACAATTTGTTCAAGACTGTTTGATTTTGTAAAGTAATAATAATAAAAAAGCACTGATGAAATAACCCCAGCAGATACTGGCTTTATGTCACCAACTCCAGTATTTTCCGTATCTTTTCTCCTCTGTCCTGTATTTTCATTAGCATTTTTCATGAACCTGAAAACACAGGATTAGTTTCCCTGTCAAGCCTTCACCAAGTCACTGCATCCATAATGTGCTGCTCTTACCTGTGTGAGAACTTGTGGCCCATTGCAATCCATTCCTTCTCTATCAGGACCTTCAGTTTCAAAACAGAGATGAGAAAAAGAGCATTATTTGTTTAGAAAAAGCAAAAGGAAGACTTTGATACTAACGTCTACAGAGCTTACAACCATGTTGACCCTCCTGGCATGAGAGACCAGTGAAAACAGTAACAGTGGTTTATAGATTAGAGTTATCCAGTTACCAGCACTATATCACTATTGAAATCACAAGTTATTTCAAGAAAGTCCAGTACTATTCTGAGGGAATTTCTATGTTGTTATAATAATATACAAACACACTGAGCTAAAAGAATTAATAGCTTAATATTAATTTGCGTTAATATGTTAACATAATCATCATGTACTATCAACACAGAGTATTGTGATATTCAGCAAAATAAATCAACTGGAATACAACAGATCTTTAACACACAAATAGGAGTGTAAGAAATACAGTTGCGTACTGCGCAGCTCCAGGTGAAATGAGAATATAGTTCTTTCTATTTTAAACAGAAAGCCTGTGCTATGTGTAAGAAGACAAGGAAGCACTATTTTCCTTAAACACATGTCTCATAAGGAAACACATGCCTGATACTGAATCCATTATTACTTTCCTTGCAGGGTCAGATTTAAAGATCAATTCCTGATACCATCATCCAGAGACTTAAAGAACAAAAAAGCAGAAATTCCTAACAGAGGTCTTTGAAGTCATATTGCATTTCAAATTTTCCCATTCCTTATACTTCTGTTGTATTTATTGAGGAATAAGTACTCTCCTGGGATTTGTGCATATAAACCATTTGCTCAGAGGACAGACAAGCATTTGTTTGTTTTAGTTACTGCTCCTTCTCCTAAGCAAAAGCACGTTTCTTAGTTCATACTGAATTGGCCAGAGTGCAGCCAAAGCCCAGGCAGATGTTTCACATTATGTCATTTTAACTGTTAAAAGACTGCAGTATAATCCAGACCCAAAACAATAATTAGTAATGAAAGCATGGAATGCAAGGAAACAATCTCAGCAGTGCAACTCACAAGCAGAAGGCAGAACTTGCACTGCTCTGATTTCAGGGTTTCTTTTAAGAAACTCTGCTGAGAAAGAGCAGCAGCCTTTCAGGTATTTAACAAGAGAGGAATGGAAGGATAACGTCACATATTGCTTTGTATATACAAGTGCCAGCTTCAAATAAGAAGCCTACAGTAGAAGCAAATGGTCAAATTGATGTATAACGGCTTTTAAAGAGGTCTTCAACAATGCACAGATTTTACCTGATACACAGGTTATGTGCTGCCCTGTGCACAAGAATGAGCTCAGGCAACTTTAAATCTCAGGAGATAAGAGGCCATTTACTCAGTCTTAAATGACAAGCTGCTTCACCACTTTTTTGTGGATTGCTGCCAGAGTTGCATCCTTTGCTCACTTATCCCTTGCTGAAATCTCATTAGTGGCTCTGCCATGGACATTCAAGGAAAAAAAGACTTGGGAACTGTAGATCAAGTGTGTTTTGTCCCCATGCTGTTCAGAGCAATTAAAGCTTGTTTATAGAAATCAAAGCTGCTTTTATATAGGTCACCTACTGTTTGTTCCAGGAAATGGCCCAAAACATTCAATTATGGCTTGTTTACAAACCCAGGAAGCACTTTCTGGTTTTGAAATTCCAGTGTTTGTGTTCTTACCATGAAGCCTTTAAAAGTCCTGTAGAAGGGATCCAAGAGGAGGCTGGCCAGGGAGCAGACCTGCGCTGTGCGGTCCCACCCGTCGGAGCAGTGCACCAGCACACTGGCTTTCTCATCCTTCACAGCCTGTCAAGAGACACCACACACAAAAGTTGAGCAGCTTTCTCAGTGTGTTACTGTAGTTAAATATGCTGTCCCTTCAGCTCCATTTACCTGGCTGGCCAGAGACCCAAGAGGAAAATTTGTCATTTCCCATCCAACCATGGAAAAGCACCAGTTCTGGGCACATCACCATCAACCCACACGAAACCCCAACCAGAACACAATGCCCTGGTGTGCCTTGAAGGCAACATAGGCTGTCAAGAAACAAAGAGCCTCTGATCTCAAAATGCTCAGTTTCCTGAAAGGCCAAGAAATTTCAGTTCCCTCCTCTAAGGAAAAAATTTGGTGGGTAAGTAAAGAATAATAACTGGCTACATGGGGACAAGAGACTTCGAGAAAAATTTAAGTGCTTATCCCAACTTCTTCCCATATGGATCACCTTGTGTTGGTGATAGAATAGAAACACTAAATAGCTTTTTGCTGGATACACAGGAAAACTTTAAGAGAGAAAAGACAACATGTACAGAAGTTCCCTACTCTCACCACGTGCTGCCTGCATGCCCTCTACTATCACTGAAGAGCCACATGCCTTGGTGACTTTTCTCCTTCTGCCTGACTTGCTCTGAAGAAATGAGGACTCTGTTGTATAATTAAAATTATCAGTGCCCACACTGCACAGCACCAGGAGAAAATAACCTGCTCTAAACAATCCCTCATTTAAAGCAGTTCAGAGCAGTTCAGTAACTAATGAGCACAAGGTTACAAGTTGTTTGCACTGGTAATTCCATGTTAGAGACATTTAGAAAGGTCACTTAGTCGCATTGTGACTTTGTTTCAAAGGAGTTCTAATAAAGCCTAGACAACTGCAACAAGCAGTAGCAATGCAGTGCACACGACAATGTCCTAACCCCTATGGCATTTAGTTTAGGCACAGGAAGTGGCTAGGAGAGAGCCAGCTGGGTGATCTGCTGATGCCCTCCAACTGCAGGCCTGGTTTTGAGAACTGAAGCCAACCTGACTAGAAATGTGTTCCCACCTTCTCTCCAGAGACATCTTCCAGCCTTGGAGCAGTCCCTAACAGACAAATACATTCTTAATTCACCTCAGGTCGGAGTACAGTTTTACCTTGGCAAGAAAGACACCTGCATCCATCACAGCCTTAATGTGCCGTAACCAACCAGAGTTCTCCAGGCCAGTGAGGAAATCACTCATTGAGGGGGACTTCATCTCACACACTGAGAACACAAACAAAGGAATTAGCAGACATTCCATTAACAACATCTTTTTCTTTTTCCCACCTCCTCATTATCTCTTCACAGCACCAGAGCTTGGGAGATCCCAAAAGCTCACATTTCCACACTGTCAGCAACATCCTATCTGAAGGACACAGAAACCACTGGGCTCCATACTTTAATACACAAACCAGCAATTTTTAGCTATGAGAGAACCTGAGGATCTGAAAATATCCTCCTTCTCCTCTTTTTAAATGGCAGCTCATTATTTTTTCAGCTGAGGTTTTTTCCAACAAAAGAAAGTGCCTTTTCTTCACTGTAAGTCACCTTCACACACCCATCTAACCACCACTAACATGCAGTGACCAAAGACCTGAAGAACAGAGAGTTCTGATTTAGAGAGAGAAATAACAGGTTAAACCTTGAAGGCAAATCAGATGCTATATTGAAACCCAGCAAAGAAAATACTTCTGGTAATGCAGCTTAATAGCCCATAAGCACCAGTAAGGTTTTTATCACTGTCTGAGAAGAATACAGGAGTAAACAAGTATTTATCCTGCTCTTCTTCCACCACAAATAAATCTGCCAGAACAGGCAATTGAGGACTTGTACTTGTCATCAGGACAATCTCTCGGTTGTGTGAATAGCCCCATTTTTCTCCAAGGTCACCGTGGGTCCTGCAGTGCCACCTGGCAATTGGTAGCATCAATTATTCAACTACTGTGAGGCAAGATGACCATTATGCTGCTCACTAAAATATTACACTTGTACTCTGAATGACAGCACTTGTATTAGAACTAATCACAGGGACCAAACAGAATGATTTGCAGCATCCCCTCTGCACAAGGACAGTAGCAGTGCTGGAAAGCAGCAAGCAGAGCAGACTGGTGTGATCCAAGCTGTGCATTCACCTTTGATGGAACCTCTCCAAAACTACATTACTGAGAATACAGGCCCGATTCACTTCTTGATCTGCATCAGCTCAGGTCAGCATTTCTTCTGCGCTGCTTCACATTTTTCCCCCTCTAAGTTCAGAGTCTCACAGAGCAGCTTAATTATCTGAGCAACTCTGCATTTTAATATCTATTTTAATGTACTAAAACATGCCTTTAATCATTAAGATGTATTGAAGACAAGTTCAGTTAAAGGAATAGGAAACAAATCAAAAAGAACTATGTATGTAGGGGATTCAAGTCTTTGGAAGATCATGCCAAAATTTCAAATCAGAAATACTGTTTAACACTGAACTGCTCCAAACTTTCCAAATGCCCAGAAAGTCATTTCTTCAACAATCTATGTCCGTTTTCTTTCGATAACTCACAAAATAACAATACAATGGAGTATTTTTCCAGCCTTTTAATTTGGCACATATAAGAAATTCACATTCTCTGGACCAGGGGTAAAGAAGAGTGGCCAGTCGTATGGCCTGCACGCACCTTCCAGCAGTTTCTGCAAGCTGCTCCTCATCACATGGATGTTTTCTATGCCAATAAATTTAAAGCGAATGTTATCATAGTTATCTTCGTTCTCATAGCCCTTCCCTGCAGCTCGGTTGGCCATGGCATTTAACTGTCACAGGCAAGGGAACAGGAGAAAAGAGAAAACTACAGCAAACAATATGCACAAATAAACAAGTCTGTTTTGCAAGTCCTTCTTTCTAGATCTCCCAGAAAATACACTGAACAAAGTCATTCCTCAGTTGCACTTCCCACCTCCCAGACACTGAAACAACTGTTTCACTAAAACCATGCCACTGTCCATCGTCCATATGCAGAGACTCAGTAAGGCCCAGGACAGGATTTTTTAGGGTGGCCAGCATGAAAACCATGCCCAGTTTCACAATACTGCTGTCATCAAAACAGGCAGAGAGACATTGTGTCTGCCTTAAGTGTGAGGCTATGCAGAAGATTCAGACAAAAGCATATGAAAGTCAAACTAGGAAAGCCATTTGTATGAGTAACATACATACATGGTGGTACAGAAATAGTAAGAGAATTCCAAAGCTTTTCACAGACATACATGCACAGATGAAATAAAGCCACCTGAGGGAAACATAGAAATATTCAAGTTGAGCAGAAAGAATATAGCAACCAACTGGAACTGCAGAAAAGCAGCAGAAAAGAAGCCAGCTACTCTAACAGTCACCCAAGCCAGTCTAAGAGCTACCAGGAAATCTTTAGTGGGGACCAAAAAAACCCAAAGGAGCACCTCAACCCCCCCATGTATTTATTTGTGAAGGAGTGAATTGAATCCAGAGAGAAGGAAGGGTCAGATACGGCATAAACATCTCCAGAATAACTAAACAACCATTGTGGTTCAGTTCTACCACACAAGACACGTTGTGTTAGAAGGAGAAATGCAACCAATTATAATTCTTCCCTTCTTCAAATACTTTAGAACAAAACTGCCACCAATGACAGGTGTCAGTAGAACATCTATGATACTGGAAGATGTCTGAACCAAAACATCATGCAGTTACTGCTATAACTAATCATATAATCACAGAATAGGTTCTCTCTAGGAAATGTCAAACTACAAAAAGCCAAAATACATTTCAGACCATCAGGTGAAACATTCTCCATCTTCCCAGGAAGACCTTTTCCCTTCTTGCCCATGCCATAGTTTAACTAAATCTATAGTTTCTATAAGATAACTGCAATGTCTGAACAGTGAAGCAGGCTCTTAGAAAGCTCAATTTTAAAATAATCAGAACGCTTTTAAATCTTTGTATTTAAATAATTGTGTACTATGAATATCCTCCTGTTCTAATTTGCCTCCCAGTCAGTATGCTTACAGGAATCATTTGAGTTGGTTTCTGAATTCAGTCCCTCAAGAAAGTTCACTACAGATTTAATCCTTCTTCAATATCCTCTTGCATAGACACCTCAGCAAAGAAGTTCTAGCCTCAGATAGTGGCTATGGATCAGAAAAGCTGAATTGTATTGAACTCCAAGCTGCACATCATGAGAACACAACTGTTTCTACAAAAGCAGAAAAAAAAGGAGGAATTGCTTTTCTCCATTGTTATCAAACTCTAGGCAGCCCCACTCCTTTCCAGGTCTACTGACAAAAGCACTTCACCCTGGTGGATCTGAATCCTAAAGGCTTCTCTCCAACTCAGTGTATTAAGGACCAGCTCTCTGCAGGAAAACGCTTCACTGTCTCAGCTGTTCAAAGCTGCCAGCTGCTTCACACAACTCTCACCTCAGCCCAGAATACGCCAACACTCCTAACAGCACTTAATGTTGCTGGCTTATTATGCACAAGCATCCATCGCATTAAGGCACTGAACCAGGAGCCTGATTCTGAATTCCTGATTCAGGACTGCCACAATTTAACTTAATGCAGTGTAAGAGTTATGAAAGAATGAACTGGAAACAGAATTACTACTTCTGTCACAAGCTTTAGAAGTAGCCACAAACCCCATGAAGATACCTTTGGCCTTGTGTCTACAACATACATGAAGGGACTCCCAGGGTTGGCTTCTCTGATGGCCTGCAGCATCTGTTCATCCTCCAGACAGCGTGCGCTGAACCCAGACAGGGGCTGGCTACAGCGGCAGATGGCAGCCTGCAACAAACAACACCTCACCTTTGCCTGCTTCCACATGGTCTCTACTGCACTGTCCCAAAGAATACAGTTTGTTGGGTTTAAGTGTCCCTTTCTCTTTCACTAAAAACCTCCTACTTCCACAGACATGCAGAAATATTACTGGAACATTTCTCCAAGTTACAATTTTGGGAATCTTAAGAAAGTATTGAGCTCTGCTGCAACCTCAGGGCTGTGCTCTCAAACCCACTATGCTCTGCATTATGATCAGTACCCCAAATGTTAGCACTTCTCATGTTTTCTACTTGGTTTCTATTGTCCAAACCATTAATTTCCACAACTTTGCTTATCAGTTGTTACTGTGCCATGCTCAGCACCGCACTGAGTATCCTTTAGGGAAATTCCAACAGCTGCCAGCACAACTCTACACAGTTGCCCAGGTCAAGTCATGCTTACTCAGGAAAGCAATCATTTGACTGTGACAGCATTTTCCTAACATGTGCACCTAAAACATGCTGAGACAGCAAACTTAAAAATGCACATTCTGGTCTTCAGTAGAACCCTTCACTTATTCTGAGCTGGTGGGATTTATTTCAGGGTGGTCCCTCCTCTTCAACTCTAAGAAGATCCAGCTGAGTTAATACGTATCTTGCTAAAACATTACTCAATATAGCAAAGAGTAGATTAAAAAACCTACATAATAAGGCATTGCTGGAAGCTGATTAAAAAAAATCCAGACAGGAAGCTTAGAAAGTCTGTGCTTTTTGCACAGCTCTGGATGTGTCCCAAGTGTTTGCCTTTAACCAGCTTATTCTGTGACTCAGAACAAGCCAGTATTAAAGGTGATAAGCACAGTTCTCAAATTGAAGTTAATATGCTCTAATGTGCCTCAGTTTTTCCTTTAACTAAAAGGGGATGGACAAGAAGGGGAACCCTCACTCCCCAACAAAGACAGCAGACAGTGAACAACTAACATTGTTTTCTTTGTACAAGTAAGAAAGCACCGGAATCCGTCCCCTGCTTCTGAACCGTGAGCTCCCGATCACCACTGCCTTACTAGCAGCTCGAGGCACCACTATTTCTGGAGGATACGTGTTGCAAACCTAAGTGAGAAGAAAGAAAATCCAGGTATTACTGCTTAGAATTCAAAATGCATGAAAAATTTATCTTTAGCATCTGATCTAGCATCTACGAACAACAGGATTAGATTGCTTCCTGTAGTGTATCTAACACTAAAGTTTCAAGCCATTAAGATGTATTTTAAAAAGTAGCACAGGAATAGGTGCAAAATAAAGCAGTGTGGTGAACAAAACAACCAATGTTGCATCTGAACTTTAAAAAACAGACTGCACTCTGCACAATATATATTAAAAGGAAGTTCTTTACATCCATTAATCTTATGAAAAGTTCCTGATCTGCCACAAAAAACTATATTAAGAACAACTATGTTTAAAAAGTTCCTTCTTATTCAACTTGAAATGAGCTTCCAGTATCCTCACAGACCAGCTTTGTCCTTTTTCCTTGAACAAGTACAATCTTTGCAGCAGGTACTTGACAGATAGGCTGTTCTCCAAGTCTGGCTTTACTTTAGGCTTGACAACATTAAGTTGGAAACCCTGAGGAAATTCTAAAGCACTGGCACTTGAGAGTTACATACTAGCAAGTAAAGCTTCAAAGTGATTAATACTTTAGATGCTCACATTCAGATGCCCTAATCAGCTAATGGAAAAAGCACTTCTCATCTTTTATCTCAATTCGGGCATCCAAAAATAGTCATTTCAAATTACCAGTCAATTATGACAGCACAGGCTTGTATTTCTTCAACCCAAGCCACAAAAGCAAAGGAAGCTTGTGGGGGAAGGGAACAGAGAGCAGGAGGAAGTGATTCAGGACTTAATATACTAGTATCTTCCTCAGAGCTGTTTGAGTTTTAGACAGAAAGCTCTGACAGTACACAACATCAGAAGAAATAAAAAGGGAAATAAAATGAAGCATGAGTTTGAGTAAGCTTGATGAAAAATGCTTTTGTTTTATGTGGTTTAGGTCCAATCTGGCTTTACAGGGGAGAAAGAAGAAAGCAACAACAGCAGCAGCCAGTTAGGACTGAAATGCATGACTGCCCTGATTTAGTAGAAGATCCAACCAACCAAGAAAAAACAGATTTCTGCTACTGTTCTTCCCTATCTAGTCCCTTTCCACTCTGCCTCATTCCCCACCAAGCCAAAATGCTGCCACTTATTTCTCTTCTACACATCTGCCATCAGCCTGGTGGGACAGGGCTTGAAAATGCCAAAAGCAGCAAAGGGTACTTCAAGTTTTTGTAACAGATGGCTTGACATTCCTCTAGAAAAACAAGTATCTGGTACTTTGCCAGGGGGATCAAAGCAAGCCAAGGTGACTCTGCAGCTCTATTCTATTCTTCCATAGAATCCTTATCCTCAACTTCACATCAAGACGATGCTGCTTCAATCAGAGCCAACTGAGCTCATTCCCCCCCTTGAGAGATCACTTATGCAGCACCAGGACTGCTGCATGTCCTTAATAACAAAGAAGAGATATTGCATTAAATGACTGCTGTGGGCAAAAATTACCTCATAGTCTTTATTAACATCTGTTAGTTCCCAGTAGTCGTTTGGAATTCCCATACGCTGGTAATCTACTTTTAAACCAATCAGCTTCCATCCAATCTCCCGACTCTCTTTAGACACTTTAGGATTATAGGAGAAAGCATAAAGTTCTTCAGGTTTTGCTGGGAAGAAGAAAGAAAAAAATTAATTGGTTAGAAGTTTTCTTTCTTTACTTCGTGTACTTCACTACTCCAAGTAAACTTAGACTGACTCTCACTCAAAATAAAACAACTGAGCACTACATAGAAGAGCAGGGAAATTTTAAGCATGCAAACCTCACATTTACAGGTTTTCATTCAGGATAGTACCAACAATTAATATTGAAATCCTCAGGAATTTCCAATAATCAGTTCCCACATATAGGGAGACAACTAAAATATTTTGTTAGAATTAAGTGAAACCTCAAAGTAGTAATTTTTCCTGATCACATTATTTCCTACTGAAGTCACTGCAACAGGCATGTCAGATGAGATTTATATCATAAGGATTAATCCATAAATGAAAACATATCTTAGAAGATGTATTTTCTGTGCAGAGTTCATAAACCAGCTCTTGCACACCTAGAAGTTCATCGCTCAACAGTGAGTTCAGAGCCGCATGGAAAACTTGACAGAAGGCTTGAATATTCCTGTCACCCAACAAAAGCTTCAGGCTGTGCCTGACAAGTACTAATTTTCTTCTTCCCTCCATCTCCACCACCCCAGTTCCTTCCCTCTCTTCATAAAATGCAAATCCAACCAATAACTCATTCAGCTGATTCCCATGGCAGCAAGTGCTCCAGAGTGAAACCTGTCAGAGTCTAATAAAGTACCCAGGTTACCAGACAGGTAACCCATAGCTGTCAATCATACATGTGCAAATCAAATCATTATATTCTCTGACAAAAAGCCATGCAGCAAGCATACATACAGGAGTTTCAAAGCAACAAAAGAGAACTTAAAATCTAGGAAAAAAAAAAGAAAAACCTACAGCACTCTACACAAACAGCCGTAAGACAAAGGAAACTGCTGGAAGCCTCAGCAGCAACAGCTCCTATGCCTCAAGATGCTACATTAAGCCCCTGATTTTCAAAACTGAAAGAACACTGACAGCTTTTAAACATCATCAGAAACTTGCCAGATGTCAGACCTAGGAAAACTCCAAAGCTCAGAGCACAAGGGACATGCTGGGAACAGACCCAAGCCTAAACACCATCAAAAACCCCCTGAACTTCGCAAAAAGCACTCCTACAGCATTTCTATTGAAGTCCTGTGTGACAGCAGCATGAAGCAGACTGGCAATATCAATTCCCTTCCCTTAAGCCTAGTGACATCATTACAAAATGCAATTACAAATGGCATCCTTATAATGCCAAACTCCAAACAGTGGCTCACAGAAGGAGCACCCCAAAACCAGAAGCTGCCACAGACAGAAGCCAGGTATGAAACTCAGCGGAATGCTGTCCTGTAAGAGCAAAGAGCCTGAAGATTCATCCATGATGGACTAAAAAGCTGAAGCCAGAAGAGACCACAGGCTTTTGAGGATGTTTTGCTTACACTCTGACTCTAAGTGACACCAGTCAGGGAGAAGCAGAGGATTTCACAACTGAACGACAAACACTGAAGAGTAGCCTAATGAGGTCGTTGGGAAACAAATGAAAGATGCCAACTTTTAAAGTTTTATTTGTGGGGTTCCAGAACTCTGTGAGCATCCAGATCAACTGGAAAGGGCAGAACTACACTCATCCAACAGCCAAGTCACAGAAATGAGTGACAGAAATGGGCACTGCCTCATTCCCACTGCCACAACAGATGTGCATTTCATGCAGAAGTGAACACCCTGGAGTCCACATAGCAGCACTCTACTTACTGAGCCAACCCTCACTGATCATCTCTGGTGGTGGGAACATATTCTGACTCCACATCCTCCCCTTTCTGTACTGACACCACAAACCCAAAGGTCTGGCAGGCAAAACTCTCTCTATGGCTTCCAGCTTGAAGCACTTCAATGATTAGCAAGGCCTAAATACCTGGTTGTGAGAGTTTAAGCAATGAAGTATAAACTTCGTGACAGTCACGTTCCTGCCCAATAACAAAGTGAGCCACATGGAAGTTCTTGCAGTGAATGAGGAGTGGATATCCAGCTGTGGTCAGAGGCAGCTTTTCTACAGTTGCAATATGGTGGTGCAGAATCTGAAAAACAGGAAATGAACAGTGGTTTTCAGAAGGCACTTATAAGGTCATAAGCAGTACAAGCAGTTATGGAGGTCTTCAAATACCATCAGTTGTTTAAGCTTGCTGCATCTAACTAGCAGCAAAAAGTTAGTTTGAGATATTTTTCAAACAAACATAACACCCTGACTCTGCACACAAAGGCTGGTAACTAAGAGCAAGACTGAAAAAGTACAGATGTATATAAATAACCTTGAGACTGACATGCAGCTCAGTTTACATGGTTCACTTTTTGCCTTCCCTCCACCCTCATATGCAATATATTTTGTCATTCCCATTTTAATATAGAATTAATTTAAAAATGGTAATTTCAGTCCTAATTTTGCACTTCTAAAAGCTGTACATTCAAGTTTGGCAACTTGAGCTTGAGACAGGAAACTAGACAAGTTTTTTGTGTTCCTGGAATTAGCACTAATTCAGTAAGTGACCTATATCAAGTCCCATTACTGTTCTAGCTTCAATACCAGCTGTTTCTATTAAGCATTTGGTATCAAAATACTATAAAAAGACCACTACAATATTGGAATTCACAAACCTGCTTGTTTTGGATATGAGGTATAAAGTAATTTTTATACATACTCCTGAACAGACTCCAGGTATCACAACATACCCATGTTTCTTTCCTGACATCAGCAGAGGCATCTACATAGATAAGGTGGGTGGCTGTCAGATATAACGTCCCATTTGCTGCCTTCCTATTTGTGTAGCGATCTAGTAATTTCACATTTTCAACCTGCAACACAGAAAGAGTATGAAAAACTGAGTTTAACTGAGGAAATATCTGTTGAACCACAATCATTTAACTCCTAATACACAAAATGGGAAGGAAGACAAAAAAATACAGGAATTCAAGTCACCTACAACAGTAATTCAGCTTTATACTACAAATTCAATCTATTTCTCCAGTAATTAAAGCCAAAAAGGTTAAGCAAAGAGCCCAGGCTTAGCACCAGTGTGAGCAACAGGATTACTGGACGTGTAGACAAGACAATCACAGTTTATTACTGTGCAAGGCTGCAGAAATAGTAAGTCAAACAGCTGTGAAAGACTGTCCATGTTCAGTATAATCACAGTATTCCTCCAAAAGAAACAGCCCCCTCCACTCTCACTTCCTACTTCTCAGTCCCTATAAACAAGTATTAGTAGCTACTTCTCCCAACACACTTCTTAGGCATGCATGCATTTCATAAACCACACTAAACTAATTAATAGAACCAGTTTCTACAAGCATCGATGCAAACATAATAAAACGTGCGGTTTTAAGTACTGTACATTATTTGACTGATTTTTTTTCCAGGCCTATTTGCTTCTTAAGGCACACAGATGGCAATTTTTTATTCATCATCAATAAAACTTATGGAAAGCAAAAACCCAAAAACATATATACAAAACATATGTACGAAAAGAGATAAACTGGAAGAGCAGAGGCCTGGGCTGTGTGTCCTCCTGGTACATCCCGTTTTCCAGCACACATAACTACATCTACCATTGCCCTTTTTCAGGCCACTAGAGACAAGCAGGTCCAGCAAAGCCCCTTAGGCAACATGGGTAAAGAGCATCCCCAAATTAGTATCCTAGCAAATAAAACAACAGAAAATAGAGCAAGCAGCATCTTTAAAAACTAATAACAATTAAAGAAATCAACTGTGGGCAGGCAGCTGTGTGAAGTAAATACAATTCTTCTAGGTGCCACAAACACAGCATTCCCAGAGCTCCTGTTTCACTTTATTCAACTGAAAAAGCACATTTTGATTCACTTCTTTACGCTGAAGAGGTCTCTGCACTTTGATATAAACGAAGTTTACATGAATCGAACCTAGAACACCTTTTGATCAGCATCCTTACTAAGCCCTGCTTTTCCATCAAGGCAATACAGGAAGAATTACCTATATATCAAGCAGTTTTAAACCTTACAGACTTATCCATGACCAGCTTGAAATATGCAAGTGATGCTCACTGATAGCTATGCCCTGAAGGAAAGCAGAGACACGGCGTTGATTAAAAATACGACTTTGAAACAAAAATAGCTTCTAAAAACTCAGGGCCCTGCCCAAAGCTCTCTCGAGGCCCACCGGTCCCCGAGGGGCTCCACCTCAGACGCCCCACACCCGGCCCTTCTGGCGGCCCCCAAGCACCGGGGCTGATACCGTGAGGGGCCAGCAGCTGAACCCCCGAGTCGACCCGGCCGCTTACCTTCGGCGTGGTGATGTGCTCCATGACGGCACCACCGCCCGCCTGCCCCTACTTTACCTCAGCGCGCCCGCGCGGCCCGGCCTCCGCGCCGCCATTTGCACGGGGCAGCGCCTGCCCCGCCCCGCCCCGTCCCGTCCCAAATCTCGCGAGAGCAGCGCGGGGCGGTGCCGCTGCCGCCCAGCATGGCGAGGGCAGGGCTGGATATGGAGCACCTGTGACTGCTTTAGTCTCCTTGTGGGTGTCTTCTGTCGACTCTGCTGTTGTGGGGAGCTTATCACGGACCAACACCTCAGGTCCTCCTCCTCAGGGCTCGCAATTCAGTCTTCCCCAGCCTGTCTTTGAGCCTGGCATTGCCCCAGCCCATGGGAAGGACCTTCTCCTTAGCTGTGTTGAACTCCATGAGGTTCACCCAGAGGCACCTCTCAAGGGTATCCAGGTCCCTCTGGATCCCATCCCTTCCTCCAGCATGTTGACAGCATCTCATGCCATCAGACTTGCTGAGGGTGCTCCATCCCACTGTTCGTGTTCCCAACAAAGATGCTGAAGAGCACTGGTCCCAGTGCTGACCCCTGAGCAATGCCATTTGTCCCTGTATGCACAATAAATCCCCATCAACAGAGCACTGAGCTCCTGTGTGATGTGACTGAAAAGCACATTTTGGCTGAGGAAAACACACTTGTTCCTGAGTGAAGGATTACTTGACACCCACACTGCTAGGCTGCTGTAATAGGAGTGCCAGGGGGCGAGGGGGCTGTTGAAAAGGAGCTTCCTTTACAAGTGTTATGAAGGTGTGAAAAATACCTTGTGATATGGTTTAGGTACAATCCAGTCACAGTTTCAGTCCTGCCCAGGTGCTGGGTGTTCTGTCCTTTCAGAAGCAGACAACATGATGTATGCACATGGCCAAGCCCATTGCTGGGGTGCTGATGCCAGGGTCACCTGAATGACACCAGGCATGAATTTGGCATTCGGAGGTTGTTTTTTTTCACTATAATGATACTCAGGAAATAACTGCTCAAGCAATAGCCTTGGGGAGCACAGATTTTGCCCGTATTTTACATTTCTGATTGTCACAAATAGATTCAGAACTATCTTCCCAGAGAAGAAGAATGCATCTGAGAAGCACCACAGCCTTCTTGCTCATTGCCTTGCCATCTGAGCTGCACTCCTTGGGTTTTAATGGTCTTAGCATGACGTGGCATTGTTTCTCCCCCCCGCCAAGCATCACAAGGCATGCTCCTATAAACTGTTCTTGCTGCCTGCACTTGGGAAAACAGAAATAAATCCGACTTTTGCAAAGAGGTGGGTTACTGAGAACTCACTTTGCATGAACATTCATGGAATGGGACCCTGAGATAAGCCTCAGCAAGGCCAAAGCAGGTGTGTTTAGTTTCAAATCTCTGTAGATACCATTCTGTGCTATACAAGAATAAGACTTCAAACCTCAGCCTTCAAACACCACAGACCCTGGGCTTCCCCGAGGACACGGAGCTGTTCTTCCTCGCCCTGGCAAGTGGGAAAGTTGTTTCCTGGACGTTATTTAGCAGCTTCCATTGCATGCTGAGCTCCCTGTTGGGTTAAAGCTCTGCATGAATGGCTGAATCAAGGACTGAGAGCCAGGAATGCTGTCTGCCCCTGGGCACTGCGCTGGGTTAGCTGGCGGCTGAACTGGGCTGCTGTCTTGGTACCTCTGGAAACAGGCACAAGCACTGAGACTTCTTGTACTATAGAAACAGAAAGAGAACATACTGAATTAGATGCAGAGCAGAGCAGTGCTTTGTAAGGATCTGACAGGTACTCTTCCTATACTGTAAGACACCATCTAACAAAATACAAGTGATCTAGTGCTTTAAAATATGAATGGCAGAGGGACTGAATAGAATATTCGCTACAATACTAACATGTTTCAGGGGCTTAAACTCTTTGTTCCAGCACACAAAGCTCTGACCCAGTCAAGCTTGTTAGCAGGGACAAATTCATTCCTAACTATTTTTCTCTGATGAAATGGAGTTGTTCTTTTTTGGGAGACAGGACTCAATCCATTGTGACAAAGGGTGGATTATCTGCCTCTCAGCAAGAGATTGAAACCTAGCAGAGTGAATTCGGATGTGGGTTTAGGCAAGCTATTGAAAACATGCCAAGAAGTGTATAATACAGTGCAGGAGAGCAGGGATGGTACTTGACTTCAGTGTGGTGTTAGGATGTTAGCAGCATCTGGAGAATGGAGATGGTATTTGGCAAATGAAAGGGGTATTACTGAGGACGGGAGCCAAACTCAAGTGTTATTTAGCTGCAGACAGAACCTCCCCTGGGGTTTTCTCCTGCCATACTCAGACAATTGTTTTTCCCCATTTGTAATGAAGCTCAGATTTCAGTATCTGTGCGTGCACTAAGGATGTGTGTTTCTCACATAGTGAGAAAATCAGCCAGACCTTTTCCTGAGGCCCAGCTTCTATTCAAGGGTAAAGAGAGGGGCTTTTGGACATCACATCTTGTTAGAGATCAAATCAAGGAGGGATGTTCCATGGGCTTGCAGTGGAAAAAGGATTCTTCTGTGCTGTCTCTCTGAGAGCCTCCTTCTGTATGTGGTGCAGGTCTGTGGATTTGACTCTTGTTTAATTACAGTTTTAATCACCTCATTCATGCTTCATTTCCCACTGTAAATGAAACGAATTTTAGGCTGCACTTTGCTTTTTCCTTCCAAGTGGCTGCATAAATTCGCCCTTTTTTACAAAGTGACTGATTATTTTATTGTGAAATCGTGCTCAGGGTGTCCCTGTTGCTGACTTGAGTCATCCCATTGTCAGGGAAAGCACCTGCGGGAACAGAGACAGGAACAATTGCAGGTTATTTGTCATCATCAGCATGGAGGCCTTAAACTCCCTGAGTGATAGCACTGACAGCAAGATGACTTTGTGTTTATGCATTCAAAATACAATATAGATTTTGGTGGTCTTACACACAGACTTCCAGGAAGATCAAAGTGCAGGTATATGCTTTTCCTGCTGTCTCTAAGGACAGACAACTCATACCTTCTTCCAGTGAGGCTCCCTGATCCTTCCAAAGTCAGTTGTCCATGACCAACATGGCCTGTTCCAGTGTGCACTGGTTCCAAGTTGCTTTGTCAGGTTGCAATTCCAAGGAATGTCATCCCAGAACTTCCATGACATCTCTGTTCACTGTTGACAGGGTCAAAATGGCTTCCAGAAATGAGCTGGGAGAATACTGGAGCAGGATAAAGGGATAGGAAGGGAAATAATGATCTTAGCAACAGCAGTTTCCCAGGGCTGGCCATGACAATGGCTCCATCCTCCCTCCATTCTCTGCTGTCCTTTGCCTAGATCCACCTGAGAACTCGCACACACCAGGACCAGCCCATGTAGGGTGGTCCAGCAGTGGAGGAACCCTCACATCCATCCATCCATCCATCCATCCATCCATCCATCCATCCATCCATCCATCCATCCCAGTTCCCACCATACCAGTTTCATGTGTCCTGGCCAGTCCTGTTCCCATAGTCCCAGCCCTGTGTGGATGTATTGGCTGATTTTATGCTTGTGCACCCCACACCCATCTACACCCTACACCCTGTCAAAAGGTATTCTCTTTCATCATATTTCATTTGTATTCACAAAACACAATTACCTCCCTCCTAAATACTGCAATGCTCAATACATCTTAGGTGCTGAACAGATTCTCCCCCCTCAAGGCTTTGGGAGCCACTATGCTTGTGTTCCTTCTCATGTGTGTTTTAGGACACATGGATCCCTGAAAGGAAGCTTGGGACAGAGCTGGATCCCACTGTTTGTCTGCAGTCTGTGTAGATGCAGCTTCCAGGAGTAGAGGTGACACTGGGAGCGCAGGGAGCACAGAAATGAGCACCCTGGGCACACTGGGACTGGATGAATCCTAATCCTACGCACAAAGTTAGTGGCACTGATGGCAATTCACCTGTCTGTGGCACCTCCCAGAGGTGGAAACTGAGCTCCTCAACTTCTGAAGGCTCAGGGAGACTATCCTGTGTTGTTTCCATATTGATCACATTTTCCAGATCATCACAGTGTCAGCATCTGATCTTCTGAGTTCTGTTCTGTGTTTCCTGTTAATTCACTATGTGTGTAAGGCACTCAGTGTCTGTACCAGTTATCCTGCTTGTAAAACAGGGTAAGAGGAAAAAGAAGGGCTAAAAAAAGATTGGAAGGTACCGCTGGAGGTCATCTCGTCCCACCTCGTGCACAAGGGAAGACTGGCTTCAATTGAGGTGACTATAATAATTACCTACATTAGATAGAACCTCTGAAGAGGTGCAAGAAGAAGGGGAATTTACATAAGATTAGCCTTGCTGCTGAGCCTCAGAATCCTGAAGCTGATGTTCTCTTTAGCAATTCTATTATTTCCATTAGTGTGAATAATTTCTTACTCTGCTGTTATAGCTTTGTTTTCTAATGTGCACATTTGCGGATGTTATCTGCTGATTGCTTTTGGCTACAGACCTCAAACCAGAGCAATTTAAAGACAGAGGAAGAGCATCACTTAATGCTACAGCAATACATCAGTGTATGACAGTGACAGTTTAATATGCATGATGAGGGAGAAGGGAGCTACCATCCTTTCTCTAAGGCCATAAGCTATGCTTCCACAAGGGCTATCAGGTTGGACAGCATTGGGTTTACCAATAACTAAGATTATATTGCAGGCTGCAATTCAATAAACAGAGCTGTTGTCTTGGCTGATGATGTTCTGACAACCAGCAATTTTTCTCAGTCACTGTGTATATCAAATTTCATTTATCATCCTTGGGATTACCAGCAGAGCACTAGGCAACATGCCATAGGAAACAATCGTGTGCCAGAAGGATGTTCTACCACATCTCTTTTGTTTGAAGTTAGTTGGATTATGATTTTCTCTGCTCTGCTATGCCCAAGGAGGTATGTGCACAGAAGATCAGCTTCCTGATCCTGGGGATGCCACATCTCCATCTTATGTCAGATACCTGCAAGGGGTGCCAGCCCCCAGGGAAGTGTCAGCCATGCACACACTGCTGGAGGTAGAGCAGGAGTTGCTCTATCAGCTCTAAAACGAAGGGATGTCTTTCTGCTTCTTGCTCCTCTAACTTCAGGGTCACATGGAGACAATAAAGCAAATTATTGAGGTCCACCTTGAGTTTCTGTTGTGAGATAATTTATCAACTGTATGTTTCAATTAGTAAAACTAAAAGCCTCAAGTTTGGGGTTTTTGATCATGGGTATTTGAATGATGTGTAGATGTGGCACTGAGGGACACAGTTTAGTGGCGGGCTTGGCAGTGCTGGGTTCATGTTGGACTCGATGATCTTAAAAGTCTTTTCCAACCTAAATGATTCTGATCCTGTAAGTTCAGTTCAACTGCCTGAATTGAAAGAGAAACTCTTCAAGTGAAGGTTTTATACACATGCTGTGTGTGTCAGAGATGCCACCAGTGCTTTTTGGTAACGTGTCAGAATGTGCCCTGTGTCAGAGGCTCCCCCCCAGCTCTGCAAACTGAACCCTGACTCACAACAGCCCTTATTTCAGTCTGAAGGCTCCACACTGCAGTCCTGACCTAACATGTCATCAGTCCTCACTGGCAAGATCCTCTTCTGGGGAATGTGCCAACCCCAATGGATTGTTCCATTTGGTGACACTTCTGCATTTGGGAAAATATCACCCAGCTGAGATGACAAAGTTAATTCCTACCTAGCATATGCCTCACTTGAGCAGATGAAGGCTGCTCCTTCAGTCTTACAGTTCTGCTTGTCTCTGCCATGTCTTCCTGTTCCTGCCCCACCAGCCTGTTTATGCAGGGGGTTATTTCTGCCTAACGTTACAGCAGATCTGCTGCATTTGTTACAACACCAAAGTGGAACTCTGCTGTGGAAAGAGACTGGAAAATAAACAGCCAAAACAAACCTCATCCTGGATTCTATCTTCATTACGAGTCAGTGAGCATGGATCACACCTGCCTCAGTAACAAGTCAAAGGCTGCACTCACCCAATGGCTATTTCTGCCCAGACATTAATAACTAATGAAGATACACAGAGCAAATAGTGCCCTTCATCTCAAGCCTGCAGCACTGTTACTGTCAGTGGGACTCTCTGAGTGTGATCTATGTCTTGATTGGAAAGCAAGAGAACTGCACTGCTGGTTTTGAAACTGAAATTCATGTTTGCTGATCTCATGCAAGACAAAACAGGCTCCAGCTTGGTGCTGCCTATCTTTGGTCCTTCTAGATGGCAGACAGGAGAAAAAGGTAGTCAAATTTGCTGTTGCTGATGATGGGCAGGTGAATACATATGGGAAAAAAACAGGCTATTTTTATCTTCTGTGTCAAAGAAATCAAAGATTTTAGTCCAAACCTTCAGCTGATGATTAATCAAGTGAAAAGTTTTATTTCAGGTGAGGAACTGACCCTTTTAATTCTTTCCTTGGTTAGAATAGGGCATCTTAAAAAAGGCCTGAGAAAACTCTGTATGTTGGTTAAGAATACAAAGAGATGCTTTACCCAGAGCTGTAAGCAAGCAGTGCATCCTGAAACATCCCAGGGAGTACCACTGCCCATCTCACCACCTCACAGCATGGGTGGAACAGGAAACAGGGCTGGATTTGGCTGTTCCTCTGCATCACCTCTGTGCCTGTGCTGGGGCTCTGCGGCCAGCTCTGCTCCAACAGGCAACGTCGCTCCTTCCAAGAAGGGAGTTAAAAGTAAAAGCCTGATTTCTCAGCTCTGTGTTGCACTGTGTCACTAGGACACGCGGGCAGCACTGGGGTCTCTTTTGCTGCCGGGGCCGGTGGTTTCTCAATCACTGGCACCCTCTGGTGGAAAAGAATCCAGGAGGATTTTATTGCCCGGACACAAGGTCAGAGCTGTATTCTTGACGAGGTGTTTCTTGGCAAATTGATGCACACTCATTCAGAATAAAAACAGACACTGCTAAAGAGAGGTCTTCTGCAGGGCTTGATCTTCAAGGAAGTGACACCAACCTCCAGCTTCAGCTGCTGGCTCCTGTAGAAGGTTTCATAGAATCATGGAATGGTTTGGGTTGGAAGGGACCTTAAAGCTCATCCAGTTCCAACCCCTGCCACAGGCAGGCACACCTTCCACTAGAGCAGGTTGCTCCAAGCCCCTGTGTCCAACCTGGCCTTGAACACTGCCAAGGATGGGGCAGCCACAACTTCTCTGGGCACCCTGTGCCAGCACCTCAGCACCCTCACAGGGAAGAGCTTCTGCCTAAGAGCTCATCTCCATCTCCCCTCTGGCAGGTTAAAGCCATTCCCCTTGTCCTTCATTTCCACCAGGAAGGACTGCTTGCCACATTCCTTCCTCCCGGCAGCACTTCAGTTGTCATCATCCCTAACAGCAGGAAGAGAGAGCTCTGTGAAGAGAGAGCTCTGTGAAGCTCTTTGCAGGTCTCTCTATTTCCCTTCTTTCTCTATTGGGGGTGAAACCCCACCAATGGCGTTGTTGTTTGTGGAGCATGTTGTGGGGAACTGGGAGTTGGGAGCAAGGAGAGGGCATGGCCCTGGCCACATGCTGAAATGAAGGAGCATCCTGTGAATCTTGATGTCAAGTAGTTTTCAGAGCTGGGGGCTATATCCAGGACTGTGACTGAGGCCTCATGTACCATCAAAACTATGATGTGAATGAACATATCCTGGTGATTGTGAGTTCATTTGGGGCAAAAGCATCAGCAATCTTAGTGAAAATGCAGTTTTGTGACACACAACCAATTCCTAGTGATCCTAAGAATATTCCCTGATGTAATACAGGAGCCATTGCAGATCTTGCCCAACAGCCTGAGGACACACATCTCAGATGGCTGGAAAATGAAGGGCAGCAGCCCAGAATCCAGGCTAAACTTCAAAGCCACACTTTAAATTGCTGCCCTTCTTTTTGCTCACTGATGATTTTGCATTATATCTGAGATCAGTCGGGAAGAAGAGAAAGACTTTGAGCAGGAGACTAAAGTAACACATGACAGAACTGTTGGATGTTTTAATGTCTGGGGGATTTAGTCCCTTATCTCTAATGCCAGCTGGGGAGAATCAAAGACTTTTCTTGGTATTAGATGAAAATTAAAACATCACTTATAAGAAGTGATGGTCGAGCTGAAGAAGGTTCAGAGGTTCACCTTGAGGTTTGACTTTGATTAAGCATCCAGAAATACCAATGCCACTTCAAATGATCTGAACCTCTTGGCATGGACAGGACAGGGAGGACGCCCTGTTTCTCCAGCAGTTTCCTGGCACAGGAGGGTAGAGAAATGTGGCCACTTCCGTTCCTCTTCTCCTCAGAAATCATCCGGAGAGGGTCTTATTTTAATGGCCACGGAGCGGAAATGCCAGACAGTAAAAGGACTGAGTGAATCTCTAGAGAAGGTTGTGTTCTGTGAGGGCAGCAGCTTGCTTTACTCCTCATCTTGTTCACATATTTCCCCCTGCCTCAATTCCAGGTGATGAGTTCTGCTCTCCATCCAGTGCTTCCCTCCCCAATGTACCTGTGCCATGCAAAACTCCCTGCTGTGGGTTCACATGGGTGTTGTAGGACATTGGAGACCTCTATGGCTGAGTGGAGAGAATGACATCAGAAACAGGTATGATCCCTGTTGTGTCACAGGGGTTTGTATCCTGCTGAGTTCTGCTTTCATTACAGCCTCTGCAGAGGGGCTGCAATTTGAAACTGAAGCAACAAACAACATTGGGCCTGAAACCTGGATAAACAGAATGGTTAGAGTTGGAAGGGACCTTAAGGATCATCTAGTTCCAAATGATGCCACAAGGGAGAAAGACTGGCAGCCTCAGCACAAAGGAGAGTCCAAGTGCTCACCTGACCTGACAGTGGAGCATTATCCATAGCATGCTCTCTTCTTTATTATATACTGTAATTTCCTGCACACTTTATTCAGGACACAGAAAAAATATAGATTTATATAGTCCTGTCAGCAGAAATCCTCCATTTTATGCTGCCAGTCATAGAATAAAATATAGAATGGGCAGAAACATAAAAAGTCTTTCCAGGATTAGGTTTTTCCTCTTTCTTAAGAGCTGCTGAGGGACAATAGCAGCTATCCAGTAATGCAGAATGACACTTGGCTGTGTGTGCGCATGAAGGGAAGGAGAGAGGATGAAGCTCGGGAAGACAAAGGCTTTGCATCAGCACTTTCCCAGCGCAACTACTCTGAGCCCAAGTGAAACATTTCTCTAGAGTGACAAATCAGTTTATTTAACATGGAAGAAAGACCTTAAGCTCTCTGGTGGCTCTTTAAAATGTCCCAGTGGTGGATTTCTCCAGTTGCCAATGAAACCGTAAAGTCAAATTCACCTTGACCTGAGGAGCCCCAGCAGGAAAGGAGCTTCTGGGAAAGAAGAGAGCTGGTGCAGGGAAGCAGTGAGTGTGACAATGCTGGGTTCACATGGAACCCCTCAGACAGGTTTGCTCCCCTCATGTCTCTGCAGGAGAGCCCTCCCCCTTTAAGAATGGGGACCTCTTCTTTTTGTAGGATACCCTCATAGGATCATATTATGGTTTGGGTTGGAAAGGACCTTAAGATCATCCAGTTCCAACCCCCTGCCATGGGCAGGGACCCCTCACACTAGCCTGTGTCACCCAAGGCTCTGTCCAGCCTTCATGCCCTCAGTGCTTACTCACTAGCATAAGCTACTCTTTTTCTAGCACTTTCTCTGGTGAATGCCAGTGGAATCACAAAGAAAAAGGGATTAAACTGAGGGATTGTGACATGAGGCCCCAAACCACAAGCCAGTGATGCTGAAGCCAATTCCACAGTGGAATGTATGAGTGGCATGGAGTCTGCCAGCAGATTCAAAGCAGAGGTAAGTGACTGATGGCATATGAGATTGCTCTCAAGTGTCAGAGCAATTGCAGAACTGCCAAGCACATCACAACTTGTGTCTGCACAATGTAGGGAAGTGTCAAGAGAGACAATCACCAGAGACATCAAAGTAATTTCAAGAAAGAAACAAGCAGGAAGCAGAAGGCACTGTGAAGGCTTGTACCAAGGAACAGAAGAAGGAACCTTGCAATGGACATCTAAATCACTGCTGAATTGGATCCCCAGTGCAGTGCCTGCAGGTAAATACAGTGCTGGGACTGAGGTGACACAGGGGTTTGAAAGGATTGTCTCTCTGCTGCCTGGCATGTTTCTGTGTGTCTGTCTGCCCTTCTCTGGGTCTGACTCAGATCTGGAACCTGCAGCTTTTGGGTCCCAAATCTCCATTTACTACATCACCTTCTCCTACAAAAGGAAAGGGATTTATAAAGGCATCTACCTTATTCCATCTTCTTTTCTTTATGTAGCTGTGAAGGGTCTGTTCCTGCCTGAAATTATCTAGTAATTTTCTTGTCTTTATTTTCAATGTTTCAAGTGTTCTTAGGAGCAGCACTGCCAGACTTTCAACATATTGTTATGGTTATCACCTTGATAAATATAACCCTATTCTGTCTGCTTACCCCTCTCGGAGCCTTCCCTGCTGACTCTTTATCCTCCTTCCTATCAAGCTTCTTTTCTTTATTTTCAGCATTTTCACAGCTTTTTCCTCCATCAGTTTCCAGAATCTTCATGACTACTCTTCACCTCTTCTACCACCTCTCAATTCCTATGCAAACATGCAGTCCAATTCCCTGTTAGCTCACAGAAAGCCTCCAGCTTGTTAAAACACCACTGAAATGCCTGTGGGGTTTTTGCACTTTCCACTGCACTGGTTGAGAGAAGGCTCTTTACTCACAGAGCTCCTCCTCACAGGCACACTGCTGTGCAGTGCATCACGTGTAGCTCACAGGTGAGCTGACCTCACTGCTGATCCCTGGTCCTGTGTACATCTTCTCGGTCAGGATGCTTCACGTGATGACCGTTACCAATTTAGGGCAGAAACTAAGTTTCTGCATTATTTTATACAGCCCCTTACACAGTTTCCTTGACTGACAGTTGGGTGATACACACACAGAAATACAAATGAAATTGCTATTGCACAGCCTAACAGACACCCTGTCAGGACTTATTTCTGACCGTGCTCTGATGAACCCAAATGCTTGCACAGACCTTGAGTTAAGCTTATGAAGCATGATTCAAGCTGTCATGATACTTCTCAGTTACTTGACTTCAGCTCAGCTATAAATGCCAAGCCTCTGATAGCAGTCTTTCAGATTTAGCTAGGAAATGCCCACTGAAGAAAAATCCAACAGAAAATAATAAGAGCCCAAGGGGTCAGATGCTCAGCCAAGTCAGGCCTGGAGATTTTAAGAGGTTTTCCTGTGAGATTTCTAGCATTTCAGGCTTCTAATCCTTTAAACTCTGAAGCAGCTGCAACTCAAAGGATTAAAATTGACACCTAACTAAACAATAATAACAAATCCAGACTTGTTTGAACCCCAAACACGTTGTGATTTGAGATGGCAATGAAAGTTTGGTTCAACTCTTACTGTGTTTGACTCTTAGGTTCCATCTGCAGCAGCAGCAATTGTTCAGCACCATTCGGGCCTGATCTTCACACAGCCTGAGCTCACCCTCATCTTCACACAGACGCAACTCTGGCAGCTCCTGCTGACTCGAGGACTCATCCCCTCTTGAAAATCAGGCCCATTGTATAGGAACAATCAAGAGCATTCAGGCTGCTCAGGAAGCTCACCTCAGTAAATCACCATCTCAGTAAGTTCTGCCACTCTCTTTTCCAGTAACCTGCCTGGAATAGGTGGTTTGTTTTTCGAGGTGAGGAGAACCGAGGGACTGTTCAGCCTTGAGCTGACATCAAGAGGGGGCTTATTCCAGAGGGAAGAGCCCAGCAGGGAGCACACTCACAGAATGTGATCATGGTAGGAAAGAGCAGAAATGAGGCTGGTTCTTCAGGGAAAAGAGATTTTCAGTGGGGAGAAAAAGGACAATCACAGGGAGGGAAGGGGCTCTCAAAGCCAAACTTAAGGAAAATTCAAGACCTGGATTTTTACTGAAGTCTCTTGGAAGCTGCTGGTTCAGTCAAAAGATAATGCCCCCAGAAGGGACTAAGGGTGTTACATCCACTGCTGTGAGCTCCCTCTGTCCCACTCTCTTTGCTGGGAGAATGAACAGTACCAACTGGGTTTAATATGCTTGGGTTTGTTTTTAAAGAGGTGGCAAGCTGGGAAATGAGAACATAAAACACAGGCTGTGATTTCTGTGACCAGGCAAGTCAGTACAAAGGAGTCATGTGGGACACAGCAACTGTTGTAACTGTACATAGAGATCAAAGGCAGAGCCGTCTTCTTTTTCATGCAGAAGGAAAAGAAATAAAAGAAGGAAATTGGAGTGTTCTCTGCTCCAGCCAGCACCCTCCATCCCTAATGCTCCACAGTGCCTGCTCTGCCATCAGTATTGTCTGCATTCATGTTGATAAAGTAAAGCCCTGCAGCAGCAGGACACTGAGCACACAGCACTAAACCCAACCAACAGGCTTCCAACGGGCAGTAACTGTTTCTATATAAAACACACAGAGTTTGTGTCCCTTACGGCTCACAGGACTACTGGTTTTGTTCTGCAGAGGCAGCATGCACTTTTACAGATACTAATGCTGTTGATTCTGCAGTCTGTTCTCACCTAAAACCTGGCCAAAGCATTTAAAGAACAGATGAAGTCATGCAAGCCTACGTTAGAGAGCTATTTTCTCAGTAACAGAAGGACACCTTGGTACCACATCACAAAAGAAAAGGTTTGAATCTCTGTCTTCAGAGAACAGTTGATATTGCAGCTTCCTTGACTCCAGTCATGATTAGCTTCTCCTGTAGCTTCCTCATTACAGTGGCAGAGCACGGATTTTGCTAAGTAACCCCAGCATGCCCCCTGGTTCAGGAATGAGACCCCTTCACTAATCCAGTAATGATGTGCAGAGAAGGCTGTGGGCTCACCCATCACTTTGGCACATGGGCCTCGTCGCTCTACCTGAATTACTGCCTTCTGTGTCCCTACATTCTTTGCTTCCTTAATTAGAACACAATAAAGCAATACTGCCATAATGACTAATAAAGGGACTCTTGCTAAAGGACAGATCTTGTTAGCAGGCAGTGCCTGTAGGGAGCTGCCTCTCTGCATGATACAGAGCCAGAATGAGGAGGCTGCTCTGAGGGACTCTCGCTAGCACCAGCCTGTGTGCCAGGAACAGCTCCCGGCCTTACACTAACATGGGCAGAGGATCGGGCTTCAGCAGGTTAGTGATACCAGAACTGCCCAGCAGCATGGCACAGCACTGTTTTCAGTCCCAGGAGGCTCATGGTTTGGGCTCAGAGACCTCCAGCAACATTTGCCTAGCAAGCCTTAGTCTCAGGCCAGTGGGCTCCTCTGCTCCATCCCATCTGCCCTGAGCTGATTCCCACCTCCAGTCACAGCCATCAACCTCCCCTGAGTCTTGGCTCCTACCGTGACTCTTCTGCCCTGTCCCATCTTCCCTCTTCACCTAAACCCCTCCACTGGAGGACTACATGGGAATGGATGTACAGGGGGAGGCAGGCAGAAGTGCAGGATCCCTTCATAGGGAGCAGTTGCTTTGGAGCTTACATTGAGCTCCATGATGCCTCAGTTGGTTTTCTCTTTCTGACACCACAAGCAGCCCCAGGTCTCCAGAGCAGCACTCGCCTTCCGGCGTGTCTTGACTCAGTCTTCCTCACTAGGCTCCCTATTCACACCACAAATCTCCCAAGCCTGGTTCCCTGCCTGTTGCTCTCTCCTGCCAGGTCATCCCTTGTTTCCTTCCTTAGACAGGTCTGATCTTCTCTTTCCTCACCTTAGATCCTCCCTATGTTCGACATTCATGCTCAGCTAGCTCCTTCCCTCTTGTGTTAACCATTCAATGTGCATAAAGACAGCAGGGAGGTAAGGGAGCAGAAGGTTGGTGTATGTTCAGTGGTTAAGCAGAAACCTTCATTCTCCATGGCTCTGGCCAGCACCATATATCCACACTTCACCTTTCGGCGCTGAAACACGCAGAGGAATAATGAGTTGCAGAGGGCCCCCCCCAGCCATGCAGGTAGCTGCTGGAAGCAGGGGCATTGCTGGCGCACATCAAGCGTGGTAAAAATGAGGTCTATGGAGTGCCTGGTGATCCATCACAGAATACTGGCATCATTTCTCACAGGCAGGTTCCACTCAAGAGCCACACTCATGCAATGCAAAGTACTCACTGCAGGGCACAGTTCTCATTGTGCCTCCATATTCCCCTGTATTTTCTCTAGGGCCAGCCCTGGCTGGTGCCAGCACCCAGCACAGTGGTAACCAACCTGATGTCAGAGGGGAGCAGTACAGGCAGCATCAGAGGAGAACTGATCAGCACCTGACAGGATGTGACCATGGGGCTGCAGGCTCCTGTTGCGAACAGGGATTAGTTTTTAACTTGTTTCTTGTTCTGTATCAAACGCTCACTTGGCATTAAGAAACGATAAGAATATACCTGAAATCTAGTGGCAGAGTTCAACCTTTAACATTATAGAAGACTGTAAAATATTGAACAATAGTGCTGCCGGGAAGGCAAAACAGCTGCAAGACAGGAAGCTTCCAGGTTGTGCCTTCTGCTTCGAATAACAGGGACTTTTCATCATCCTGCTGCCTCCAGAAGATTCACAGGAGGGAATGTGCATTTCCCTAAATAAGAGAAACAACCCTTAAGTGGGGAAAGAAAAAAGGACCTCTCTAAGGGCTATTTCCATGGTAACTTGTAAATTCAAAGCTCAAGCTGTTTTGGCTGCAGGGATACTCAGTATAGGTAACAAGACTGTTTGTTAATAACGGGAAACCATCATCACTGTCCTCCCATGCAGAACAGGCTGGATTGATTTTGTTTAAAACTTCCCCAAAACTGGCACAGAAAAAGGATGAACCAACAGAACAGAAGGGACTAGAACAGGGACTTACTCACAATTTAGCCTTGTAGCTCACAACCAGCATCCCAATATATCCCTGTAGCTCTTTTTAACCTGTCCAAATTGAAAGTGGGTTACCAAGTTCTGTAAGCACATACAATATTTTATACATAAGTACATTCATCTACCCCTGCAGCAGTGAAGTGGACATGACAGCACAGAACAGTCTGTGGCAAAAATGAACATGAGAAACAAATACCCCTTGCAACACACACACACATATACAGACCCTGAATAGGAACTCACAAGAGTTTATCCTGCTAAGTGAGGCAGTGAGGACAAATACTAATGTTGTTAAAGGCAGTGTATGTGCAGAGAGAGATCAGGTGAGGGCAGCCATCCTGAACAACCTAAGGAATTCCTTAGCATTTGAATACCTGCCTTAGCAGGTGGGTTTGTACTCTCTTAACTTGGAAGACGGGAGGAAATAATTGCAGCCCCTTATCTTTACTAAGATACATTTTATTATGATGAACTGCACAAAGTGCTAAGCTCAAAGCCTGTCTGATGCTGTTTTTCCTATAACAACCAACAATAAAAGTTAGATTTTAGTCTGGCCTAATAGTGCTGACCTTGAAAGTATGAGTAAACTCGAATTTGCCTTAAGGCAAATACAGCTTTGGGTTTCAAGTATGACTTCAGTGCAGTGAGAGTCCAATCTGAGAGAGCACATCACTCCCCTCTGGCTGTGTTGAAAGGGTATTGGGGCTGCTTGGTGTTTTCTAGCTCAGGTCGCACGCAGTCAGCCAACCTTACCCTTGCGGAGCTGAAGTACAGGAGGACAAAATGTATCTCTCACTGTGCTGAGCAGCATTTGGAAAGGTCTCTAGTTCCAAGCAGAGATTTCATTTAACATTTCTGCATCCAAGGATCTCTCTAACTAAATTTGCCAAAAAGCCAGTTAAAAAGTGATGCATGGAAAGGGACTGAGGTGATGAGTGCTGATGCCTTTGGAGATTGAAACGTGATTTAACTGAACCTACGAAATAGTTACTAAAGCATAAAGGTGCAAGCTGCTATCTAATAGTCAACCGACAAATCATCAGAAGGGAGCTAATTTGGTGCAAATATTGATCAAAACTCCCATCTTTGGCAGCCTCCCTCTACAAGCAGTGGCAACACTCCTAAAACTTTATGTGGGAACTGCTTTTGTGTACTTCCAAGAACATGTGTTGGAGTGTTCAAGCTGCAAACAGTGCTACACATTACCAGGAGACTGCTCCAAAGGATGCTGCCCTAATTCCCTGCTTCTCCAAGTGCTCACTTAGCAACAGTTTTCTTCCTCCTTGCAGTTAAGCACAGAATGACCATGCTGCAGACATGGATACTGCTCATAGAGCAAGGGGACTAAGAGAGACTGCAGGTAGTCTGGGTTTATTTTCACTTCACAGATGAAAAGGTCATTACACTCCTGTGCTGCTGTGGGGACTTTAGAACACTGTAGGATTTTTCCTTCTCGTGATCTTAAAATAGGCATTTTGTTCCCTGAAACATGCTGTTAATTAATGGATTCACTCTGTGTAGGGAAAGCAGAAGTCGTGCTTTAATATTTTCAGGCTCTTGGTTTTCAACCACAGAAATGAACCATCTTAAACCTTTCAAAAGTGATTTTTCCTACATTTCCAGATTAAAGCCTTTTTTGTATCTATCTCATTGATTATCATGTTAAACAAGGTAAAAATTACCTTGATACCAGTTTGTACCAATTACACTTTAGAGCCTACTAGAAGCTGGTTATCCCTGTATTTTCTTTCTGCTCTGGAAACTTTATATCTTTACTTGCCCTCATCTTGTCCCCAGCTCCGTCCCATCCTCCCACCTCTGACATTTCAGTACTGACAAGCTCCTGAAGAAATGAAGCTTTGATTCCAGGATAACCCTGGGCTTTCTGTGTCCTGCACCCCTTAGCTTTGCTCAAGAGTGCCCTCACAGTGTGAGATGTGCCATCTCCAGCAGGAACTGGCGGCTGCTCCCTGCAGGAATGAAGGCAAGAAATGAGGAAGGTGGAGTAGCTGCAAATGGGTTTCAATTAGTGGGTCTTTCTTTGTTACTGTAAAGAGAGGGGATTAGAGGCAGGTCACAGGTCAAGAGATAAAACATCCTGAAACCGGAGCTTGGGTAGGGCCTCGGTGGGCAGTTGATGCTCTGGGAGCGCTGTGCTAGGATAGAAGACAGGGCAGTGGCTGAAGGTGAGCACCCACCATGGTCCCGGGGGCTCTCTGTGCTCTGCTGCTGCTGCTGGCCCTGCGCTGCAGCTCGGGGCGGGCAGGGGAGTTCTGCCACGGCTGGGCTGGCAGCCCCCAGCGCTGGCACCGCGGCTTCCAGTGCCCCGAGCGCTACGATGGACCCGAGGCCACGCTGTGCTGCGGGACCTGCAGTCTGCGCTACTGCTGCTCCTCCAGAGAGGCGCGCCTGGACCAGGCTCGGTGCCCCGGTGACCAGCCGCAGCCCAGCCCCATGCCTCCGGTGCCAGGTAAGCTGCTGTGCCTCCGGCAGATGTGCTTCCTTCTTTGCATCCCCCGTAGCACCCTTCCCTGGTGGCATCAGCCAGATCCTTCCTCTCTTTCTCTGCCCTTCAGAGCTCCAAGCTGTGACCCCTGCAGCAGAAAGGGCTGGAGCCCTGGCACAGTGCTCATCTTGGTGCTGTGTGGGCCAGAGTCACTCATTCCCTTCATTAGAAGAGGGAATAACTTGGGGCTTCACTCAAAATACCTTTCTATCCATCTCTCTTAGAAAAACCTTTAAGCTACTAACAAAGCAACCTGGTAGCACCTCTATGTTCCTGGTAGAGCATGTGTGCTGCTGACCTGTTCTGTTAAAGCATGGGCATGCCTCTAAGTAATGTATTTAACTTAAGGGCTAACTGTAAAACTCCACTGCAAGTCCTTAGTTCAGCAGCTGGGACATTTGAGTACTGGAAAGCTCTTGCCTGGGTATCAGTGGCAGATGCTATCGGACTGTCTGGTCCAAACTTCTGTGCTTTAGGCTTTTTCACACAAACCTATTGTAGCAATTGCCAGTTTCTAACCTTGCTGCAGCAAGAGCTGAGAGTAAAATTACTCTGTTCCCTGGTGGATGCATGTCTTAAGGAATGAAGAACAGAACCCGGAATACACCATAGGTGAATGCTTGGCTAATGTTACTCTTACATTTCCAGTGCCTGTGTACCTGCCCTTCCTTCTTGTTGGGTCCGTATTTGTGGCATTTGTTGTTGGTGGAGCCTGCGTTGGAATCTGCTGCTGCAAATGCTTAAAATCCCAGGATGAGGAGCAGCAAAGTGGACTTGCACCTGGCCAGACTTGGCTACTCGAACCTGATCTTCCCTCTCGTCTCTCCAGTTCCAGTTCTGCCACCAGAAGCTCACCAAGTAATGGTCCTCAGAGCAGCAGCATCTCCATGACTCTGGCTCCATCCCTTCCTCCATCCCTGCCCATTCTTGGGCTGCCTGAAGATGTTCGGTTCCTAAGTCCCCCACCTGGCAGTGGACAACTCTTGCAACCTTCATGTGCTATGCACAGAATAGATCAGACTGCAGTAACGGCTCCAGCATCCTTCCTTAAAAGAACAATCTATGGGCACAGGGCTAATGCATCTCCTCTTGGGGTAGCACAGAGTGACCAAATGATGTACTCAGGAGCACATGTCTGAGATGACACATCAGCAGCCATGAGCTGGATGCCATTTCACTGTTATAAACAGCTCTTTTGGGCTGAAATGAGGACTTAAAAATGTTTAATGCTATTAGGAAGTGCATCATTTTGGGCTTTTTACAGTTCTGAAGATGACCTGTTAGAACTTCTTTTAGGTTCTTGGGTTTTAACATGTATTATTTTAATGCTATTGAAAAAGACAAGATCCTGAGGCTGGTGTACCTACTCAAGGAACAGTAGGAATGAGTTTCACCCTCCTTTGGTCCTCACACACCATGGTCCAGGACTTGGTTTCAATTTCTGCAGCTGTGTCACTTCTCGGCAACTTGGGGCAGGGACATGCCTTAGTGGAGTTATCCATTGTAGACACTTGACAGCCTGGAAAGCACCAGGAAGACTCTGCTTCATCTACACATAACTGAACACTTCAACTGATGAAGGATTACAGGGTAAGACAAGAACAAAACCAGACTCCAGTCAGTTTCCTGAGTGCATGCAGGAAAAGCCTGCCTGCTTTGACTCCTGTTAAGATGCAGGCATCCCCTCACAGCAGGACACTGAGAGAAAGAAGTTGTCAAAATATACTTACTGCTCCCTGCTGGAGCGTTTGAACACCTCCTCACAGCATGGACACCTGCATGATGAGACTGTGAAGGCATGGGAAAAGGACTCCACAGGGGTTACCAATAGGAGCAGGGGCCGAGGCTTAAAATTCTTATGAGTAGATGCCAAAGCTTTCCTGGTGATGGTGCTTGATAAAGATGGGTTTGATAAAGATGCTTAGAAGCTTCTCTTGTAAGTCAGCGGGACTAATATACATTGTGAACAACTGTATGCCCTTACACAATATGTATTTGACACTGGTTTATGTATATTTTACTTCAGAATGTTCCACCTTGATGCTGGTGAGCAGTACATCCTGCCGTAACGCTTATACTAAGCACACATCTACCTCAGTTTGTAAGGGCAAGGTGATGTATTTGAGTAACTTCCTGATTCTTCCATGGGTCTGAATTGGAGATTTCACAGATCCAGAGCTGTGACTTAGTTTTATTTGGCCAGTTTCTCTTAAATTTGGAGTAAGAATATAAGCATGAATACAGAATGTCCTAAAAATAAAAGCTTCCCCAAAATACCAAGACTGGTGTCATACACTTCTTTTAGTACTGAAACATAGTAAATTAAGGCTTCCAGAAGTAAAACTTGAACTCAAAAGTGTTGTCCTTGTTAGGGCGAGCAAAGGGGCCCTGAGATTTATTGGTAACTGTGCCAATACACAGCACAGCAGCTGGGATGCTAGTTTTAAAGTTAGGCTTTGAACTTAAGAGTGCATATGGCACTCAAAACTGGCTTCCTCTTTACAAAGTAACTGTTGTTTGCAGTTGGCTTAGGAAAAGCTGTAGCTGAATGGAGGATTTAATGTGGTTAAATGTCTCATTTTGATAGTCGATAATGACAAAAGCTAGTGTCAGGTCAGAGACAAATGACAAAAATGATGTTCTGGGAATAGAGACCAACTCCCATCACATTTGTGCTGTTGGGAAGATCTATTTTATGCTTAGTAGACTCAGACATTATAAACAGAGACCAGGTAGTTTTATCAGCTAGTCCTTCCTTTACTAAAACATGACTATTCTCTACTGTAGATGTTCTGAAGTAGAAAGGTAAAGTAGTATGTGACCTGACAGTAGACCGAAGCTCACTCTGCAGCATGTACAGAGCTCCTGTCAGCTTCAAATGAAACTCCCCAGGAGGCAGCTTCAGGATGAAGATTTAAATTAAATAAGAAAGCAGAGAAATAACCTTCCTGATACCATCAACCAGAGAAGGGTCAAGAGGTTCACATGGAACTCTGAAGAATTAAAAGGAGAAACAGTTGATCAGAGCAGAACAGCAAAGCTAAATGGCTTTGGGAATGCTGCCTTAGTTGCTCTCTGGTGGGACTAGTGGCTGCTTGGAGCCAGCATACCCTCCTTTTCCTCACCCTCCTCTGTGTATTCCACAATTGGAGAGCTGAGACAACAGTAACAAAAAGGAGGCAAAGGGGCTTAACTGAGCAGACACTCACGGCAAGGCCCCAATTAGGAAAGGGATTTTCTGCATCCCTGCCACAGCATTTTCTACATAGTTAAATTAGTTCTAACAAATGTCTGTGACAACAAAGCCTGGTCAAATATGTCAAGGGTTCGATATTGCTTTTAACAGTGCAAGAGAAAACAAGAACTAACTGATTTGTTGCACTCCATGGGCTGGAGAGAGGTTTTTCAAAGAACCATATGCTTAACATCTCCCATCAAGCCCATTGTAAACTGGGATTACCCCGGGCTCAGTCAGCATCTGCATTAAAAGCAGATCAACTCTTGTGGGGACTAAGGCAAAAACACGGAGTACTTTCTATGTAAATTCTATCCCTTTACTAATTTGAGAGGCACTGCTACAGAGTTTAGCACATCTTTAGATAGAAAGGATATGTTCATGCTAAATCCCTTTTTTTCTCCCCTAAACTGCTTTTCCTGCTGTAAACTCAAGCAGCAGCACTTAGCAGAGACTAATGGGCTACTTAGCATCTATTGTGCTGGGTCCTTTGCTTTGTTTGTCTAATGATGCCCCCACCCTATTCCCCCTCAGTTTCTCATTAAGAAATGATTTATACTCTTTGCTCCTTAATCCTCAGTAATGACACAGGTGAGCTGCATTGTTCCTGGTGTATTCCTTCTGGATTTGGGGAGAAAGAAGAATTAAGAACTGCAAAGGTGAAGATGACAGCTTCAGCCCTCAAATGCTCCTCATAAGGCCTGAGGATCTGTGTCCATGCGGTTTGTGTGTGCATGGGGTTGTCTTGGTTTGAACAGTGGGTGGGATTTTCTTCAGCTTCAATCTGGTCCTAATAGAGCTGAGATAAACCAAAATGGATTTAGCCAAGATTTTTGGGACAGATTGAACCAAACTAATTCAAAGCACAGCAGGTTCCTGTGTTATGTAATACCCTGGCTCTACAATATTCCCTGTTTTACTCCTTTTTATTCACTCAGTCAATGCACAGCATTGATCAATCCCCTCTGTGCTACTAGAAAATAAACCCAAAGCAACTGAAAGAGCTTTTACTTCTCATGCTATAAATCATGATTTGTCAAGTACTGAATAAAAGCAACCCCCCTTTCTGAACAGGTATCTCCAGCTTTCCTTGGGGGAAACTAAGCTACAGAGTTGTATATCCCTTTTCCAAGGCCACACTGTACTGGCAGAACTGTAAAAAGATTCCAGCAGCCCTAGCTCCATAACTTAGATTATTCCACTATTGGTATTAGCAGTAGAATGGATTTCTTTGGCTCAGAATAATGATGGATATTTGCCCTGCATTAAGTGACAGACTTGCTTTTATCAGCAGAGCTGCAGGGTTTTAAACGTAAACCCAGAAGTGACTTTTATGGCTGCTGTGTGGGATGGGTTTTCATGTTTATGCCAAGGATAATCATTCCAATCAAGTCAATTCAACTGTGAACTGAAACAGGAACCCCCTTCAAGCACAGCTACACTGATTTGCTATTCTTCAGTGCCAGGTATTCTGGCAAATGGATCAACAATTACCAGCATGTAAAAGCCCATCAAAACTACAGGTTTCTGTGGGATCTCAAAGCAAGGAGCCACATTCCTCATACAGAAGTTATACTTTTTCCTTAGGTCCTTCCTAAATCAAAGTGGAAGTAGTTACAATGTAAGTTCAAAGTTGTAGTGGAAAATGGTCTGTATTTCTATTGCTTTGAAGCTTTTATTTGTCGTTTTTACATCACCACTTGATGGTGTATTGGATGTTACCACAGTTTGCAAGGCAGTGCCTAAGCAAAGCCCCACATGCTGGGAAGTGCCAGCTGCAATCCCAGTGTCTTGATAAAGGTGCATAATGGCAATTATGGAGGTTCATGGAGCAAAATGAGACTGGAGGGTTTTGACACACATTGGGGCACGGAGGGATGGACAAATTCCCGGCTGGGTACATGTGTCTGCACAGCCATGGCCATAGCATCTGTTATGAGAGTGGATGTGCTGCTGCACCAAACCCCACTGACGTGGAGGAGAGGAAGAGGCTGCAGTCTCTTGTTTCCAGGAAAAAACATAGCAAAAAATCCTTCTGTGCTCCCCCATTCCCTCCAGGACCTGTGGGGGCTGCAGCTGTAACCAAGCACTCCTGGCACTATGTCTTCTGCTTGGTTTTTAAACTAAATAAGCTCTGCTGAGCAGGAGCACTGTAGGAGGTGCTGCCTCATCCTTCTGATGTATGATGGGAGCACAGCAGCCAATCATACATGTCTGCTGACAGCTGGGAAATCAGGTAGTGGCTGCTTAGGCGATGAAACTGGGAATGGGTTTCCTTCCCCAGGAAACATGGCATGGAGCTGGATATGGCGGCCTGTACACCAGCTGCCTGCATGCTTTCATATTGCTTTGTGCATGGATTTTGCTAGAATTATTTGCATGGAATAATGTTGTTTTCTCTCTTAAGCCCTTAACAGTCATTATTTTACTGAGAAAAGCTTTCCATGTAGTTCTATCATGGCACTGCCATCTCCCATTTATCAGAAACAGGGACAGGAGACGTATGTTATGCCAGGGAGCAATACCTGTCCCCTGATACTGGGTTATGACAAGGAGCAAACCCCAGCACGTTGGTGTTTGTGGTTAACTCCTGTTTTAACTGCTGGTTATTTCAGTTCCTTCCTGTTCAGAGCATCCAGACAAATGAAAAGCTTTTACAAATGAATGAAGGACATGGCTCAGTACGAGACTTGTGTGTGCACAGATTAAAATACAGTACGTTTGGCCAGTCCTTTTGGAAATTTGCTAGGGAAAACTTTGGAAGAACAAGGTGAAAATGGGTTTGGTGAAGCTGAAGTTCAGAATCCTGTCCATCATTTCACTGTATTCATGTTTACTCTGTCAGAGCCTGAGGAAGCTGGTTCTGGCTCCGGATGTCACGATAACCGGCACTGCACAAGACCAGGTCCTGGCCTGTGGGCACTCAGCTCCAGCAACATTTCCCAAATACAGGCATACTGCTGCTCTGAACTGACAACATGCTCCTACTATAGATGCAGTTGTACCTGTACCAGTAAAATGAGTTCTAAGAACACATCAAGCTCTGGAACAGCCGCACAGGGTATTTTCTTACTGAGTTTCCATAAGGGAAAGGAATTGCTTGCTAAGACACTCAGCATCAGGATTCTGAATAATGCAGGAATGCCAGGAAGTCTGGCATTAAAGCAGATGGGAGAGGAGATGTATGTCCTTTTATTACTTCCATGGATTGCAGCTGAATTTCTTGGTTTCTCTGGGTCTTTAGGCAAAAGGATAACTGAGCCAAATGCATTTTGACAGTTGGAGATATTGGGATTCAGTTCTGCCCTCAGCAGAATCCATGATGCAGAATTCAACTTGCAGTGTACCCTGCACATGTGGGGGTTTTCTGCACTACGTTTAATGTCAGAGGACCCCCGTCTGCAAAAGCCCATCTGGGTTCTGCTCACTAAAACTGGGCACAGGGGCCACAACGTTATCCCACTTCTAATGGGGATCTCATTTTAATGCAGTTTTTGTTTGGCTTCTTCATGCAAGCCATTAAGGATGCAAGTTTGTGGTCATGTGTATGTGTGAAAAACATAATGGTTTGTCTCTCAGTGTAACAAACCCACCTAAAGGTGGTTCTGTAGCAGCAGGAACTACTGAAGCTTGGCCTCCTCTGGAATTGCCTCATGTCTATGGGCTCTGATGCCTGGTAAGGTGACAAATGAGTGATGCTCTCCCAAGGCTCCGCAGTAGGTCACACTGGGGGAGTCTTATAAACCCCCTCTCCATGGGAGTATTAACAGGGTTTGTCTCTTTCACCTGACTATGGGTTTTCGTGAATCTTGTAGGAACTTCAAATCTTCGAGGTCTCAGTTCCTCTATCACATACCCATGACTTGATCAATGGATTCAAAAGGTACTGGGGAAGATAAGGAAGGAGCACTTAAGTAGGAAACAATACAGCAGTCAAGTTATAGACTGTGCTGCGCTGGTCTCTCCAGCAATCAGCTCACCTTTGTAAGTTGCTGGGTTTTTCCTCTCTGTTCCCTCATCTCCTGATTTTGAATTTCCCATTTCAGTACGGATCTTGAGCTGACTTTGATGTAAAACCCACATACTTATTTCCCCTGGAAGAATGCTCTTTGCATAAGCTCTTGGCCTAATCAGGAAGAAAAGTATTCCAAAATCTCTCCATCTCCTGCTGCTGTGATCCTGTCATTCCAGAGGCTTGGAGACAAATGGTGAAGAAAAGACAGCCTGATTTAGCATAACTCATGTTATTTCCAGGGAAACCTCCTTGCCTCTCAGATACAAAAATGAACTGCTACATTTATTCCTGTGTCTTCAAAAATAATCTGTAGATAAAAGCAGGAACATTTTGTGCTTTGGGGATGGTTTTAGGAACAATTTTCATTTAACTTGGTCAAAAAGTGTTTTAATTTCTCTGTGTATTTCATTCCCATTCTCTCGCTATCAAATTCATGTTGTACCTGAAGATAAATTCAATTGCAACGATGCAAAGGAAGGAAGGTGAGAGAGCAAGAAGTGGTGTATGCATCAGAGTCCTCCAGTAAATAGAGCAGAGATGTTCTGTGCAGCCAGGTGAGCAGCATTCTTTGGGAACACTAACAGCTTGTGATGGGGAGTGCTGGACAGCATTTAAAGGGAAGGCCAAATTCCATCAGTCCCTGTCACAGGCACTCTCACTGCTCAAGGATGCACTGATCCATTCGATACTTGGCATCTATTATGCAGAGATAAATCACACATGATTACTGTGTTTCAATCACAGAAGAATTCAGGATCAAAGATACCAGCAACCCTGAGTTACACAGAGGCTTCTCCAGGTTATAACAACCACAAATATAAGCAGAGGTCCTGTGTGTACCAAGGGTTTTGCCAAACAAGGTGTGATCTGCCTCCTGGGTTAGAAACAATACTTTCTCATTGTGCCCCTGCTTCTTCTGTGGAATAAACTATCCCAACTGATTTCCCTGCTCCAGATGATCTGTCCCAGCAAATAAGCATTTCATTTATTTTCCTCTTGCCTAGGAGGAAATCTTCCTTTGCTATTAAAAGATGGTTGCATTGGAATATTGATCAATGGTCTATGAAATGAGAGACAGAGTGAGAGAGAAACTCTTGGTTGATAGTTTAGATAAAGATTTATCTAAAGCCATTCTTCTGGGTTTATCCTCTCAGTAACTGTAATTTCACAAGACACAGAGGGAACAGCTTCATCCTCACTGCAGTGGATATGTGCATTGCTGCTTTCTACTGGAAAGACTCAAAACTGCTCATCTATGCATCAGGAGTCCTGTAATGGCATAAGCTAATGGAAATGTATCCCCTATTTATTGGGAGAGTATCCCCATTTTAGGAAGCAGAAGGCTATTTTTGCCTGCTAAGGATCTGAGTAGCTTCAGAGGATATCTGTGGAAAGGCCAGAAAGCTACGTATTTGTTTCAATATAAGCTCTCACTTCGAAGAGGAAAACAGACTCACGTGAAGCCAGGCATGTTTGGGTAACATCCTTAAAAGACTCTGAGATGTATTCCAGCAGGGTCCCAAAAAAGAGCTGGACTGGCACGATTAAGAGAGAGCAGAGCTGGGAGAAGCAGTTAGACATGAGAGAAGGGCAGAACCTCTGCACCGATGGACTGCAGTTAGTCATTCAGCCTGCTTTGCTCTCTCTCCAGTCAATGCAAAGACACAGAAACCTCTGGAAGGTGAGCCAAGACATGCAAGTTAAGCTCCTATCACGCTTAGCCCCCAGAGATCTGCATTCCCTTTGCCCACCTCAGAAGAGTAGCTTGCTATTTCACTATGTGAGGAAGTTGGGGTAAGCCTAGAGATAAAGGTGAAACTCTTCCTCCAGGTTTTGTAGCATGTAACACTTGCACAGTGCTGTCTGAAGGGCTCCAGGTTCCCTTTCCCGTTTGCTGTTAGGGAATTAGTACTATATATATTAGGCAGAATTTGAAACAGAAGAACAAGAACAATCTATTCTGAGCTCAGATCAGTCCCAGGGGATTAACAATTTGCTTCTTGTCTCATAGGAAACAGGTATTCAAAAGCATTTAGCTATTTTAGGAGTCCTCTCTTCACATAATATAGGAATGTGAGTGTAGGAAACAGCAAAACCACCACCTCCTGAAAAACAAGGTCTCTTTAAATTGTCTCTAGTTAGTAACCTAGAAATACACCCAAAGTCACTGCTCCGAGAGAGAGCACTGCTCATACAGACACCTGCTCCTTGGTGGCAATGCTTTGGGGATCTTACCTGTATCCTGGTGATGAATTCATAACTAGATGCAGGCAACTTAACAGCCCTTTTTATCCTGCCTTTTCGTACTCATGTAATTGTCTAATCCTTATTTGAAACTCCCTAAGCTATTTGCCTTAATAATTTAAGTTTTGTTCATGCTCTGGGGTTTGAAGAACCAGAGCATAGTATCTCCTGCAAGAGAAATCCAAATGGTGTTTCTCTGTGGCTGGGAGTTAATCTATTCCAAGCAGTGCCTCTGTTCCCTAGTGCTTTGCTTACCAGAGGTTAGCTCTCTGCTGCTGAAAATAGAAGATACTCTAGCATTTCTGTGCCAGTGTGGGCATGTAGGAATGCAAATCTGTAAGAGCTCCAGAGTTCATCTAAAATGCTAATAGAATTCTACACCTCCCAGTTAAAGAGCTTCCAACCTGATGAATGCACAGTGCTCATTGCTCCTTCCCAGATGTAAGGAACAGAGCTGCAGGTCTCTCTTGCCACTGGTCAGCAGGGAGTGGTCATCACTTTTATTGCTGCTATGCAAAGAAAATGGCCCTGTTCTGTTGAGGACAAGGGTGTTTCTTACCTTCTTGATCTCTAGAGGTGTTAACTGCACATGTGGGGACAGACATTCTCTTCAGTGCTTTTTCAACAGTTATAATTCTGCTCAGGTGTAATCTAATTTAACACTTAGAGCATCCTTCCATACACCAGAAGAAAAAGGACAAACACAACTGGCTCTCAGCCATGTTACAGTGAACAGAAAGGAAACAGGAAGAAATGTACCACAGCTTCCATGCAAGAAGCATATGGCCCAGCAGTCACAAGCTCTGCTATCAGAATAATGACATGATGAGCAGGGACAGCCCTGGAGAGAAGGCAAAATAGGGAACAGCACAGCTGTGAGCTCCCACTCCTTACCTACTGCCCTGAGTAGCACATCCTTGTGTGTGTACACACAGCATTTGTACACTAGCTCTTCACCATCAAGTAATTAACTTGTTCAGACCTCACAGGAAGAGCTGCTCTGTCACAGCATAATGACAAGACCAAGATGTACAGAACCTGATCTTGCCACCTTTGTCCAGCAGAAGTCTTTTCCAGCCATTATGTCGTGTGAGCGAGGAGAGGAGGAGAAAGCAAGAAAGCTTGTCTGGAAAAACTTCATCCCAAAGATCAGATTATTCCTGAAACCTGGAGAGCAGGGCCTGAAAAGGTTCCACAGATCCCCCCTCATCTCTGCACTAATCATCAGCTCCCTTGGGGCCAGCAAGGTGATGTTAAAGCACCCGAGTTCCTGCAGAGAAGGATCCTGAGAGACAAGGTGCGACCTGGAAAGCATGTTTACCAACAGGCTGAGATGAATTTTAGATCTCTCAGGAGGCTCCAGCCCATATAAGTGCAAATACTTGTTATTGTATCAGAAGCTCATAACTCTGCCTTGCAGTGATTAACATTCCCATCCCGGGTCTGCAGGAACACAAGCCCTAATAACAACTACTAAATCTCAATACAACATCCAGCCACCTTAGTCATCTGTTTATAAATGCAAACATCTTCACATTATCAACTAGGCAAGAAGCTGAAATCTCCCCAGGGGATATGCAGGGTTAGAGAGAAATTCTGCTTAAAAAGGAAGCTTTATCAGCAGGACGAAAAATCCCAACCAAAGAAAGCATTTATGTGCTGTGAAACCCAACCACAGTAATGAATAGCAACCTTTGTGTTTCTCTAATGCCTGAACAATTAAAGTGGATTCTCCCCCTTCAAAATGCAGGTTCAGTCCATTATTTAAGATTGCTTCAGGTTTATCACAGTGAGCAGAGTATTCTTTGTTTGTGGCAAACACAACTAATATAATAAAACCCTTCCCATTCTTATAGATAGAATAATGGATAAAATAGATAGAAGTAATCCTTAACACTAACTCAGTTCCCCAGACATCATCACGATTACAATGCTTGGAGCATCTTATGCCTGCTCACTGTCATCATCATCATCCAAAGAGCAGCTGAGGGAGACAAGGTGGGTTTTCTTCTTAAATGGATCAGAGAGGGAAACCAAATGTTGAGGCTGCTTTTGCTGAATGTTTTCAGGTAGCTGAGCAGAACCCTCATAGTATGATATATCCATAAAGGAAGCAGAGGCAGGCTGGGTTTCACATGGCTAACAGCACTGCTTGTGCTTCAGTTCCTTCTGGAAGACAAAGTTTCTTTGGAAGAAGTATAGCAAATATCATTCACTGCAATCTGTTTGTAGAGGCTACTGTTGCCAGTGGCAACTTCAGTCAGAGGAAGGTTACTTGGTGCTTTAGGGAGAAGTTCGATTCAGAGTAGATTGCAAAGACCTCTGACACATGGAAAGGTGGGTGGAAGGGAAAGGGCAGAAGGCACAGGGATACTGTGCTCCTCACTTCATGTCACTGAACAATTCCATTGCTCAGCATTGCTGCTCCAAGCAGGATGCAGTCACACATCTAACACATGATGCTCCACACAATGCTCTTAGTTTCCCTGGGTAACTGGTCTCATTTACTTGGGAGAGAAAAAAATAAATTTTATGCCTCAAGTTTAAGGAATAAAGCCTAGCTTTTAAGTTTTTAATAAAGCTCCTGTAACTCCTGGATTCTATCAGCCTAGATCAAGGTCACCTTATCTAGATGTCTTTTGGTTTTAGATTCAAGCTTGCTCTTGTGTTTAACATTCCCCGATGCTGCAAAGGACCAAAATGACAGCAAGACCCTGTTGTAAGGACAAGCAATTGTATTCAGGCAGAGTACATTTACACACAAGAAACAGTTTCTGTTACAGCCTGATGGTGCCACAGTGTCACTGCCCCATCTTCCTCTGTCAACTTTGGGGCTGAATTATAGCTTTAATATCTGAGGCTCTGCTCTGACAATGATTTGTTCTTTGTTAATCTGCACTGTAGAGTAATACATTGTTAGAGATGCTTCAGCTGGTTATAACAGAGCATTGCAAACAGAAAACCTCTTCACTCTTACAAAGTCTGTGTCTCTATGGCCATACATTATCTAAACACATTCAGAATCTGTCAATCTTTCAGAACATTTGGGTACAGGTTCCTGATAGAACAGAAATACATCTTTAAACGTCATCTGTTGATTGAAACCAGCAGCAAATTCCAGTGCAACACATTTCCCTGATCCATATTTTCATCACAATCTCCATTCAAAATGCATCTTCCACCCATTTTTTATGCTTATTTTGCTTTAAATATTTAATGATAAACACAAAAATACAATATTGTATCAATGTGGCCCTTATTTCATAAACAATTCCCAAGGGCTGCACACATACACACAGCTTAATACATAAATAAGGATGCAGCAGATCAGAGTCTATATTATTATTATTATTTATAACTGAAAGAGCCCTATAAATGTACTTTACTTCTCACAATTCAGGAAGAACCCAGCAGAGTCTTTTAAGCTGAGCTATCACAGGAGTCAGCAGGTGTTCTAGCAATAAAGAATTTGAAAGCTCAAGCCCTCATAGCTGTAAGTCTTCCTTAGTTTAAGGAATTTATAAAGGTAAATAGAAGCAAGGAATAATAACAGAAAATTCCACTTAACGAGGACAAAGGAAGGGTGGATGTAGATACGTTCTTAAGGGAACAAAGCTTGACAGGGAGCTGACAGACAAGGCAAAACCTTGGCTCTTCTGGGTGGATAACTTGTCACTGCTGAATCCATCTATGGATTGTGCAGATGAGAAGAACAAAACCTGCCTTGCACCAAATCAAGTTCAACCCTTCTGTACCATACCTCTTCAGACTTGATACACCTTGACTTCCTTTCCAGGCACCTCACCTGAGCCACGGGCCTGCCAGGTAGCCCCACACTCCTCCTCTATTCAGAGTATTTGGATACTCTTTGAACAGAGGGTTATGACTCAGGAGATCCATTTGTGAGCAGGATGGGTTTCCAAGCAAAGTTTGCCAGGCTCTCAAGTCCACAGTTCAAAACACACTGCAATGTGAAGACACTTAATCCAATTCTCATCTAGCTGCAGAGAGCTAAATAAAAAGGGAATTTAGCTGTGGAGAGCTAAATTCATGCAAGTTTAAAAGGAAACTAAAGAAGGCTAGAAGTTTTCATAGCTCTCCATCTTAAGTGTAGTTTTGGAAAGCATATGGAGTTGAGGTAACCAAAATAGAATGATACTTTAATGACACTTTGCCCATTAGGATATTAAGATCAGTCCATTTGTTTCAGTTGCTTTTAATTATCTCCTGTGGAGTCATTCTGGTTTTATACTGGTGTAAACACATCCCATCCCATGCTGTTTAATTTCTTTAAAGATTTTGTTTCCCTGCTTCCAATTTTATGAGGACTTTAACTTCCAGGTGTTTAAATCAGCAGCGAAAGAAAAACATAATCTCAGAATGAAATGGAATCAATTCAAACTATATTTTAACTTTATGAGTGTTCATTTTTTTATACTGGCAATTCCCAGACACCGATCTCAGGCAGGATAGCCTGACACTTTTAACCACAGAAATCTTGTCATTATAAAACAACCACAGGCTTCTTGCTCTTGCTTAAGATTCAACAGAGGATGCATCATAAAGGGGCCTTTAAGGGAACCAATTCTATTATTCCTACTAGCTGGCGCAATGACAACCATTGTGAAAGTAATATTACTGCCATTAAATCAAGAAACTAATTACAATCAGATCATCAAGTTAATTTTCTCCCATGGGGGAGAATGGTTTCCTCAGGAGTACATATAGGGCTGAGCCAAGTCCATTGCTCTGGTGTATTTCTGATTCTCAAGCTACCTGAAGGAAGCTCAGAAGCTCAGGAAGGTTCATGGGCACTTGTGATCACTAGATCACTAGAGCCAGCAGCTCTCACAGAAAGGAAGGTTGGGGAGCATGCAGATCTGGCAATCTGGCTCAAGCACACCTATGGAGTCAAAAGGAATCGGACTCATCTTTCTCCATTATCCCAAGTGGACACAGAGCCTTCAGATGTCTGCATCAAAACTAAAGACACTATTTTTGCTTTTCCCTTTCTTTTCTATTATCAGGAGCTCCCCATCCCCAACTCCACCAGCAAAGATCACTGTGATATCACATGTAATGGATTAAGCCTGCCTATGTTGAAGCTTCTAAAACAGAGAGAATAAATCTAGTTCACATAACGAGACATTAACTGCATTTGACAGTACTTGTGAGACACTACACACTGAAAATCCTCTTTCATACATAGGCACTGGAAGTCCCCTGTGCATGTCAGCATTTAGCCTGTCTGCCAAAGTCAATGTCAGCTTCCTACTATCTATCTTCTCCCTCTGTAGGTGGCTCAGCAACTCAAAAGGTGCATAACTATTTCATAAATACCCATCAGTGAGCTTATTAAAGTTGGGGAAAAACTTTGAAAGTTCTGATCTTGCACTTAAGAATGTCATGATATGATGATTCACTCTAAATGGTAACATAACCAAGTAGACAACTTTGCATTATCAAAGGATAATAAAGAAAATCATCATGATAAGATGATGCATCTTGTCACAGCAAGAAGTGCCATGATTAGAATCCAGGAATCTCTGCTGTCATTCTGTCTGACCTTCAAGGAGTCATTTACTCTTCATGCCTTTGATTTCCTACCTATAGTGTGGCAGCACTAATACTTATTTTACATCTCTTTTGAGAGTAATTGATGTTTTGAATGTTCTTCAAAATTGTATGATGAGTCAGTGCAGAATGTGTTCCCATTTGTATACTTAGTTGTTTTTTAAAGATATCTTAGGGACATGCATGCTGATATGCTTCATATGAACTCTTATCAGACTGGAATAATTGGAGACCAAAACAAGCCCACCAAAATTTACCTACATGAGTCCATTCTGTTAATGGGACTTCAGAGTTAACAGTTTCACAGTTGTGTTTTCTTTATAAGCAGCACACACAGAAGGAAAGGATAAATTTCCTTAATAGCTGCAGCATTATTCAACACACAGTTTAGGGGAACATTCCACAAAGTACCAAGTGGTTTGTGTGATCACCTCTAGCTATCTGTCCCACAGGAGCTGGGAACAGCAGCCATGCTTCAAGTGAACTACTGTTAAGAATCTGAGAGCTTCACCAATACAATGCAAATCACTACCTAAGGTTATAGAGGCTGTTATTTATTGAGAAGATCTCTCTTAGACTAACGTTATCTCCACACATACACAGACAGGAAGTGGCACAAACTGGTTGCCAAACTTCAGATTTGTGTCCACTTTCTGCATTATCAAACAGTGCCAGAAAACGAAGTCAGAAGTTCTTCCTTCAAAAACACAACCACCTGAAACAACTCACCTCCTCACCAGTGAGGAAATGCTCAGAGCAATATTGATGTTCCTTCTTCCAGGACCACAAGATTCCTCAGAATTAAGCCTGCCTCCAGAGGAGATTATAAAGATCTCGAAGCAGTGTCCTCTGAACAAACTAGTTCACCTTCTGCAGTAGAAATGGCATTCCACCAATAAAGAATTAGAAGAGCAGAAAGAGCCTTGCTAATATGACTTACAGCATGTGTAGGACACTTCAATACCACAAAACTGATATCACAGAAACTACCCAGGAATGAATAAATACTGTGTGTTTACAACAGATGGATCTATGATGGGTTAAACAGAGCAGCAACATGAAAAGCTGCAGTTTCTAAATTAAGGCATTTTCTGAACTGTCAAAACAACTCATCAGTCTGAAGCAAATTCTGAAAGATTCCCCAAAGAGCCAATCTATTACTGAAGGAAAATGATTAATAAGTCTAATATCGATCTGCTGAAAGTATCTGATGACTTTGCCTTTCCCTTTGAACGCTCTTCCCACGGCAACTCACTGGGAATTCATCAGGATGGTCCACAGGGTAATCGTTAAGCAAAAATAGTAAAAGGAGAGAAGAAAATGAAGAAAATATTGAACATTTACTCTATGGGTTTCTAAGTTTTCTTTTTTCATGTTCATTAATATCATGTGCAGGAAAAAAAAACAACAACATGACTATCTACGGGAATGCATTACTGCACAGAAGCGCTGAGGAATAATGTACAAGTGCCCAACTCGGAAAGGACTCACATCGATATCTGCAATCTGCATCCGCAGTTTGCATTGAAATACACCCAAACATGTCAAGGTAGGATGTTTGCTATTTACCACCATGTCAGGACCCACACTAAGCAAAAATATTTATCCAGCTGAAAGCCCAAAGCAAAATCAGAAAGGTAGAGCGTAGTTATGCTAATCCAGCCTGTGCACTGAGATCATCACCAGCCTTGGAAATGCAGCTGTGGCGCCCTTACAACCACTAGTGGTGATTTCTGCTTTGCTTCATCCTAAGGACACCCTTTCCTCAGGTTACACTGGGGAAGGTGTACAGCGCTCTCCCACAGGAGCAACACAAAGATTGGTATAAAAAGACACTTGCCACATTCTTCACAACCAGGATCTTCACTGGATATTTCTCCCAAGGGTGGTTACCAAGCCTGACCAAGGTAAAAGTGCACCTGCCTGCAGAGATGCTACTGAGACATAGGGCAACACAGCAAGAGACGGTTTACCTCTTTCCCACAAAAGATTTCTAGGCCCCTTTTCTCCACCTTAAAGCCTTGTGAAAATGCAGCTAATTGTGGTTTCCTGCTACTAACCAAAACGTAATTAACAACAGCTACCTACAAGTACAGGTCTTCATTTTTCCTTGCTGAAAATCAGTGGACCCTTTCAACATTTAATTTGTATGCACACTTCTGTCCTGCCATGGACACCAGCCAGTCTCCAGCAACTAGAAGCAAAGATAAATCCATTTCCTAATTAGAGATGTGAATTAATGGAAACCAAAATGACCATCTTAAATCTGGCAGGCCCTGAACAACTTCCTGAGATGCTGCATGCCCTCGAGTGTTTCCTTTGTAATGTTTCCAAACTATCCTCTCACAGCAATAATTCATGGCTCTGAGGTGCTACTTGTTGGTACTTTCAATGAAGCACTGATAAAGAAAACCTTTATTGTATGAGTTCTTGCATTTGTCCTTCATATTTCCAGAGTTCAAAACAACCCACCTCAAGCCACCTGCCTTTCCATATAGAATAATGCTTATGAGCATCTAATGACGATCTAATGAGTCACATTCATTTTCTCCACCATCAGAATACACTGAGTTCCAGTGGCCTCATGCCGTAATCCTCCAGCTGGCTCCTGAACCTCGTTGTGTCAGTCCAATTAGTTCTGCTGGCAGCATTCATGAGATTATGATTATTTGAGAAACATACCTAGCCAGTATGAGTTCTTATGCAGCCCTCTGGTTAAAAGGGATATTACAACTTTAATAGAAGGAGACATCTAAAAGCTTTTACCCACACAAAGGAATTCAACAATTGTGTTTAAATTTAATGTAGCATATGATAAAGAGATGAGTTGAAGTAAAAGCCTGTTGCTGCTTCTCACATAGTATTATTTATGGCTTTATACAGGACCAACTCCATGACATTACCAGACAGAAATCTTAATGCCTTTTGACACAACTGGGTTGAACCATCTGTTATCACCCACAAATCCTTTAAAAACAAATACTGGTTCAAATAATTATGCTGTTCAACATATTAATTTCCTAGCCACCAGCAAGGGGAACCACCATAATGAAATGATGGTTTAGGGCAGACCAATGAAAAGAATTAGCTGTACCCTGGGCTTCAGATCAAAAGCTTTTAATATTAGGATCACATCCTCCACTGAATAAATGTCAGAGAAATAAACTTGATAGAACAATGCATTTTCCATGCTCTGAAATTATGAATTTTAAAAAGGACCACATGAAACTACAAAATCTTTAACCTCTAGGAAAAAAATTCAAAGACCAACCAGGTCAGTAATAATCTAATACCCATAAAAACAAAGGACAGGTATAAATAATCAAGCATCAAGCTGCCAGGGAAGTATTTAGTGGAAACTGTGAGGATCTCAAGTTACTCTGTGTTACTACCTTGATTAGAACTTTACTGATATTTCTCCCAACCTTATTTCACCATCATTTATAACCCAGAACATGAAAATTGTCAGCCTACCTCTGAGATTCTTCCTGACACTGATCTTACCCAGCTTGGGTGCTCGCTAGCTTGTTCACAACATTGCTTTCCTAGGAAGGAACACACAACACAGAACAATCAATGAAAGGTGACTCTTTGGGCTGGAGAGGTTTAGTACACAATGCAGAGTTTGCTGATCTAAATGGCATCCACTTTCTTAATTTAATTTTCCTCCCTTCATCATGTTGACAGCCTGGGTCTCATTGCTATTCAGCTGACTCCCACTTCCTGCAGCATGGGTAATTGCCCCTTCCATTTGCAGTTGCACACATCCCTGATCACCACTATAATTTGTATGGATGGAAAACGTAAAAGAAGTGGTTAGCATGTGTAAATGACTTTAATTTCTTGCAGCAAGCTAGACGAAATGAAAAGGGCCAGCACCACACAGTCTGCTCTGCAGAAAGCAGGGAACAACTGAATCTTTAAACATGTAGGCAGACCTGTTTGTTCCACTTTGCTTTACACTCCTCTGTACCAACGCATTTATCTGCTCCTCTGCAATACTGTGGATCTATCTCATTATGCTGGCCAGGCTTTCTTTATATTACACGTTTAGTTGGAGCACAGAGTCCTCTCTTTCAAGAGGGAAAAGATCACTTGAGCTGTTAACACCATGTATTGTGCCCAATCATACCCAAGAGAAGGGTCCTGAAGACCCCAGCCAAGCTGAGACCTTGGGAAGTGAGTCCAAATACAGCACAAGCTGCTTATGAGGATAAAGCACCTCTGCAACTGACAGGCAACAGGTTGCATGCCAGGCAGCACACTGTGCATCCTAGAACTGAAGAATAAGCTTTTCTTGATGAAAAGGATGATTTCACTGTAAGAAAAAAGGTGGTGTTAACAGCTAACCTGAACCAGGGGCATCAAACCAAGATCACAGTCTACAGAAGAGCTGCTTTTATCATGAGGTAACCTACTGAAATCGCACCTCAAGCTATAGCTAGATTTCACACCCTGAAAGACAAACCTCTTGTACCTTATTTCCACATCAGGACTGCATCCGAGGCAGCAGCTATGCTACAACAAGCACCCTAAGACAACGCAGGGCTTTGCATTACCCACACTGGCTCCTGGCCTGTCCTGGCTGTATCTGGCCATGTTTCCAACATAAAAGGTACACAGCTACAGGTTGGGCAGAGAAGAGATTCAGAGCAGCCCTGTGGAGAAGGACTTGGGGGTGTTGGTTGATGAGAAAATGAACATGAGCCGGCTTCAGTGTGCGCTCACAGCCCAGAAAGCAACCGTATCCTGGGCTGCACCAAAAGGAGCGTGACCAGCAGGTCCAAGGAGGTGATCCTGCCCCTCTGCTCTGCTCTCGTGAGACCTCACCTGGAGCATTGTGTGCAGTTCTGGTGTCCTCAACATAAAAAGGACATGGAGCTGTTGGAACAAGTCCAGAGGAGGCCACGAGGATGATCAGGGGCTGGAGCACCTCCTGTATGAAGACAGGCTGAGAAAGTTGGGGCTGTTCAGCCTGGAGAAGAGAAGGCTGCGTGGAGACCTCAGAGCAGCCTTCCAGTATCTGAAGGGGGCCTATAGGGATGCTGGGGAGAGACTCTTCATTAGGGACTGTAGTGATAGCACAAAGGGTAATGGGTTAAAACTTAAACAGGGGAAGTTTAGATTGGATATAAAGAATAAGGTCCTTACTGTGAGGGTGGTGAGGCACTGGAATGGGTTGCCCAGGGAGGTTGTGAATGCTCCATCCCTGGTGGTGTTCAAGGCCAGGTTGGACAGAGCCTTGGGTGCTCTGGTTTAGTGTGAGGTGTCCCTGCCCACGCCAGGGGGGTTGGAACCGGATGATCTTAAGGTCCTTTCCAACCCAAACTATTCTATGACTCTATATCAACTACACAGAAACATGACCTGCTTTAACCAAACACCCCTCAGGCCCTGCCCGCCTCAGCGCCTCACATGAGGGAGGCGGCGGCACCGCCCTCACCGCGCCGGCCCCACCCGCTGCCCTCAGGGTCCTTCCCCAGCTCCGGGAATCGCCGTTGCCGCTGTTTGAAGCGCACGGCGGAGGGTTTCGGGAGCTCGGCGGGCACGCCCCGCCCTGGGGCCGCCTTCATCAGGGCTGCTCCGCCGCGGCCCGAAGCGCAGCGCGCAGGGGCTGCCGGTACCGTGTGTGCGGGTGGGCCCGGGTAAGGAGCTCCAGCCATGGCGGCGGTGTGAGGAGAGGAGGAGGTGTGGAGCCCGTGTGAGGCCGGAGGGGAAGGTGCCTGGTGTCAAGGGGAGGCGGAGGGAGGGGGGCAGGCACAGCTGGGGTCCCCGCTCTGTGGCTCGTTAGCGGCCCGGCCAGCAAAGCTCTCCCAGCCGGGCGAGTGGAGGTGCTGGGGCTCGTCCCTGGGGAGGTTTCAAGAAGGCCTGATGTCTGCAAGCCTTGTGGTGACAGGCTGAGGGTCTGGGTCCTGGCAGGGTTTTCTAAAGGGAATTTGTCAGCTAAAGTAAGTGTTTAATAGTTTTGGAAAGTTCATACCCGTGATTGGGCTGGTTCAGCCTGGAGAAGTCTCCTTAATGGGAGACTTCAGCGCCAATGCCTAAAGGGGCTACAGGAAACCTGGAGAGGAGCTTTGGACAAGGGCCTGTAGGGACAGGACAAGGGGAATGGTTTTAACCTGCCAGAGGGGAGATTGAGATGAGCTCTTAGGCAGAAGCTCTTCCCTGTGAGGGTGCTGAGGCGCTGGCACAGGGTGCCCAGAGAAGCTGTGGCTGCCCCATCCCTGGCAGTGTTCAAGGCCAGGTTGGACACAGGGGCTTGGAGCAAGCTGCTCTAGTGGAAGGTGTCCCTGGCATGGCAGGGGTTGGAACTGGATGAGCTTTAAGGTCCTTTCAACTCAAACCATTCTACGATCAAAAAACCCCAACAAATACCCCCCTACATCGGTTGCCTTTGGTTTTTAACTAGAAAGTGCACAGAGAAGAGTTTTAATTGCCTGTTACTTGGTGAAAATGCTTTTTTTTTTTTTTTTCCCCATGAGTAGTGTGCTGCAATCACATTTTTCCTTACTGAGAGGATGGAGATCTGTTCCCACAGGTTTACTTCTAGCGTTCTTTCTGGTTTTGGTGCCGTATCATAGCAGTGTCAGTGGTGGTGAAGGTTTCGTCACCGTGTCTGTAAGGTAAAAAGGTTCTTTGGAACACAGTTTAAGCAGTTCTGTGGCTTCTGTCTTTCAGAAGCTGTCCTGAAGCCCTAAGCTTGCATTCTGCCAGGCTGTTAGGGTAGATATTGCCTCAGCCTCATCAGGAGTAAAAGCTGTGTTTTTACTCCTGTTGCCTGTAAACATGTTTTATTTCCTATTTATAAGTGTACTTATGGCTTCCGAGTTATTTATTTGCTGATGTTGTAGCCAATACCTATTTTTCACTGTGAAAATCAGCTAATACCAGTCATATCTGATACTCTGAAGCGTTTCTAATTTAGCCAGTCATGTTACTTGCTGGAATTCATCTTCTGACTCCTTCACCATCCATATGCTGCTTGGGCAGCTACAGCGTCTTAGGTCAGCTATGGGATGGAGAGCTAATTGACTCTGTATTTCCTATGGTTTCCTCCAGCAGACTTGATCTTAATAACTAGCTCCAGCCTGTATCGGTGGTGTAACAAGCAAAATAATTACTTAGTGTTGATTAATATTTAATGCAAGATCAGAACAACTCTTTAATTCTGGGGACTGTGTCAAACCTAAAAAGAAAACCTCTGGACTTTTACTTGCCTTACTTTATGAGATTAGGAAGAAATAGAATCAGAATTATTCTGGATAAAGTTATTTAAGTCCTTAAATTCAAAGGTAGAAGGGGTATTTCATCTTTCTAATAGAAAAAGGTAAAGTAAGTAAGAGCAAAGCTTGAAAGTCTGTTACATGACAGGTGTCTGAGGTTTGCTTTGTTGTTGGAGCTTGAATCTGGAGAACTTGATTTCTCTTTTTCACATTGGGAGTGTGACTAATTTGAGAACATCAACTGGCTGGTGCTTGTTATGTTTTTTTAATTTTCTAGACTGATTGAAGCAGAACAAGGAAGTTTTGCTTTTTGAGTGGTGAGAGGCTTAATCTAAAGGCAAAAAATTTTTTTCAATTACTTTTTGCTTTAATGAATGAATTTATCCAAGTGTTGCTGTAATTCACTACAGATTAGAAAGGGATACTGCTCAGAATTCATTGCTGGTATTTAGTGGTAATTGTTACTGGGTGCTTACCCAGCACATCTTAACTGCGCACTACCCTGATGAGCAGTAATGTTTTGAAGGGTGTTGACTCGACCCTGTGTGGTGATGAAGTAGAGATTTCATTCACCTGTTATGGCAGCTAAATTGAGTGTGAGCTGATCAGCAGCCCTCCATATGTTCCCCAATGCCTTAAGTAACCCACTCACTCCTGTATAACAACCTGCTACATGCTCTTGTTTTATTTCCAGTGCTGCACCATGCTGACTGCCCCAGCAGATAGCTCTGGTGACTACAAAAAGCAGCAGATGGAACTGAGCCAGAGCCATAGCAGCTCTGGTTTGCACTACTCAGAAGATACCTTTGAGTCCTTCAGTGAGGAGGAGGAAGCCCACTGGCAGAGAGAAAGTGACCCACCTGAATCATGTTGTTCCACAGAGGATTTGGAGGGCTCTGCTGTGTCAGGTATGTTGGAAAGCATATCACAGTTGGCAGGCTGAAACCATGCAGGTATGCAGAACTTGCCATGCTTGAGACCTCTCTTTAAATCTGTGCAGTGGAGATTCATATCAGCAAAAATGTAAAAATTGTAGACAAGTCTAGTAGAGATATCCCTCATTCATCCAACATTTGACTTGGGTGGGCTTTTTTTCACTCTGCAGTAATAACCAACACCATTACCATTAGGAATACTTCCCAGTTATGGTTTAGGCATGAAATCCCAACAATGTGAGCCAGAATTTGCTGTCAGATGTGCATACATGAATATAAACCATGTATAGTGTAGCACAAGATATAGATTCAGATATCAGAGCTTCAAAAATTTGAACAGAAATGATCATTACTTTAGTGTCAATTCATGTTAAATTGGTATAATTGAAGGGTCTAAGAGATTTAACAGTTTTGCTTAAAATTTTGGGGTTTTACAAATAGGTTTTAATAACCAAGGTTTACAAGGGTTTTAATGAACCTTCTTTTCTGGAGCTGTAACAGGTTATTTTAAATTATTTCATGTCTAACACAGAAATCCTTATTTCTGGCATCAAGGAATACAAGCTGTGTGTATAGAGAGCTTTTTTAATAAGTGTTATCACTTTTTATCTTTACAAGGTTAATGCTTCATAAAATTATGAAGTCTTCTGAATACTACCAGTTAAATGAGAAACTGGGGAATCATTCCAGGAGAATATTTTTGGAAATGGAATGCTTTCTGCAATATATCTTGCTGCGAACAGCATGTATAAATAATAAAAGCTACAGAAAACCTGTCATGGACACATTATTTCCTTGTATAAGCCCACTGAATTTGAGATGAAAACCCTGAAAATGGAGTAGAGAAGTCAGGCACTTCCATAGTGTGCTCAGTAGTTTGAACTGGGACCATGCCATGTGCATCTTGCTGGTGTGGTCGTGACTTTTCAGACCTCTTGAGACTTTTCCCAGCTACTCTGTTTCACATCTTTGCTGTTTCCTCAGTTTCTGTGGAACTGGAGTTGTACTGGAACAAGCTGGAGAACAGAGATTCTTTATTTTTCCTGTCCCATGTTATTTTTCACCTGAATCCATTCCTCAAAACAGTTGACCTGCACTTCCAAGAGTACTTGTCCTGCCACACAGGAGGAGCCTGTGTAGGCCTGAACATAAGTGATGGGCTGAATGTGGGAGGAGGTAGATTGAGGTTAAGTTGGCATTACAGGTAAAGTGGCTGTGTCACAAGCTCTAAGCAGTAGCCTCTGTTCTTCTCAGTGTATCATATATTGTCATTCAGTGGGGTGATAAGAAATGGGTCATATGAAATACTTCATGTGACAGCAGCTTTCTCAGCACCCCAGAATCACTGATCTTGCCTGTGTAGTCCTGTGGCTTGGGGTTCCTTTTCCCTCACCAGTGAAATCTGTCTCATTCAAGTGGAGGATTATTTGCCTCCCACTTTCTTTTTCTGCAGTGCTGTTTCCTTTACAATATATGTTCAAAGCTACCTCATTTTCCTTGTAGATGAGCAGCCTGAAGTAGCAGATTCTGCAGCTGCAGAAAGAGATCTCGTGGGACGCTGGATTGGTCTAATAACTAAAAAATCTGACATTAAGCAAGACAGATCGGTCATCAAAACTCATGCTGGTGAGTTCAGTAACTTTAGTAGAGGTTTTAATTCTTGCTACTTTTGAAAGGGGATATCAACTTGTAACTAGACTTAATTTTTCTGTGCAAGCTGTTAAAGTTGAGCCAGGAATCGGCCTGGTTTCATTAGCTATGTAATTAAGTATGAAGTTTCTCTTTCATACTTTCTCAGAAAGCACTTTGTGTCCCGTAACACACACATGGCTTTGCCTCTGAAGCGGTGACATTATTGTAGTGATGCATTATCACAAGATCTGTATAAATGCATTAAAAAGTGTATCCACATTTTAAATTCAAATGTAATCCTCAAAATATTACTTGGCTATTTAGCTTTTCTCCTTTTGTCTTCAGGTACTTGGACTGTGGGTCTTTTCCCTCCAAAATAAACATGACTTCAGAGTTAATTGTGTTATCAGTGATGCTAATTATTGAATTACTTCCTTGCCATGTTTTAGTTCCTTTCCCAAGCTGAGGGAGGCAGCAGGGCACCAATTTTAGCAAGAACAATGGAGCAGCTTTACCCAACACAATGATGTAGTGGCTGGAGGAGGAGAGGGGAAGGGAGGAAGGAAGGAAGGATTCTGTTTGCATGTACTGGTTATGCAAGGAACTGTGAGAGCAGATGGTGGGATGCAAGTCCTGCTTAAGTCTTTTTAAAAAATGGGTCAGAGGTACTATTTTTGATGAGAAAGAAAAAAGCAAATTTAAAAGAGCAAGAAAGCTGTAGTTGAGCAAAAATAATTGAAGCAGGAGGGGAATTTTCTCAGTCTTTATGTACATGAAAAGTGATCGAACTCTGAAGCGTTGCAGGTCACCTGTAGGAGTGATGAACTGGGGAGATCCTCCTGCCTAGGTGCTTAATGGCACTGTATTTATCCACAAGCATCCTCAAACCATCCATATGTATCATAGCAAAACATGACCTAAGATAATTTTTAGGCTATTCTTAATTGTGTGGCTCATTCACAATAGTGGTGAGTCAATGTGTGAGCTCCTGACTCATCTTCAGCATTTATCTTTCTGTTGCTGGATTTCCAAGAATGCCATGTAGTCAAGTGAGAAGACGGTTAATATGGAGCGGAACATCTCTTCTGTTTTATAGTCTTCTTAAATTATTTTGCATCAGAATCTTGAGACTGTTTGATTCATAGGGAAATGGAAAGTACCTGATGAGCTCATTGAATGAGTGATAAATAATGATATAACGTGGAGGAAGTTTTCCACCTCTGCAGAGCTTTCCTTCGGAAGTTAACAGTTGGGAAGATTGGGAAGATATTTCCTCTTAATTTCAGATGTTTTTAGTTTTGCATAAGGGAACATTCTTCCTTTGGTTTATGGGCTTTAATGGGTGCGGAGAGTCAGTCTTGAGCAGCAAGCTCTGTTTCATTAGCTTGTGCTGATGGATAAGGGGCTGTCTTGTCTTCTGTCTGCTTGCCCTGTTGCTTGTCATTGTGGCAGCTAAGCACTTCTTAGGTACATTGTCACACTTTTCCCAACCATTGTCAACATTAAGAGCATAAAATAAGGCTCATGCTTATGCTTCTTTCATGTGATTGACAAGTTATCCCTAAACTCATCAGCATCGGTCATACTCAGCCATGTACTACATTGCTTTTGTCATGGAATATTAATATAGAAACAAAATCGGCACATCAGCTTCTGGATACTAACATCTACAAATGCCTCCTGCTCTTTAACTTCATTCAGTACTTGGTAACCCCTAAGCTTCTTGTTATGTTACCAAATTGGAGATATTTTTTATTAAATAAAATAGAAGATGAGCTTACCATTATTCACCTCAGTAAACTCAGCAAAATGACTTGTATATGCTGAGCATACATGGTACTTCTGCATTTGTCTTCAGGTAATAAAACAGAACTTCTTTTTATTATCTTACTACTGACAGAATTAGAAGGGGGGATCCCTGTTTTTCATATGGGAATGTCCTGGAATGATATTCTTACTTGTCATAGTTTTCTTGGTGGGCTGAAAAAGGAAAACCCTGGCTGCTGGCCTTGAGAGAAGTGAGAAGTTTTGTCACGGTTGTCTTTCTGTCTTCCTCTGCCCTTCTATACCCCAGTGTTGTAGCAACGAGCTGTTATTAGATAAATGCATCACAAAATGACTCAAAGTCCCCGTTTCCATCCGAATTATTCTAAAGACCATCAGCCACCTTTACTGCAAGAAACTGCATTTCTTCAGGTGTATGTAAAAGTCCATATGGGGCTTTAATGCTCTGAGTTACTCTGTGTTCAGAGGTTTGCTCTCACCTTTGTAATATGTCTGCATTAAAGACTGCTCATTTATTTTTCTGCAGTGTTACCACTGCACTGTTGCTGGCAAAAGAGGGAGTGATTTAGTTATTAATGTTACTTAGAGGCACAGAAATGCCTGAGCAGTTTTGTGGCTGAAATACAGTTCAGTCAATATCACCCATTAAGCCATTATTGTTACTATGATAGTGGTGTCGATGCTGGGAGATCTGTAAGTAAAAAAGGCCAGTGTAGATACAGGCACATAAGTACCTGTGGTTTGTGGTGTTAAGGTGAAAGGTGCTGGCATGTGCACAAAGAGGGAAGTAAAAGCATTTCTTTTTTCACCAGATTGTTTTCCAGCTTGTCCAGAGTATTTCAGAGTTGATCTATTTCATATTCACTTTGTGAACAAATTTCCTTATGTCCAAGTGTTTGATTATTGACTTGCCAAATAGCAGTACTTTATTGGAAGTGTTCATTGGAAGTTGTAGTAGTCTATTTATGAGCATAGAGAAAGCATCCTATTGCTCTGTTTGGTGGAGGGAGCAGGTATCTAGCAGCCTGTGCTGGTGCTTTCCCATTCCTGAGTTTTTTCAGTACTAAAGGTTGCTGCTTGATAACATGCACTGGTTATGGGATTCCTGCGGATCTAGTTAGGCCCTGAGACTCCAAACTTCAGTTATGATTCTGTAGTAGGATAATGTTAATGTAGGCTACGTGGGGGAATTCCAGCCAGAGACATCTAAAGGGAAACCTCTGCTTGTAAAGAAAGTGAATGCAGTTCATTAATGGAGCTGGGAAAGAGGTGGTTTTTTTCCAACAGATGTGGATTCTGCAGGGTTCTTGCTGTTCTCCTGTCTCAGTAATGGTAGTGGAAACTGGGGGTATCCTTCGCCATGCTGGAGGAACTTTATTACAATTATTAATTTAAAGCCGGTAAAGAGCCTGGTGTTTTCAACTGTATCAGTTGTGTGTTACCTGCACGAGGCTTTCAAACACCGTTTGCTGGAGGTGCTGCCTGTGTGTTAATCTGACCTGCTGCACTCAAGTGTACATCCTGAAATGCAGAATTAAAATGTTCCTGAAGAATAGTTGTCAATTCCTACCTTTCATAATTACCTCTCCTTTAACTGTCTTACTTTTTTTTCCTCTTAAAATAGAGCATTGGTAGCACATAATAACAACAAAGTGCCTGCCTATTTTCCTGTTAAATCAGTTAGACATCAAAGGAAAAGGAAGCTCAGTGAAGCTTTTCTTTACTTTTCTCCCTCCACTCATACAGATTTAAAATGTCATATTTAAAGATGCAGTTGCATGCAGAAAGCAAAATCTATGTAGGTCAATTATAAACTGCACAGCAGGGTTTAGAATGTAGACATGGAAATGAGCTTACCTCTGTTGGTACACACTGAGTGCTGCTTTAATCACAGCAGCTTCTTGGTCCAGTTTGTTGGGCTTCACTTTCTCATACTCTGTGCTTTGTGACCTTACTGCTGTATGATACATGGCTCTGACTGGATCCCTATTCTGGTGTCTGGTTTTGCTACTCTCGTCACCTGTTCCTGCTTTATTCCTCTCCAGCACGGGGAATGTGGGAATGCAGGATGCGGGGCAGCCAAGCAGCAGCAAAATCTACTTCTGGAACAGTAATTGACCCTGACAGGGGTTCTCTGTGGGCAGACGTGCAGTGACATTTAAGTCTGCCACACAAATGGAGATGGAGCGTTCAAGCATGTCTAGTTTGGAGATGGAAAGGAGGGACGATGTGAAAAGCACTAGAAATAATCCCAAGCACCACAGCAAGTGCTGAGATCCTCTTTTCCTTCAGCTGAAGGACAGGTGAACCTTGCACAACCAGGAGAAAATCTGAAAGTGTCAACAGTTGTGCACTCAAAGACTAACTTTTAACTGTGTCCTGACTGTTCTCATCATTTTTTTTGTTGTTCCAGTAAAATGACAGTGCTTGATCCTCAGTCATTTTTATTCATTGAGCTTATTTACTGTTAAGCATGAATTAATATTAAGCAAGTAACCTTTTGAAATTGGTTGTGCAGTCAGGTTTAAAATGCTGTTCTCTTTGCTGCTGTTTCTTCTCAAGTCTGTAGGTGCAAATGGAGCAGGTGGGTGGGTGTATGGCAGCTCCCAATTCATGCACTATTAGAAACCAATTCTGAATTAAATGGGCTTCTGGATGCCAGGAGAAACTTAAATGAATGTATTAGGCTGGTATTAAACTGTCACAAATGTTCAGCAGAGCCCATATGCAAGATTCCTGCTTTGCTTAGGCTTAACTAGAGATCCCCTTATCCTTTATAGAGTTTGACTGCATTTATGAAGAGATGCTTGGATTCCTTGCACGATTCCACAGCTCTGTCTTCTGTACTTGAGACTAAACTCATTGCAACGCATTTAGGCAAAGTTCTACATTCATGTTGTTCAGTGTTTTAAGGATTTGTTGTGGTTGTGCCAGGGTACTCCACAAGACTGGAATGCCAATGCACTGATTGCAGGCAAACACAGTGAAATAGGCAGTGTTTGTCTAGAAAAAAGTAAAACTGAATTCAAGCACTGAAATGGAGGGGTTTTTTAAATATTCGAGTGGAAAATTCTTTTTTGCTGTTCTTTTCCAGCTGAATGGGCAGTATAATTCATTTCTGAAGACTTTGAGTGAAAACAAACTGACTCTTCTGGTGGTCAGAGTGGAGCCCTGAGAAGGGAACGCTGTGTTAGCATTAGCTACATGCAAAGGTGTTGATGAGACTTTAGTAATGCTTACAGCAGTGTTTTGTCTTCTCATTTCTCCTTTAATTACACACCGTAAAGTGTTTAGTTGGGCCTCAGTAGTTGCATAAAACCGAAACCTGTGTAATAAAGGTAGGGAGGTACTCTCCTTGTTTATATAATTGAAAGCAGTGGTATCTTAGGGCAGCATCGTACTACACAGCATCGTTACATGCTGATGCTCATGAAACACTCTATACTGATTGGCTGTGTTTAAGCCTGTGGAAAATCTCCCACTAAGTATTGAATGAAGCTGTAATTCCATCCTTGCCTGCCCATCTGAAGTATAAGCTCTCTTTTTATTTGTAATTACATGCCACTGGGAAGGATAAGAGAAGGTGAAAGATGTTTAAACAAGGTCATAGAAAGAGTTTAGGAACTGACCATTGAAGCTTTAGAGGAAAATATTTTCTAATATAAGTTTTAAAAAGCCTAACTGTAGGTTGTAGGATATATTTGAGGTGTTTTCAATAGGTACTGCACTAATTTTTCAGTGTCTTAGGAGTTGCTCCTCAAAGTTACTAGGTGCATAGCTCTCTTTAAATATGAAGTCATTTTGGTTTAGCAAGTTTCAGTTTCATGTACAAAGAAGCTGAATCTGTATTAGACAATAATGGAAACTCACTTTAACATCACAGCACTTAAGTAGTTGCTTTATTAATGTATATGTGCCATATCATTAAGTAGTCTAATTCTTTAGAGTTCTTATGTCCTCCCTTCTTTCGAAGACTACTCATACAGATGTTTATTCCTACAGTTATCATCCAGGTTTGTATTTAAACTTTGCACTGCTGTTATTACAGTTGTTGACTCTAGGCTTAACATTGGGTTTGGGTTTTTATTGGGTTCCACAGATAGAATTCTTCTCTTTAATACAGTGATTAACACTTTTGTTTAGTTGATCTATGCCTGACAGAAATGAGTGAACTCTCAGATGAAGAACTGGATGCTCTCAGGTCCTTTTGCACTAAGAAGATAAGTGGGATGCATCAGCAGCTGATCTCCAAGCAGACAAATGGTGACAAGTCAAGAAAGCTGCAGCTGGGATTGACAGCAAAGAAACCAGACACAAATGACTTGAGCTGCGTTGTTCCTGATGGGCTGATGAACAGAATCCGCCTGAAAAACATCGGTGAGACTGTTAAACAGGTACTGCAAGGAAGAAACAATACGGATTTTTGGGAGAACCACTGCTTGAGAAAGCTATAATGTAAGGATCAGATCAGGTAGCCCTTATGGCATACTCAGGCCTCTGAGAGATTTTTGCTCTGTATCTCAAGATTTACCTTTCTCATTTATTTGACACTGCTGCAGAACTGTTGCTGGTAAACAACCCATCATTACAGAACACTGTCTGCTGATAAAGTCCTGATTTGTGGGGTTGAGCCAGGCTGGGTGGGCAGTTACTGCAGTCCACAATAAACCCTGGATCAGCTGAAGAAAACAGCCTGCTTTGATGGTTATGTTTGCAACTGTTATTTATGGAAGTACTCTGCATGTTGTTTGCTTGTGACTCCAGTATTAGAAGTATTCCAAAAACAAAGCCTCCTCCTGCTTCCAGCTTAGACATTAGGTCATGTTAAGAATTAAAACATGCCCAGTAGGATCTTGGTGACATCAGTTCCTTTATTAAGAAGCATCCATCATTTTTACACAGTTCAAAGTGCTTTTCTTTTTCACCAGCCTGGTGCCTTTTCCCCCTTGTAAAACACATTCTGACATGGCTCTTCCTTTCAGCTCTGCATCTGAGAGCCTAAAGACTCTTCTTTTTTTGGCCAGTGATACTTGCATTCTTGCCTTGTGCTTGCAGATGGATTTGAATATGTGGTGATACAGATTTGAGTAGTGACTGTTACCTACAGATGCCTTTGCCTGTAAATCTGGGCCTTGGAAATGTCTGTACTTTGAGATTAGTACAGAATGTCTGCATCTGGTCAAGTATTTCTGATAAAGCAGAAAATGAGCTTTGAGTAGTAATCAGTAATTTATTTTGGTTTATTTCAATGTCATTTGCTGGCTTTATTGTTGTAGCAGAGCAAAAGTGATAATGTACTCCCCTGCAATGCCTGTGCCAGGTAAGCAGCTGTGATACTTTTAAAGTCAGTTTTTCAGGCTTCCTCTTTCTTAAAATTGCTCTGATGCTTCAGCCATCTGCATTCTTTCACTGTATTAATGGTAACCAACCCACCATCCAAATTTTGTAGAATTCTTATTGCCTCTTACTTGTCTTACAGTGTGGTAATACATTTTCTCAGAGCAGTAGCTGACTTCTGTGTCTATTTGCTTCTGGCTTTACCTCAGTGTAATAACATTTTTATGTAGAGAAGTCGTCAAGGAAGAAGACGAAGAGGTTTGGGACTTGACATTTTAGGATTGATTGCATTGCTTTTGTAGTAGCTTGTTTGGTTTATGTAACCAGGTGGAATCTGTGTAAATTACATAAGAGACTATTATTGCTATTTCATAAATGCACAAATGCTGGGATTTGTGTAATGCTTAAGACTTTGTGGTGGGTAAACTGACCAAGGAATTAAGTACTACTGTAGGAGCAGTACTTATTACAAAATAATTTACAACTGCCTATCAAAGCACATCTTTGTCTTTAGACTGTATCTGTATGTTTATTGCTTGTTCTTAATGGGGTGGTCATATTTTGCTGGGACAAACTTTGCTCATTGCATCAAAGTCTCATTTTTCAGGTGACAGAAACTCGGATCCACGATCCCTCGGTGTGCCCTGACTGTCAGGAGAAGGAGGCAGAGCTAGCCAAGATCACCTTCTGCAGAAGAAAGAAGGTTCTGATGGAAAGTGCTTTAATTCAAGAGAAATTGGAAGAACAGATTTACTTAAGAGTAAGCAAATGTTGTTAAAGAAAAGTTGTGGTACATCTTACCCATGCAGTAACTAAAGAAATCTGTAAGCCAGGTTTCCCTCTGACTTTGGGCAGTGGGATCAGATTGACCTAGATGCAGTGCTCCTTATCATTAATAAAATGCTTGGGACTAACATAACTGATCAAGTAATTTGAGTTTCCTTATTTATATTAGCTGAAGGTCTTTCCCAGGGTGTCATGTAATTGTTGTGGGTATGTCTGGATTATTTCTCCACAGCTTGTTTTCTGACAGACTGTCCAAGACAAAATATGAGTAACAAAATAATGTGACAATAGGCGATTGTGCTCCTATTTTCTTATTCATCTTTTGGTGTAGAAGTCTCAGGATAGGGCACTGCAACATTTTATGGTGGCTAAGGCCTCTCACACAGACTGTTACTGCTTCTTGGAAGAACTGCCTTCTGTGTGTCTACTGTCACAAAGGGTCCAGCTTTATTGTTAGGGAATAACCTTGGACCAGATGGTAGGCAATGTAAGCTACAACTTACAGAATGCATTGGGTCTTCTGGTGCTATTCCTCAGGATGATCTTCCTTCAGGAAAAGCTCTTCTCTCCTTTGTTGAAAGGGAGTCGGATTGAAAGGAGGTCTTGTCTAAGCAGTGAGCAAGTAGTGCTTCCTGAAGCCCTGAGATTGATCTCTGTATTTGTGAGCAGAGTGGGAATTTGGTTTTTTGTTATTTAATAATGCCCACTGTGACTCCATTCACTCCAAACCCAAATAATCTGTGTTTCCTTTTTATTTCAGGATACGTTTACACTTCTAGGAGAAGCACTCAGAAGCTTACCCAAACCTTCAGAGGATCCCAGGAACCTAAGGCAAAGGCTGAAAGGTAAGGAAATATTCAGGCCTGAAAGCAGTAAACGTAACTCGGGGACATAAAGAATGGGGGGAGTTTTCTGGGAGCAGTCCCATCTGAATGCCAAGGGCTGTGGATATGACATGTTTTGTCAGTGATGAATTGGGTGATGCTTTAATATTCTTGCAGGTGGAACCTGCTGTGCCCAGCATGCTGGTGTCTGGGTTGTGATTCAGCTCTTTATTCATCCAAATGCAAATGTTGCAATATATTGTGATCCAGCTATATACATTTTTCACATGATGGGAGCCAACACTTTCTATTATTAAGCTGACAAGTAGTAAGGATTGTTTTTTGTGGGATTGCCTGTGGGATTTCAGAGCAGCTCACAGCTGCTTCCATCCATAAGAAAAATAAATGATTCCCTTTTCCAGGGTAGGGAGGTGTGATTACTGAATCTCAACTCAATCTTTGCCCACTGTCTCATGGTAAATGGAGAGCCGCAGGTGGAGGAGAGAAAGAAGGTTGCAAAGTGACTACAGAAAGGAATAAAATGAAATATCCTATTTACAGAACTCAGATAATGAGACTATAACAGAAATTGATCAGGGAGCCTGTGGATGCCAACAGGATGAGAAATGATAATAAATGAAGCATGGGGCCTATGTAGCATAGGTGTTTAAGAAGAGAAAAAACAATGTAGATTAAAATGGGAATAAATGACATAAATTCAAGTGGGATTGAGATGCCAGATAATATTTTTGACATTATTTTTTTTAATACACTTTGAAATTTATTGTAATCCTTTGATTTGTTTTCATGATGGCAAAGTCACTGTCTTCTCAAAAATATAGCTGGATGAAGGATTGGTGTATAGCACACATCCAAATAAAATGGTTTTATGCTGGGGATCTCAGTGGGTTAGACAATGAAGTCAGCTTCTCCAGAGCTTCAGATGTCTCCTGATCTATGGGCACGAGTGCAGCCCACCTTTGTGAGCACTGCTGACAGGAAGAGCTGTTGCATTGTTCTTGCAGTGACCCTGTGACCGTTGGGCCTATGTGGGTCATGAAGTTACTGTTTCCTCAGTCTCCAGTTTCTTGACATCTGTGTGTTTAGATCTCTGAAAGCTGTGGGAACCTTGGAGGGATATCCTATTGAACTCTTCCTGAATTTTTGTTACAAATAGAATTAAGTCTTACTGTTGTGTTTTATTTACCCATTTTGGGACCAGTATATACTGTTGCATTTGGTTTTATATTTTGTACCTATGTAGCTATTTTCTTCTGTATGCTGTATATTGTTTAAGAGTGCTTGAGGGCTGTTTAGCCTCTTGTTTTCACTTCTCACAGATCAGTAGAATATCTGGAAAGAAAGGCTTGGATATAGAGCCGATCTCTGTCAGTGAGTATCTGCCTTTTGGTGCTTAAAAACCTGCCTTGAATGATTTCACTGGGAGCTGATCCTGAGTAGGTCAAGCCCCAAGTGAAAACAACGCAACCCTAAGCTGTTCAGGGCTAGCTGTCCTTACAGCTTCATGGGCAGCTCAGTCTGGTTTCTTGCAAGCAGCAGTTTTAGTATTCCATCAAAAATATTCCCCTAAGCTTGGTCTTAACTTTAGAATTGTCACTGCAGAATACATAGCTACCGTCTCTTCCCATTATTCTGTAATCCTTAGAAATGTTTAAATCCTTTAATTTTCCTACCCTCCAATCTTACAAACCTGTTCGTTTGAGCTACTCCATCCCTGTTCCTTGCTTTGGACTGTATTTCCTGTTTCTCTCAAGTCTTTCAAAGCCTCCAGCAATCAGCCCAACACTGGGCAAAGGATACCTGTTATTCGTGGGAAGCCTCATAGAGGCTGTCAGGTACAGAAGTGATGATCAGGAGTCAAATCCTTTGTAACTGTAATTTTGTTGTTATTGGCAGCGAGTGCAGCTTTCAGCCCTTATAACAACCACAGAAAGTGACTTCCAGGACTCTAAATACAGATTAATTATTTCTGTAAGTGAAAGGTAGCACATTGATTTTTCTGCTTTCAGTACAGAGGTGCTTTCTGGACACACTGAAATACTTCTTCACAACTCTTGTCAAGCTTTTATGTAAATACACTGAACTGTGAGCTGTTTGGGGTAGGCACCTGACAACGTTTGTCTGTAAAATAGCATTCCTGCTTGCAGTGCAGCAGCTGTATGACTCCTGTTTGCATAAATGTTACAAAGAATTCAGATAGCTCCTTTGAAAAATCAAAGTGTTTTGCTCATGTCTTTTGCATGTGTTTTCCTACTGCTTACTACAGTTCTCATTTATTTTTCTTATCAAAAATGTCTGTGAGATCTGAGTGTTTGCCTTCTGCTTTCTTGTAGCAGCTATTAGGGATGTACAATGGAATGAGTAATCCGAGTCTCTCAATTTATCGTACATTCCTGCAGTGGCTGAGCTTTGAGATCCCAAAATTCTGCCATGGAAGATGCAGGCGAAGCAAAACCAAACAGTGGATCATGTCTCTTCCCCTCACAGGAGCTGCCCTCTCCCACCTTCCTCAGCAGTAGGTTTTTCTTTTGATCCAGAGAAACACTCTAAAACTATGATCAAGAAATATTGATTCATGGGCTCCTTTGTGCTTGTGGGGGCATAAAAGGAGTGAGGTGGATCAGGGCTGATTCATGTGGTAAGCAGCTCTAGGACTGAAACAAATCAATCTGCCCATTAAAAGTACTTTGGAGCTTTGCTTTCTAGCTTTGTGCTGCACATGGTTGCATTATTTAATCTTAATGATTTGTGATGTGGTAGGGTTCATTGCTCTGAACTTTGTACGAATGCAGAAGGGTTTATCGTATATATCTTGGTTTAGGTGTATGCGATATTATAGTTCATAACTGACTCTTTGGATAAATCTATATTCATCAGATTATCATTCAGATCAGTTTCCTGAGGACAGCAGCAATGTAATTTCCACATTCATCTGCCCTCGCTTTCTCTATAAAAAACCCCAGCCTGATTCCAGGCTCAGTCATTCCTCAGCCTTGTTTCTAACCATCTGTTGGGCCACGGGGCTTTGTATTTGTCATTTGTAAGAGTCACTTTAGTGTTCTATCTATTTTTTTAGCATAGCCAGTTTGATCAGCTTCCAAGGTTTGGAGCTGAGCTCACTTATTCGTACTGGGAACCTGACAAAACTCCTGAGCTGGTGCACTGAGGACAAGGTTTTGCTGCTGGAAGGGATCATGTTCTCTGGAAAATTTTTAATGCCCAGATTCTTCTTCAGTGAGAACCTGAATTGTAGCTTTCAGTTACTGCAAATCCTACACACACACTCCAGCAAGAGCTGGAGTGCTTCCAGCTATGTATTTTTAAATCATTTGAAACATACTTCCCTTCTTCCACCTGAGATTTTTATCACCATTCAGTATGATTTTCAGAGAAGGACTTTGTATTGTCTCTGCTCAGTGAGAGCTGATGTAAACGCTACATGCAGATTGTCACTGCCTGCAACAGGGTTGGTCTTCTGAATGCCCCCGTGCTTAATGTGGTTTAATTCTGTAAATACATATATTAATGTTACAGATATTACAGTTGCATTGCTTTGATGCAGCTAGCTAACTGCTCCCCTTCCCTCCACAAGGATTCTGTGGATCTTTGCACTGACAGCAGCATGATCTGTATGGGAGGAAAGGGAGGGGGAGCATATACCTTCTGTCAGTAAGGTACTAGAGCCTTTGTCTTTCAAATTACTTATAGAATTGATGAGGGTACCTTAAAAAAGAAACATTTTCCAGCTTCTGGGCGTGGATATTCACTGCTTATTTATTCATTTATTTTGTAATAAAATAGTACTGTTTGTTCTCACATAGACTAGTGTGTTTGATCCATAAATAGGTTTGTAAAATAGATCTGTAGCATGTAACAGAATCCTTTAGAATCTTCTGTGAAAATTCATCTCTTTAGTTGATAGCACTTTAAGAACATTTACATCCTTCATCTTGACATTTTTAACTAGAACATTTTTTGCCTACAGAAGTAAGTTTACAGCATCACAGTATTATAGCTTGTTTAAAAATACATACAGCATTACTGGCAAGTGCAGGCAAGCTAGCTACTTGAGCAGGGCTTCTTGTAATTTTACATGGTTCCTACTTTTTAAAACAATCAAGTATATTCATATTACATCCATCACTTTGTTAGAAAATGTGACTTAGAGATGCTACTCACAACAGAGCTGCCATTTCCCCATGACATATTACAGGCTGTGAAAATAAAAACACACCATCGTATGGTTGGTTTAAAAAGAAGTACAAGCCTAGTTTAAAAAGGGTGTTAAGTTGGTAAATTGGGTTTCAGGAACACTGGAGGTCTTTAATCCACTTGCAGTTGGAATGCCACTACCACCCCACGTCACTGAACCTCACCTGAAAGAAATACTGACTTACCACCTGCAAATGCACATAGGGCTGGGTCCTGCATGCCCTCTGCATGGAGCTGCTGCTGAAGATGTGGAAGGTTCTTCAGCTGGGAGCTTTCAGGACCAGGCTGCTACTGCTGAGTGTCTGTGAACCTGATTTATTTTAAGACTCCGATTGGATTTCACAATCTTCAGCCAGATGATTAGATGGGTGCAAAACAACACAACTCCACTGAGCTTTACTGAGCTGCTGTATTGCTTTGCAATAACCAGACCTGACCTTCTGCCTTCCACAGGCCAGTGGGTTTCTGAAGGAGTGTGAGCAACACATTTAAATGCACTGGTTTAGTAATACAACAGAGATCAAAAATACGTGATTGCCTTGGGTTTACTTTGCACAAATGAGACTATATAAATATATATATGTATAATAAAGCTGTAGGAAATCTCCAAACTGCCAACAACTCTTATAAATGAGATAAAACAAGGATAGGTTTGCTTAGAAATGTCATAGTTGCCATTCTTTTATTATTTCCATGTTCAGGTAATGCAAGAGCATTTCATGGTGAATCCTTTGGAGTCTTTCTATGAAACTAGTCCAGGCGTGCTTTGAAAAATGCTCTTTTCTTGGTCTTTCTGATACTCCTCTTGTGCCTTCTGGAGTCTTTTACCTCTCAGTTTCCACTTGTGAAAGCAGTAGGTTACTAGGGATGTTGTTAACAAAGAGAAGATGATAACCAGCACTATTACCAGTGCAATGGTGGATGAGAGGGACCCCTCTAGCTGCGTGGTTTCAGTGTCTTTTGTGGTGTTCAGGTTAGCAAAGCTTTCATAGTCTGTTGAGGCCAGAAGTGCAGGTACAGGGACTTCTTTGAACTTGGGCCTCATTGGGATGCAGTGGTTGTTCTCCCTGGAACAGGACTTCTGAAGAAGCAAGAACTATGGTTCCCTTGTCACCTGTGGCATCTGTGAGGCAGGTTTCTCCTCAGGATCCCCAGGCATAGATGGGGCTCAGAGGCTTTGCTGGTTGACGGAGCCAAGGAGTGCAGTGGGTGTCACGGAGTTTGCAGTACAGGTCATCTATATCCAAACTTGTGCAAGTCAGGTACGTGATGGTGTCTCTGTCATGGGGCAGGGAAGGCTGCTCTCAGCTGGCTGCAGTTTGAGGCTCTTTTTCTTGAAGAGATAACCAGAGAAAATCAATTTTCCAGTAACATTGTGGTGATAGGGCTTATCTGCAGGCGCAAAAGGAAAACAAGCACTGCAACAAGTGTAGTTTATACCTTAGGGGGTTTCTTCACTGAGAGGTTTCTTCTTCCCTCAAATACTCCCCATAGAGTGAAATCAAAGGTGTATTTTCTTACTGAGGGGCAGCTTGGTTTTGCTGACATCAGGCATTAACAAAATCAGCTGACACAGTACCTCTCAGGTTAACGCAGGGGAGTTATTTTCCCCTCTTCTTCGATATTTGCTCTCAGACTTGCCTTGTCTGAAGGGGATTTGGGGTTTTTGTCCTCGTTACACTGGATTTCAGGAGATGTCCTCACTGATTGTAGATCTGGAACCTGGAAAAATGACCTGGGTGAGAAATGGCACAGAGTTATTGAAGAGGTGAGCTCTCCTAAAGGCAGGAAGCTGTAACCTAGAATTAAAACCCTTACTCTTTCATAGTTCTGATAGAATTTCAAATACATCCAAGGCATTTGGCTCTGATACATGCTGTGTGTGACAAGTCCTAACAAACTTACTCATCTCAGCAGTTCTGAAGTCAAGAGCTGCTCTGGAGAAGGCAAGGAGCTGGTCTTCCCTGTTCCAAGTCTCATGTTAAGAGTTAACTGTGATGAGGAACAAGGCTGCTCTGCTTTTTGCCTATTTCTGCTGCCACTCGGGACAGGAGGATTTGGCCCCAAGATATTGTACTTTGAGAAGCTGTAAGCACTTTCAGAGCTATTTATTTCAAATAACAGCTTGCTCTAAACCCCCTCCACCCTACTCCCAAATGCTTTGAGGCCAAAATTAGGCTTCAGAGCTCTCGCAGCAGAACTGTTTTTTGCTCAGAGGTGCTCTGACAGGATGCAATTGTAATTCATCCTCTTCACAGAAATCTGTGGTTCATCCCACTCGGGCTTGCAGAGCACTGAGGGTCTCTCTTTCTAATTAACAGCATGCTTTGGTTTGTAATAAAGACTGTTTACTATAGCTTAGCATTCTGTTGGTGTTAAAAGATGTAAATGAGCAGCTCTTGCCAGTTTGGAACAATATGTTCACGTAGGCAAAAATAAATGTTAGTTTTAAAGTTGAAAAGCCAGATTTTACTGTAGTTTAGGACAAAAGAATCTGTGCTTGCAAAGCTGATTGGAAGTTCACTTCACGTAGGGGAGCAAGTGCAACATACCACATCTTTGATGAATGCCTGCATGGTGCACTACTGGCAAGTCGTATATCAGGAAGTTATGACAATAGAATATTTCAGTGCTACTTGGCCATGTATTTTACATCCTTCTCAAGAGCCTGAAGAAAGAAATTGCACTAAAAGAACTTAAGGAACTGAGAAATGCCCTTCTGATTTATGGAGTAGCTAAGTGTCCACCACCCACATGAAAGTCTAGGAAGGTGGAATTGTCTCAGTGCTAATGAAAATCAAATCTTGTCATACTTGCCTGAACCTGTATCTCATCTCATTGGTATCCACATCTATTAGATCCCTATGGGGAACAGAAAATGGAAAAGATAGAAAAATAATTAGGTATCTGGTACTGTTCCAAGAAGGTGAGTGAATGTTATTTGTAACTTCATTTTACCATCATCAGTTCAGGTATGAGTGCTTTGAAAAGCAGAACAGGAATGCTATTAAGAGTTTGCAAAGTACTGCTTGTGCTTCAGCTGCATTTTGGGAGGAGGCTACTTTTATAGGCAGTAAAGTGCTGTCAGCGAGTTGAGGGAAGTGGTTATTCACCTCTGTTGAGCAATGGTGAGACCATGGTAGTAGTAGAGGTAAATGTCTTGGCTCGTACTGCAGCATCCTACTAAGAAAGGGTTGGACCTCTGGTACTCTGCTTAGACTTTGAGACGGTACATGCTTGTGCACCCACAGAGCACACATTTCAACTTGAGTCAAGTTCCATCTCCTGAAGTTTCAATGTCAATGCGTTCTCATGAGAAAACTTTCCATTGAACCCCCCAAAACTTCCTTTCCTGTCCATGCTCTAAGTGAATTCAAGCAGTAGAGAATAAATTATTCTTATAAGCTCCGTTTGGTTTGTGAGTCGTAAGTATTCAGTGTATTTTGTTTGAGCGTTATGAGCAAACTAATGTCTCAGTGCACATTTAATCACCACCACCTTTTAATAACATAAAGGAGAAAGGTTCAGGTATTTACAAGAATAATTTGAGTGATTTTTTTTTTTTTTTTTTTCCTTAAAATAGTGATTTGCTGGAGGAAACTGCATGAAAGTGAATTAGAATATCTGTAAGCTGAATACATGCTAAACCTTCTCATGAAATAGTGATGTTTTACTTTGGTACTTATACAAGCATAGGCTACAAGTCCTTGACTAGAGATGGACTTTGCTACTGTGGCTCATGTTTTTCTATCTTTCTGTTTTAGCAAGCAGACGTTTAATAGTGCAGCTTAGTATAAAATGGGGGGAACTAAATCTGCTCCTTGTTTTCTAATATCCTTAGGACAGGCATTGTCTTTTGTTCTTTGAGCCAAACCTCTGTGCCTCCGAGTACTCCAGCAAAGTAGAGAGAAATCTGTTCTTGAGGCTTCGTGTAGCTGTTTGAGGGTGGAAAGGAACAGCAGCTTGGAAGCAATTTGTATGAGAGGAACAAAGCAAATTACAGTAACAAAATGAGTCTCAAGTGTTAATTAATGTTGTTGGCATCTGTCAAATCTGAAGTACTGAAAGAAAGAAGAATGTTGATTTTACTGACACTCCTTTTATAAGGGCAAAACTTGCCTCTATTTGGTAGTGATGACCTACCAGTGTTTTGTTAAAAAGAATAATGATAATTTGCATTGAATCCTTAAAAACTAACCAGTCAAACAGTCAAAATGCCTGGTGGGAGACCAGCCTTGGAGGAGGTTTTAATGGGCTGTGGTTTGTTGGGATTTAAATTGTTCAGATAACTCTGTTTTCTGATTCTCTGTTTCAGATAAAGGATGCATCGAGTTTGGTGGCTGTCTGAAATCCTCAGCTTCATCGAAATGATGAAGGCCAGAAATCAGACCTAAGCTATTGCAGTTGTGTTGTTTTAATAGGAAGCTGATTGTACATAGCTGACCATTAGGCTAACTCAAACCTCCTTTGACTTCCTGATGACACTAAGACTGGTTGTTAAGACACATAAATCAGCAGCAAGTGAGAAAAAGGTATAATACTGTTCTCAAGTGGACACAAAACCATCTTTCCAAAGTAAGGACGACTGACCTCAAACTATGAACCTGCTCCTTGTGAAGCAGCATTACAAAATCCTCTTTGATTTCAGTAGCAGGAGAATCTTTGGTTCCTATCTTCGTGTGTGTCCTGTGCTCCTCCAGACTGCATTTTCAAGCGCTGAATTACTTCTGGCTTTTATACCATCTTAAATATATATTGGCTTTTTAATAGAGTTTCAGGCTTGCTTGCTTTCTGCTTTCAGCTTGCTTGTAAATGTCCCTGCTGCCTTTCAAATTGTCTCTTCTATTTTTATTGCATTACGGAAGAATGCGCCTCCTGCCTCTAAATTTGCATCTTTTTGATGTAGAAAACATTTGTATGAAATGTATCCATCATGTTGCAAACCTGCTATGTAAATGATGCTTTTCTCCTCATCCAGAGCTAGTGTAGCAAGACATCTACTGATACCCTTGCGCCCGAAATTGCAGGTGAAAGCCACAGGGGGAGTGAGAGCAAATGAAAGCAGGGACAAGGGGAGGAGGGAAGGAGGAAGGAATGGGAGAAGTAAAGAAGGAAGGAAAGGCCTCAGAGAGCTTGTAGTGAGATGCTTTAGCCTTGCTACTTATTTTTCCCTGCGTCTTTGATAGACTCGCATGTAAGAGCAAAAGGCCAGTTTTTAGGAATGTCTTAAGTACGTAAGTCCACCCTTGCCATTTGGGTTTTGAAAATGGCAAGGGTGAACTTATGTACGTCTTAAGAGTTGTTGCACAACTTATGTCCAGCATCTTTGGGTGCTTAAAATACTTTTGGAAATCATAAGGTTTCAGGTCTACAAAGTGCTGATGAGCTTCCAGCTGAGAGCCAGTTGGGATTCCTGCTTCCCAGCAGGTTCTGGAGGTATGGGCTAAAATGGTAAATGTTGGGTTGTTACAGAACAACTGTTCAGGTATGTTTGCAGTGTCATGGGGTTTGTAGGTGTTAAACACTATGGGCTTATCTGAGGAGTCCTAAAATTGAACCACCTCTTTATGCCTCTATTTTCTGTATTGTTGATCTCAGAACAGAAAATGTGCTCTGTTTTTACACATAGTCATCCTTAGAAATATGTCTTGCATAAACCCTTTGTGGTTGCACCCAGTGATATAAGTGACAACGTAGATAAAGATTTAAGCAAGTTGATTAATCTTTTAATTCAGTGTATAAAGTTCTAGTCCTGATCTCTCAGAATGCTGAATGCTGTTTTTATGCCAGTGAGCAAGAAAACTCTGCTTTTAGCAGTTGTTCAACTTATTCTGTCTTCACTAGACCTGAGGTTTTGTCTTTTCTTATGCCAGAAGAAAAAAAAAGTGTGAGTTTAAAAACCACTTGTAGTAACTCATTCCCACATTGGTCGGATCCATAAGCCAACAGAAAGTTCCTGTAAAAGGAACAGTGGGATCCTGCTTTTCTTTAGAGCTGCAGTGGGCTTGGCTAACTTGAAGGGACAGCCTGCGTATGACAAAGGTGATTTCTGAGCAGAACCTGGTACCATCTTACCTCTGCATAGAAAGGTGCTGAGCAAAACAGCTCCTTTTGACGCAGGTGGAAGTTGCAGTGTGTGACTGCTCAGGCTCGTGTGGGCATGGACCCTAAGTGTAACATGCTGTTTCTGTGGGCATTTAGTTGATAGAGAACCATCACAGAGCTAATTCTGGGGTATAAGATTTTAATTTTAGTTAAGCAGTGCCTGAAGTGTGGAGCAGTTGAAGCACCAGGCCTGTTGTGTTGGAGATCTAGACTCTGTCTGGAGTTCATATTCATCCCACTGATTTTATTGGTGACTTCTCATGATAGCAGAACATGTTAATTTAGTGTAACTGTGATTTGATAAACACCAGCAGCTTTTTAAGGTGTGATTACAGCCTTCTTGTAACTGCATGCTTTGGCAGATGCTCTCTTTTGTCTGCATAAAGCCCAAATCCTTATGGAAGATGATGGTGTCTGTTACCTGGACCAAACTACACGTAAGTTATGTTACAGACTAAGCACTTGATTAATTTCCTCCTTAAAACAGTGTTTCTAAACTGTACTTGTGGTAGATATTTTAGACCTTGTCTGTATGGTGGTGAGAGGGAAGTTTATCATTCTGATCAATGAAATCCTTGTATGACATTTTGAGGGTAGCTTTGAAACTGTACATTAAATGCTCCCTATAGGTGTTCAGACAGGCTGAGCCACACTGCAGTAAATGTGTCGGGAAGAGACACTGAGTGTTACACCTTTCTGTGCTCATACCTAGGGAAGGGTTTGATTCTTTTTCCCTTTTAAATCTGGGAAACAGTGCTGTATCGAAGTGCTGCTCTCTGAACAGCTGAACATGTCTGTTCCTTCATGCTCATCACTTCGAAATAGGCTTTAGTGCATTTTAAAAGCTATGTTGAGGTTGTCTTTCTCACAACAGCACAAACTAGTCCTTGTTTTGGAGAGTGGATTTTCCTGCTAAGCCATTCTTCACTTTTCCTGCTAAAGGCACAGTCTTAGATCATCAGCTAAAAAATGTACCCTGTGGAATGGGGAGTCTTTTTCCCTTGAGAATTGTCTTTCATGCTTAACTTTTTGCTAATTCAGTTCCTACTCATTTCTTTTGCACAACATTCTTTGCTCTTCCCACACACCTTTCAAATCAAGGGTGATTACAGAGGCAGCCTCTCAATGCCTTCATTACTCTGTATTTTAAACGTTGCTTCAACTTGCTCAGCGATTTTTATTCCCCCCTTCCCAATTTGCCTGCTTCTGGGATCAGTTTATTCTCCTCCTCTGTGGTACTGGGTTCTTTGGAGTCAGAACGAGTACTTACCAGTCCAGGTACAAGTGCATATTTAATTGTTCTCTGGAGTTATAGGATATATGAAACCTGAAAGCTGTTCAGAGCTGAATTCAAATGAACAAACCCCAAACCTAAGAACCTTCATAAAATAGGATCTGAAGGCAATCCATGGCCTTTTCATTCAATTCTCTTCTACTTTACGGGTGAAGGAGTGTGACTCTAGGCTAACTGGTTGTGAAAGGGAGATGAACAGATGAGATCTGTTTCGTATCCCCCTCCCTCTTCTCACCTCTCTTCTTTTTTATTCCTTCCCTACCGCTAGCAAGGAAAGGAATTATAAATGGGGTGTTTGCAGCCTTTCTCTTGGATCTGAAATCTGCCAGGGTTGAAACTCCTGCAGGGATAACATTTTGTCTTTAAATGTGCCAAAGAGCAAAAGACTATTTGAACATTCAGGTCTTCATCCAACTCATTTGAAAAGAAAACTCTTCTCCTTTCAGCCACTGTGCCTATTTGTGACAAATAGTTATAGCCCAGGACTACAATATATTCCATACTCATATTCACCTTTAAAACTGTGCAAGGAAAATAAGTTGTTACAGGGTGGGAGGAAGCAGGGGGCTGAGAGGGGGAGTGATGAATGTCACTTTAAATGCAGCTACTTTGTGCCGTTTCTGGAATAAGAGCACATTTCTTTTCCCACAGCATGGGCTGGAGACAGGCTCTGTGTAATTTGAGGGCTGTAGGTAAGCAGAAAGCACCTTGTTCCTCCTCACTGCCTCCCTCTCTGGTCTGAAAGCCCAGGCAGCATGTCCCTGGGGTGGGTAGAGCTCATGTGCACTGTGGCAAATGAGTAGGCAAGAGGGGAGAAGGGAATAAAGATATTAAGGATTTGGTGGGTTCTGGTCAGCGTTGACTTTCTTTTTAGCTCCAAATCACATTTCACATGGGTAAAGTTATGTGAAATAACTGCATTTGAGATCAGTTAATGTGTCAGAGAGCAGTGGGTTACGTGACAGGCGCCTGTGCATTGCTTTAGCTGAGGCTGGCAGGGGCTGAGGGACATGCCACCATCCCCTTTGGGTTTTGAGGGGCTCAGCCTGCATGCATAGGTAGTGAGACAAGGCTTGTATATGCGTGAAGAAGTGGGTGCATGAGGAATGGCAATGGGTGAGGGGTCCCTGGAGCCCTGGTGGGGATAGAGGGGAAGATGCACGTTGGGTGAGCAAAGGAGGGTGTGTTCACAGATGTGCTTTGCACACCTTGGTGCTGTGAGAGGATGTTACACGCGTCTCTGTGAAGGGTGGGTGGATGCGTGCATAGAAAGCTGCCGGTACCCAAGGGAGCACGGTCGCACCTCTGACTAGAGCTGGATAAGCCCCAGCGAGGGCTGCGAGTGGCCCTGGGCAAGGCTGGGGGGCAGCGGGGTGAGCAGCGCAGCCCTGGGTGCTGCTCTGCTCCGTGCTGTGCCGTGCCAGCGCCGTGCGCCGGGTACCGCACCGCGCCGTGGTGCCCCGGCTGGGAGGCTGCGGAGCCGGGAGCAGGATGCAGCGGGAGCAGGAGCAGCCCTTGCTCGGCGAGGCACCCGCCGGACCAGCAGCGCGTCTGCAGCAGGCGCTTCGCGGTGCTTGGGCTTTTTGCTGCTGCACTCTGCACCCCGCGCCAGGAAAACGAGCTGTGTTGGGAGATCAGCTCCTGGGGTGGCTTCTCTCTGAAAGGGGCACACGTGCCCTTCGCTAACGGGGAAGGGAAGGACGCTTTTCCTTGTGTCCGTTTGCAAAATCGCGACCGCTGCCCCCCCCGCTCCTCCACTTTGTTTCTTAAGGAGCCTCCCGTTCCGCACAAAGGATTCATCATAGCCATGCAGCACTCACCTCCTCCGGCCACATCTTCCAACACTCGCTGGGCTACTTTCGGAAGGGGAGAGTGGTCAGGGGGTGGCAAACTGGGAGCCCGTGCTGTAGCCTCACCACGGAGGTAGCTCCAGACCTTGCGATCTGGCCGGTCTCGTCCCTTCCTTGGTCTTCAAAGCGGAGGCAGATAGTGCTGAACAGGCGCGTTGTTGGTGCTGCAGATGCAGGGAGGTGGAAGAGCTCCACGCGCCCGCCACCTCAGCAGCACTCACTGATCCCAGCCAAATTCTTCAACTTTATTTAGGGGGAAGAAGAGATCACATGGGGAGCCTCACCAAACTGGGAGGAGCTTGTTAGTGCAGAATCAGGTCACTAACACAAAACCCGGGAGTTAGTCACAGACAAAGATTAATAGTGTTAGCATAATCCAGGCGTGAAAAACAGGCTGAGACAAAGACAAGGGTTGCTTGTGGGAATTAAATGATTCTGTTTTCCTCCCTTATCTGTGTAATTAAGCAGGGTAATTTCTTGCTCCTTTTATCAGGTGAGATTTCCTAATTGAGGAAGAAATAGACTGTAAAAGAAATGCTTTCAGCTTCCAAGTGCTTCTGAGCACATCCTTCCTGGCTTTCAGTGTGGCATTTCTACAGGCTTTTTGGACGTCTTTAAACACTTCTGAAAAGCTGTCTGTCTCTGTCCTGCTGCGTTGTGTCCATTCAGTCCTACAGAAATAGATGTTACAGACCCCCTTCCAAAATATGCACATGGCCACATAAGATGGTCTAGGTTGGAACAGCCCGTGACTCCAATCTGGAATTTGCATCTCAGACAAGGCAGGGGCTCATCCCTTATTGTCCCACCAGCTTAGAAATCATTGTGGAATCAAGTTTGTACAGCACCCTGTTCTAATCTCTGCCTTTCATTCATTAGCAGATGGCAAAGCTCCCACCAGGAGCACAGGTAATACAGAAGCTGTCCCTAAGTGCAGAAGAGCTGACTGCTGCCAGGACTGCAGCAGGATCCTTATGGCTTGTCGTATCTTTGTTTGTTTAATCAACTGCATGTTCCCAAAAACCTGTGATGGATTTAGATTATTGAGAGGCCAAGCCTCAAAAAGCAGATGCCTAAATACATACACAACTTGTGGAGGAGTGGGCCTGACTTTTATAGGTGTTGAGCAACTGTTTTTCTGCATTTCCATCTGCTTTGAAGTCACATCCCACCTTCTGCCACCTTCCCCATGTCCACGCTTTTAAAAAGAAATCAGCTTTGAAAAGGAGGCTGTTTGGTCCTTTGCTTACAGAGGCATCCTGCCCAAAAGAAGCTCCATCCTAAAACACGACAGATGAAGGGGAAGGCAGTGACCAGGTGGATTCCCACAACAAAGCTAAGAAGCCTGATGCAAAACTACAGGACAGCTTGTCTGCTGCGCCCCCAAAAGTGACTCGAAGCGGTCATCAAACAAGTCGTACTTGCCTACAGAGTGACTTGTCCTTCCTTCAGCTTGAGCAATCTTAACCAGCTTTGGTAGTTAAAGGCTGAAACAGGCAAAATGTTGATTCTTGGCATCTTCTTAATGAAGCGCCTTTGTGTTGGAGATGCCATCAGTCAGGGTATCACATCAAGAAAAGCACCTTCATGCCATTGTAGATCAGAATGTGTAAGTAGCTCTGAGTCCTTTGATGTGCAGTGCACTTCTCTGCTGCTTATTTGGGGAGTGTAACTTCATGCTTCTTGCTTTCATTTGCCCAGCCTGGGGTGCCCAGGGGTGACTGGTGCCTGTTCCACGCTCCCTGCTTCCTGGGGGTCTCCTGAAGGAGTCAGGGGAGGGCAGGAGGAGCTGGAGGGGAGATGATTTGCAATTGCATTTGGTTGTTTTGTAGGGCAAATCAATGGAGTGGAAAAACCCCACTGTATATCTTTACTGTGATACAGGCATGCTGCAAACACAGCTGGAACCTGTGCCTGTGCTTTGAACTCAAAAATGGTGTGTTTCTCAGCTAGTCATGATGAGAACCTGGCTTTTATTACCTGGAGACTGACCTTGATGTATAACTTTCATTTCAAGTGTGCAGAGGCCTGGTTTTCAACAGAGATGCCATCTGTTGTTCTGTAAGATATCTTCTTTGGTTTTATTTCTCTGTGTTGCCAGCTAGCAATGGAAGAGAAGATAAAAAAGCTTAGCAAAGACTTTTGCAGGTCTAGTTAGCCTTTACTTTATCTCCCCCAAGTTCTTTGTTTCTGGCTGACTGAAGTTTTCTGCATTTCATAAAACTTCCTTTTATATTTCTTTGTAGACGCAGCTTCTTACCGAAGAATCTCATGTCAGCTTCTTAGTGAAGTATGTCAACTGAAAAAGCTATATATAATGTGTGCATCCATACATATTTATGTATGTGCATACTTTTACATATGCAAAGACCTGCAATACAAACTTCTACCAGTTGGCAGTAGTGCAAGGGTAGTTCTTCCTCCATTTATATTTAACTCTCCCCAGCATTTTGCCTGTGAACTCATAAGTTAAACCAATAAGGAAACGTCTGTAAATGTTCTAATATATTTTTATGCTAAATTGAATGTTTTTTTCCAAATACTTGTGCATAATCCAGCATGACTAATACCCTGCGAGCTCTCACACTATCACATTTGCCACTTCCTGCGTCTTTTCTATTTCAAGGCTTGTCACTGGACAGAAACTTTTATCAAGCACTTTGAAGGTTATGGCTGTGTAAGAGAGCTGTTGACCAACTACAGGAGCAGTATTTATAAGGTACAGCTCTGTCTCCTCCAGGAAAACTCACACTTCCCAGAAAATCAGTGCTTCAGGAGATACTTGATATCACGGCTAAGCCCACATCTCCCAGTCAGCACTGGCATACAAATGCCCAACTGCGTTGCTTTCCCTAGAACTTAGACCAAAGTATATTTGTGCTTATGACCTCCTGACAAAGAATGCTATTCCAAGTTCATGGGAGCCATTAGACCACTGCATGTTCTGACAGTAATTGAAGGGCTTAGAAGAAAAATGAACACTGGAATTCCTTGAAAAGTTCTTCAAGCTTTGAAAAATGGCCCAAAGCGCCTCTCCCAGTCTGCAGTGAAATGTTCCTTATTCATCACTGCAGAAACCTCTGATGTCCCAGTCACATTGTTGACATTTCCATTGCTGCTTCTATTTTAAATGCGATAATTAGTAATTTTTCATGCTTCCAGATTGTCCTTTCCCTTAGAAATTTAAACTACTACCAGTGACAAATGAAAGCACACCAGCTACCACTATAGCATAGCAGTGTCATACAGAGATATTAGTTTCAGGGCATTGTTTTCTCCTACCTTCAATGCTTACGTTGTTGTCAAGGTGCTTGTCTTATGATGTAGAGGTTGAAACCAGTCTATTATGTGTAATGGGCCACCATCTCATCTTGATGCAGTGAGAAGAGGAATATGGCTTTCCTCATTTAGACCAGAGCAGGCATGCATTCAAAAAGCGGAGTTTCTCAGCAAGGCCAAGCTATCAAATTCCCCTTCATTTGATAAAGTTACAAATATTGACTGCAGGGAAAGAGCAGAATTTGTAGCCAAACATAATGAAATGAAACCCCATTATGCAGAAAGTTTTAGTCCTTGTGTGGTGGTGTTGTTCTCTTCAATCCTAACCAGAAGGTTTGATCTTATTAGGAAAGATAAAATTGTCATAATAAAGCCCTCAGTTAACTGTCTATTCCTGGATGAGTGCACAGTGTAAGGATGGCTTTCCCTGATACAGCCGTCAGTATCACTGACTTTAACAGAACGCAGCTTGATCATAAAACATGGAATGAGTGGTGAGACTTCAGGGGCATCACTGATGGGAAATCTGAGTGTTCCACTTGCACTGTGCATGGGAATCTGTGGGATGGCTCCTGAAGAACGCTGCCAGCCCCGGAGTTCTTTATTCCAGAAAGAAGGCAGGCAAGGGCAGGGGTGGTTGGAGTAAACAAAAGAAATAAAACTGAGGAGTTGTTAGGAATTCTGAACCAATCTCTGCTATTTTTTGAGAGTAAAGAGGAATTTAGTGACTTTAAAAGGCATCCTGGCTAATATCAGTGGGAGGAACTGCTGCTGCACACAGCACAGTGTTATCCTGTAGGATTCATTTCTGCAAGTGTGCAGGTTGAAAGCCTTGAAGGATGTCTGTAAAGGTGTCAGTGTTCATGTGGGAATCGTCCATCATTATGAGCCTGCAGTTGTGAGACACGCGCTGCTTACACGTGCAAAGAGTAAATGCCCTTTTGGGCACATTTCCCGTATTCCTTTTTCTCTCTAAGTGCAGGATTGTTTAAAAACATCTTTATTCAAAAGCATCTGGGACTGACCAGTATGAGAGTCCTGGGCTACACAGACATGATGTTTGATCTTGGATGGTAACTTATTTTCTTCCCATGAAACAGTTCTGGTTTCATGTCTGCTGGGTGAGGAGTAAATCCTAGTTCAGAACAGTAATAGGAATCTAGATTTTTCCACTGAGGTCAACTCCTTCTGTGTCTATCTACATAACTGCCTGGTCCTAGCACGAGTGGCTAAAGAGCTAATGTATTTCTTTTATCAGCTCAGAAGTCTCATCAGACCACCTTGAATCAAACAATGGAAATGTAAACTCCAGTAAGAGCATTCTAAAGCATGCGGCACAGGTACATCTCATTTTATGCTGCTGCACTGCAAAGGTCAGGGCATGTTCTTTACAATGACCTCAAGTAAGCCCAGAATAGATTTCTGCCAGCACCAATCCTGTCATTCCTTGGCTTTTCTTTTGTTGCCTCTCGTGCCTCATGTTGAGCGCTGGTTAAATTTAAACACCATCGAGCCTCTGACAATCTCTCCCATTCAGGAAGTAGATGGGAGACCTTGGAATCGTCTTCCATGACCTAAAGGGGCCGATGAGATCTGGAGAGGGGCTTCTGACAAGGGCCTGTAGGGACCAGGACAAGGGGAAATGGCTTTAACCTGCCAGAGGGGAGACTGAGATGAGCTCTTAGGCAGAAGCTCTTCCCTGTGAGGGTGCTGAGGCGCTGGCACAGGGTGCCCAGAGAAGCTGTGGCTGCCCCATCCCTGGCAGTGTTCAAGGCCAGATTGGACACAGGGGCTTGGAGCAACCTGCTCTAGTGGAAGGTGTCCCTGGCCATGGCTGGGGTTGGAACTGGGTGAGCTTTGAGGTCCCTTCCAACCCAAAGCAGTCTGATATTCTATGATGTGTACCCTTGTGAGGGCACTTTCCTGTGCTCCATGTACCCTCCTGTGCTTTGTGTTTGGGCTCCTGTCCTCCCACCTCTGATTTTCATCAAAAATGGAAATAGAGCAGCTTCCAGAGTGTAAGGCAGCCCTTTTCAACAGCTGGCAGACCCAAGGTGAACAGGACCTCTCGTTTTCTTTCAATAGGGAAACAGCATCAGCTGCCTTCCTTCCCTTGGAGACTCCTGGAAGCCCAGCCAGGAGGCACTGGAGCTGGGCTCTTCTGCAAGCGCTGAATTCTGGGATGTGACTATTGGAAAAGGGAAGGAGCTGGGTCCAGGGTCTGACAGGGGAGTGACTGCAGAGACTGGAACACGAATGTGGACACTGGTGGTGCCTAGTGAGGAAAATAGGATGAAGAATCAGGTGTGAAGACAGGACTGGAGCAGAGACAGTTTGGCAGTGAGGGAAAAGAGGGAGACCTGAAGGAAATCATCAGGCTCTGAACAGAGTGCAGGAAGAAAGGAGATGGTCTCAACAGGATTGATGATGTGTGTCTGACACTGGT